TGGGTGACATGACATATGACGCTTTCAAAGAGAGAGCACTATGTTATTTATACATTTGCAATAAAAAAGGACTTCCTAGAATTCGGCAATACCCAGAGCTATTTAGCATCTCAACAAAAAGTCGCACCAGCCTCACTACCCTGCGGAAAACGAGATTCTATGAGAGTGTTGGAGTAATACAATGTCAATAAGAAAACAGCAATAATACAGCATTCGAGAGAAGCTCAGAAGGATCTTTCAATTAATGTTGCAGGGAAAAGGCTCATCAGTTACTGAAGAGCTAGGATATTCCAAGGGTATAACATATAAACTTAAAAGCGGTCATGCTTGTCCTTGTCGTCATGCTTGTCGCCCTTATCATGCTTGTCATCATGGTCATCGTCATGCTTCTTAGCATAACTTCCGTGCCTATTACGCGAATGTTGTTAGCCTTCGCGTAAAGTATGGGTTGATAGGGCTAGTTTTTTAACTTACGCAAAGAACAGCACTTTAATGGCAATGGCCAAGGCTGCATGAAGCACTATGACCACTATCAACAATATCTTGCTTGTCTTCATATCCGTAGCACTTAGTACTGGATAAAGATTCCTTAGCAAGAAGAACACCGTCCAGCCAAAACCAACTCCGACAAGCGCCCAGTTCAGTGCAGTAAGCGGGCTCCAGCTAACCAAAGCAACGGCAATCCAGATCAAATTGGCATATCCGTAGAGCGCCCAACACTCGATCAAATCCGCACTGGAGCTACCAAACCAACGTAATGCACCCCATAAAGCAACGGGCAGTATGAATGTGTAGCCATAAATAAGTCCCGCAGCACCAGAGAGGAGACGGAAATCATACTCGAAATGATGGCTACCTTTTCTTGCCAGGTATTGGGAGACAGTGCCGGTCAGGAAAAGGATTACCACGACAGTAGTGGCAATCCAAAACGGGCCGTATAAGTCTGGGTTCCCGTCAAGAACGTCAAGGAAGTTCGACCTTGGGTAGAGGGTCGAAACACATCGTCGGAATACCTCTGAAGTGTCGACATCGAAGTACCGGTTGTAATATGCTATACTCCATATTTTCGCATTGGATCCCGCGCTTCCTGACCCGCCCGCTTGTCGAGACGATGAGCCGCCGAGGAAAGACGAGGAAGAATCTGGATGCCCTTTAGCATTGCGTGGTGTCTCGTCGAAATCTGAATCATGAGTCAGCTATATTGGATACAATTTCCTTGTCTATGACCAAAAAAAAGGGATATAATAGAAGGATTATATTGTAAGGAGTCACGAATCGTACTTGAGGAATGAAATTCGAGGTCTTCTTGAAGGTCCGTATGGCCAAGGTCGCCCTGTTGGTGAGTGTTCAATTAGTCTGGGGCAGTCCTGATAGCAACATGAGAGAAAACGGCAGCATCATCTCATACCTCAGCATCAACGTCCACTACTGCATCGTAGCCTCGATTTGCCATCTTCGCTATTGGATTGTAATAGTCGCGGATATGGTGGATGCTGGTGCCTAAGAAATGACGACGGAAAGAAGACAGCTTGAAGATACGGCTTACGTAAGCTATTCATCATGGACGGGCATGGCAGTAGATGAAGGACTAAGCAGCTGATAAACTTTTTTCTATAGTCTGTGATTATTTTTATGTATATATGAAGGCCATTTAGCAAATGTACAAGAAGTGCGTGTGGTTTAACCCGATCATAGCCCCAAGGTAGTCTTCAGAGGTCCTAGATAACGCCAGAGATGTTTTATAAGGTCAGGATCTCGCTTCATCATCCAGTATGAGAGTATCCCGACAGCAACGGTGGCGCCAACGAGCTTGATGGAAAAAGAGTGCTTTCGAATAAGCAATACTGCGTCTTTGCGCATCTTTTTCCGCTGCAGACCTCGGATCTGCTGACGAAAGTAGCCCCTTGCTTGCTCCGGGGTCGACTGCAAGCCAGGGTTTCTCAGCGTTTTAAGCACACTATAGGAGGGTATGGATTTCCACGCACTGCAGGGGAGCTTCTCAGGTGGGTGGCCGTGATATATTTGCACTGTACTCGAGATCAGGGCCTCGAGGTCTAGTGGGCGGGGTAGTTTTGACAGGATGCCGTGAAACATCTCAGGCTCGTCAGGAGGGATATCGTACAGTTCGTCTTTTCTTGACAGGATGATGGTAGCAAACAGGTATATTGATACAACTGGCTCATGGGCGAGGATAAAGTCGTAAAGTCGGGCAATATGAGCATAATCCTCTATGTCATGTGCGTAAAGCGTTAGGGTGGCAGCAAGGGCAAAAAATGGTTTGGTGCCAGCTAAGTGCTGGCCAAGTTTCTGGTCTACGGATGTGACGATGGCAGGCAGTAATTGAAGATGCGTAAGTGCGGGAGATAGAGATGGAAGCATATAATCTCTTATGCGAAAGAGAGATATATGTTCCAGAGCTTGGTAAGCATGTTTACGGCCAAGGACGAGAAGCAGGACCTGGGCAATGTCATGGTACCCCTGGAAATAGCAAAGCATAGGGTTTCGCCGCAAGACCGATACAATCAAGTCTAATAATTCGTCTCTTTTGTCCTTTAGCTGTTTCTCGGTCTTATCTAATGGGGAACATTAGCAGGTCTGGTACAACATGCATGCATTTGTGTAAGGTAAGCGGGGGGCGATATACAGTTGGGGTAATAGACGAATGATCTATCCACATCTAGTTTGACCTGATTCTCATCGCCATGGTTGGGCAGCTCAGACAGTGGCGGAAGTTCCTGAGTGTGGGTTGCACGTACATGTCCCTGGAGAATTGGCCCTAATATGAAACGGTTAGCCAAGCTGTCGAAAATGCGAAAGGAGGCCACAAGCTCTTATCTTACAAACTTGTTTCCGGATATCATCCTCCAGCAAACCCCCTTCCGAGGTGGCAAGCTTCGCTAACTGCTCAATGTCATGTTTTTTGGTTGCCTTAACAATATCTGCTCTCTTCCGGCGGTAGGCTTTTGAATCTACGGGCAGCCTACCCGGTTTGATATCTCCGGTCTTAGGTTCTCGGTTTGCCATAACACGGTTCACTTCTAGTCTCCCTCCATCGACAGGTCCAATAGGCTAAGATATTTGATGTTTTGAGGGTATTAAACTTGCCTTGCCGAGTAGCCAGTTGAATGGCGGAGGCAGGAGTTCAACCTGAGATGGTTGTGTTGATTTAATAGATATGGTATATCCTGGCGAAGAGAAAAAGTAACTTCTAAGTGGTACCGAGTTTAAGGAGAGCTATGTCGAGCAATCAAGGGGCGGCTGTGCGTATAGTTATACAAACAGCGATGGTCCCACAGGTGACCGGTTCACAAGACAAAAAACGGTGGCAGCTAATGCCCAGTGATAAAGCACCGAAAGGCCAGATATGCAAGTATATCTGTGCGGCAGAAATGGGTATGACAAGCAGCATCCAGCCTATATTCTAGAAGAAATCTATAGCTCGAAATGTGCTAACATGAATGGTCCGCCTGGAGATTGATACCTCCATGGATGATGCTGTTCTGGATTTGGTGATACTGGCGTAACGTCCAAACTTTCACTTTCTCGGCCTCTGGTTGGCTGGAGCGGATTAATCTTCTTCCGGAAGACTTCCCGTCGGGTCGCGACATCAGGTTGGAAGAACAAGAAAGGCGAGGAAGTACTTGGAAGCAGGAAACGGTCGACTCTCTTTATCGTTGACAAGGCCGGGGAAGTGAAGGTGTCCTTGGGGGTTTTCCTTCTCCTTCTTCGTTACGCCAAACCGTCATAGCGACAAGTGGTTCTTCCTCGACGTCCTTTTTGCTGGTCGTCTAGTTAACCTCACTGTGGGTTAGTCCCTCCCGAAAAACCGCCGAACGTTTGTGTACTCTGTGACATCTCTGTATACGACAAACATCCCAGCCCACCCTTAGGACCAACGGTAATTGTTCTTTTTCTTACTGGGAATGCGGTTTTATTATACCCGGCATGGCCAAATGAAACACCCATCTTGCTACCCTGCGTTATCTTGACTGTCGGATACCTTATCTCTGCTTTTGAGGCACCACTGGTACAGGGTGGTATATATAATCTCGACTACCCTTCTATTTAATCTCTTTTTCTCCCTCCTCAGACGCATAAACATACCAGCAAGAGAAAGATAGGATTGCCAATACTACCATATCTGGCCAACCAAGCCCTGGTCATCTAATCTACGTTTAGAGGTTCTATGCCTAGCAAAGCAGTGTATGGAGTACCCCCGCAGTGGACCTGGAAATTCTATATAGGCCTATTCTCTCAGCCGTTGCCTTCGCTATACTTACTGTTTGCCCTATGGTCCTATCTTTCTTGGGCAGCCCAGCTCCAGGACACGGATGGTAGCCAGAATCCCGCATATTGGTTACAAGTAGACCGCATTAAAACAGAGGAACAGCCCTTTTTAGAGAATTCATATTCAAAATTTGCCCTTATTCTTACTTTCTCGGTGTAAGCTTTTGTTACCACCTACCGGAGATCAATAAAGCTTTTCTTTGAACTTCATAATGTCGTTGCAGACCACAGTCTTGGTCAATGGGACCTGGGCCACCAGAACAGTTGACATTGGAGAACTCCTTTTTCGAAACCGTGAATCAGACAGTATCTCGGGGAGAGCAGAGAAAACTCAAACTCCTGCTACTGGAGTGTTGTCTAGAACCCTTGCTCAAGGCCCTGCTGTTCAATGGATACTTCCAGCGCGTCTCAGACACCAAGATCAAAATGATGTTGTGTTTATTGGAGACAAGTTCATCCAGATTAAGGAGCTGGTACCAAGCGGTCATCTAGAAGAAGTGGTCACCAAATCTGATTTCGACTCCAGAATTATCGGTGCCAAAATAATCAACTCACAGCCAGGTCCTGGTCTAGCGGACGAAATAAAGCAAGGAGGAATGGCTTCAGGCCACTCTACTCAAGAATCACTAGATGAAGGAAAGGTTCCACCTCATATCTTGGTCCTAGTGCTAAGTTCAAAGGAAATTCTTTTCATGTTTACCAAGCCTGGACCTCGTGGCGTCCCTGAATTCGTTTATTCCAGGCGCCCCTTGCCAGCAGACACGAGTGCTTTAGAGGAATATGGAAGACACATCGCCGTAGAGCCGCGGTAAAGTTAAGATCTTCCATTGTAAAAACGTTTGTAATGCTAATAAGTACAAGGGCGAGAGCGATGGCCATTTGTGCGGCACAAAAGTTCTTTGGGGTGTTCTCCCTGAAATCGCCTTCCACGATTCAAGCTGAAATGGCACAAGGGCCCGTGAATCCTATCAAGGAGGTAATGTCTCCCGCACCGATATCCCTAGCTATCAAGGCTAACGTTTGTAATCTGTAAACAGGAGTGTTTCTTCCGTGCTGACGGTGATATTTTGAGAATGGAATTCCTTTATCCAACCCCACCTGACAATGATAGAATAATTCTTCTATTACTTATAGCTCAAGGCTCCGAGTCGTTTTATGTCACCTATGACTGGACTTCCATGGAAACTCTGCGATCTGTGGAGCCAAGGGTCAAAAACCTCAAGCTTTCTAACCATTACCGTCTGCCAACAGTTCTGATACCCTTGATTCACTCAACCTCTTTCATGGTTGCAACACACTCCACCATGTCCATCTACAAGAATGTCTTGAACACAGACGGGCCAACAGCGCCATTAAACTGCCCTTTTCCAACCTTGGAAAATCGCCCACGTTCGAGAAACCAAATATGGACTCACTGGGCTCGAGCCAGACGAAACCGAATCAGAAATGCCCAATTTGATGATATTTACCTTTGTCGAGAAGACGGCATGGTTTTGTATCTAGAGATAGGTAAGTCTGGCGATATAGAACGCCAGTCGAACCTAGGTTCACTCGGCTGTAACCTTGATACAGCCTTCGCAATTCTCCCAGAAGGATATCAAGCTGGAGATGTTTTGGTCACTGCCGGTAGCATGTGCGGTGGTGGCCTGTTTATTGAAGATGCTCGAAAGCCGCCAAGATGTATACAAAGAGTCCCGAACTGGGGTCCTATCCTAGACACTGTTGTCATAAAGGCAAAACGCCCAACTACTGGTCCATTGTCTAGAGACACCCAGCAAGACATGGGATTACCCTTTGATCGAATCTTCACATGTTCTGGTGTTGGACCTGACCACGGTACAATTTCTGAGCTGAGATACGGGGTCGAAGCACAAATAGGCCTCAATATCGAGCATGGAGGTTGTTCAAGCACAACAGGAGTATGGGGAATTCCTGTTCCTAAAGGGGAGGGAACCCTGTGCCTGCTGACAGACCCTATGACTTCCTCTTTGATCTTTATACCAATAAGCGGTACTGAAGAAGCATATACGATGAGCGAAGAAAGTGGTTTAGACCTTGGTCACCCAACGCTAGCGGCCAGCATCACACCAGACGGTATTGTGATGCAAGTCACTGATGCGTCCATACGGTTGAGCCATGTTGTTTTTCAGCAACGATCTTCTATAACATGGGTTAACCCAAATGACCGAGCCGTCACGGCCTTCACCAGCGGGCCTCTGTCTCTTGTCGTCGTAGCTATAAGAAACGGTAGCGATGTTCGTGTGGAACTCCGACGCGTCAGTTCTGACGAAAACGGATGCACTTGCACCCCTGTTGGGCCTCCTCTTGCTCTTGACCAGGAACCAATTTGCTTTGATATTGAAGAGCTTGGCGGCAAACTATATCTCTTTATTGGGACAAGCGAAGGGAAACTCCTGATTATAACAATAAATGGCCTGGAAGGCTTGATCCCCCACCTTGAACATGGGATATTGATGGGCAAAGATGACCTCGATTCCCCAGTGTTTGAATCTCTAAAATTCATATCTACTGTTGACGAGGGGAAAAGGCGGGTAGCTCTGTTTTGTGGCCTTCGGAGTGGACATTTGATTCCCTTCAGAATCACACAAGCTGATACTTCATTTGGTAAGCTTCTTTTGGGAATTTTCTTGCGGAGTGGTAAAATGCTAAAATAATGTCCATTTCCATAGAAATGCACCAACTGCCTCCTCATAAGCTAGGCGAAACCTCAGTTCGAATTGGAGGCTACGAATCTGACAAAACCTTGGCTGTCGTATCGTGCGGTCCAGGCCTATGGAGGGTATCACATAGTCCAATTGAGACGTCGTTACATTATTCGCTGGAGAAAGTTTGGATCACCGATCAAAGCAAGGTGGGCTACCGATATCCATTAACCCCGTACAACCTAATGCTAATTGGATTACAGCCCGAAAAGATGCAGCCCGTTGTTGATATATTCAACTGCGTTGATTTCCCCGCACATGCCCCAGCCACGGGCCTAAGTGGCTCCTTGTTATGTATTACCGACAATACTCTCTTTGCTTGTAGCCTGGAGAAAGTAGCAAAGGCCGTGCCCCGCGAGATACGAGTCCGTGGAAACCCTAAAAGGCTTGTGTATTCCGAATATCTAAACAAGTTAATTGTGGCTTATAATAGGGTGGATTTCGACTTCACTCCGTCGACAGAGGGAACAAAGCGCTGGATATGGCCCAAGATTGGGTTTCTAGATCCAGACGGAGAGACACTTATCTCAGCCCCCATCGATTTGAGGGCTAGTGGCAACGAATCATCTACTCCCACTGTGCTCACCCGCCAACCTGTTGGGGCATCGGGTGAAAAGGTGACAGCGTTGGTAGACTGGAAATTCTACGGCGAAGGTAATGAGTACCATATGATTGTTGTAGGGACCTCATTTCCACAGGCCGAGTACAAATCAGGGAGAGATGTCTCTATTGAATACAGAGGAAGAGTTGTTTACATTACAGTTCGCCAGAGCCCACCAGGTATCGGGAACATTGATTGCATGACCAAACGCATCCATACGTACAACCAACCAGTCCGAACAATAACCCCGTTCGGACCGAGTTCCCTAATCGTGGCCTCTGGGGACGATCTTTTAATGCAGACGCTGGATCCGTCCACTCGAAAGTGGCGGACCCTGGAACCTCACCATCTTGAATCCCATGCAGTTTCAATCACCGTTAGGGAGCCATTGATATACGTTCTAACTGCCCGTCACTCACTAATAGTCCTTCGAGCGACTCAAGAGGGCCTGCTATTGCATGCCCAAGCAGGCGTCGATAAGGGGGGACTTGACCACGTGAATCTTGACGGAGAACTCAAGACTATATTCACAGCTAATCGGGGAGGAGCAATAATTGGTCTCAGGGAGTTTGGGCTGAAAGATGACAGGTTGGTTCGGCCTGTGTTTTCAGCAATCACCCCATCCGCAGTTGTGCGAGTATGTCGAAGTTTCCGTCCCCACTCTGGCGGCTGCGAGATGGTTTACGGTACGACACTGGATGGCACTCTGTATAGATTCCAAATGCTCACAGAGAACGAATGGCGCATCCTTCGATTTATTCAATATTCCTGTCTCGCGGACACCAATATCTGTCCTTTCCGCCGCAGACGTCGAACGGCCGTGGATGAGTTATGCCCTATGCCAGAGAAGCCTGAATACATGCATATCGATGGGGACATTCTTGCCCGTCTTATCAACCGCGGAGCTAGATATCTTGAGCATATGATGCGGAGAACCACCCCGGACAATGCTCCGCCTGCATATGCTGAGAAGAAGCTGGAAAGATTCATCGAATTTGCCAGGTTGGTTGTGGGTGAGACAAAAGATCCATTTACAGATGTCCTCATGTGGATGGAGAATATCCTCCGGGTTGAAATCTAATGCACCTCAACACTCCGCGCGTTTAATGATACGCTCTCAATGGAAGTCGTACTCACTTTCCCGCTCGTGTTATAGAAGGATCTATACCATTCCTTATCTTTAATTATTTTCCTTATAGCTGTTCATAGCGGGATACTTTGCATTGCCTATTAAAGGGGAAACGGTGCACTAAAAATCAAAAATTCTACAACTCGACACTCTCTATCTTAACCAAACTATGAACATTCATTCAGCCTAGGGATGAAAAAGAAACAACGTTGAATATTTACATTCGGCCGGCGTTGCATCCTTGCAAATGAACTCGCCACACACAAACAAACAACAGGCCGGGGGGCACTTAAAAGCAGCCAACCCTACGCTTGCATGGAGATATCAAGATACGGTAGCATTTACACTACTTCCACCATCGTCCTAAATGCCTTCTAAAAACTCCGTATATCAATGTATTGCTGATCTAGATATCAAAAATCGGAGCCACCAAAAAATAGGCGAGCTCTAAGCTTAGTAATTTTGAGCTTTGTTTGATAATTTTAACCAGCAGCAAGTGGAAAAGATAGGCCCCCACTAACTAACTACCTACTCCGTATCTATAGTACTCACTAAGTTCAAAGAGCGTGGGTGGGAGACAGGTACAAAGGGGACAGATTATAGACATAGTCGTAGAATAGGGGCCTAGTTAATGAGCAGGAGCCGAAGTCGCAGCTAAAGGCGGAAAAGCCCCAACCTTAGTTAAGCAGTGAATCAAGTTCTTTTAACTAATCCCACCCGCTATCAACTTTTCAGATAAGCGTTCGAGGGACGAAGACACCCACAAACCTCGCTTTTATACCAATCCCGCATATAAGAACAGTGAAGAAGCGCTGGGTAAGCTTCAGCTTGACATCAATCTCCTGGAAATTTTTTTCGGCAGGTTCCTTGCTAAACTCGTTTACAGGAAAAGAAAACTCACTACGCACACGACCGAATCGATATGGCTCCCAAAAAGAAGTCAAATAAAAAAGCCGATGACGACTGGGAAGCAGAACTGGGCGAATCGATAGCTCCGGTAAACCAGACTGAGAACAAAGAAGAGCCTCAAGCTGAAGCTGCTGCTCCGGAGGAAGACGATGACTTGGGTGGTGGACTACTCGCAGCTCTGAGGAAGAACAAAAACAAGAAGGCAAAGAGAGGGAAACCCACCAACGATTTTGTGGACGGAGAGGACCTTGCTGCTACTATAGAGAGCAAGCAGCCTGAAGAGGGCACGTTTGATGAAGATGACGTCTTTGCCGGAAAGCCAAAGGCAAAGGGAGCTACAAAGAAGGAGGCGGCAAAGCAAGAAGAACCTGAAGAGGGCGGAAAGCTAAAATCGAAGAAAGAAAAGGAAAAGGAAAAGAAGGAGAGAGAGAAGCAGAGGAAAAAGGAACAGGTGAGATATGGATTAAGGCAGGGTATTATTCGATTGAGGTGGACAATAATCCATACTGACATCTCGTTTTACTAGGCTGCGAAGAAGAAAGCAGCAGGTCCTGCTGCCGCTGCTCAGCCTGCTGCCAAACAAGAAGCTGCCAAACCTACCCCGGCCGCTGACACCAAACCGGCCCCAACTCCTGCTGCTGAGCCTTCTGGGAAGAAGAAGAAGGTCCCGGCCCATTTGGCTGCAATCCAGAGGCAGCAAGAGGCATTACGAAAGCAACAGGAAGAAGAAGCACGCCGTCTAGAGCTTGAGAAGACATTGGCTGAAGAAGAGCGCAAGAAGTTAGAGGAAGAGGAACGGAGAAAAGAGGAAGTCCGACAGAAGAAGAAGGAGAGAGAAAAGGAGAAAAAGGAACAGCTTAGACGTGAAGGAAAGCTTTTGACGAAGGCACAGAAGGAAGCAAAGGACCGAAATGAGCTACGGATGAAGCAGATGCTGGAGGCTGGTGGTGCTGTAGTTGCTGGACTCGAAGAAAAGCCTGCGGAAAAGAAGAAGCCAGTATATGACAACAAGAAGAAGCGTGGAGGCAAGAAACAGGAGGAAGATCTGGAAGCTGCTGCGGCCAGAGCGAAGGCACAACACGAAGCCGAGGAGGCCGAGAGAAAGCGACTGGAGGAGGAGAAGAAAGCCAAAGAGGCAGCTGAGGCAGCCAAAAAGGCCGAAGAAAGTGATGATGACATCAAGGAGTCCTGGGACGCTTCCTCTGATGAGGAAGATGAAGCCAAACCCAAGGCTGGAGAGACAACTACCAAGGATGCTGAGAAGGAGGCGCTGGAGGGAGCTACCCCTGAAGACTCTGAGTCCGAAGAAGATTCCGATGAAGAATCCGAGGACGAAGATGTCACATCTACGCAGAAAGCTCTCGCGCAGAGAAAGGCAGAGGCAGCAGAGCGAAGAAGAAAGCAGCATGAGGAGGCCCTGGCAGCACAGTCGAAAGATAACCTCCGTTCCCCTATTTGCTGTATTCTTGGACACGTCGACACTGGAAAGACCAAACTTTTGGATAAGATCAGGCAGACCAACGTGCAAGAAGGAGAAGCTGGAGGTATCACCCAGCAAATTGGAGCTACCTACTTCCCTGTTGACGCCCTCGTCCAGAAGACCGCAGTTGTTAACAAAGATGGTAAATTCGACTTCAAGGTTCCTGGTCTGCTTGTCATCGATACCCCTGGGCACGAGTCCTTCTCCAATCTGCGTTCAAGAGGATCTTCGCTTTGCAACATTGCTATTTTGGTTGTCGACATTATGCACGGTTTGGAACCCCAGACTCTCGAGTCTATGAGACTTTTGCGTGATAGGAAGACCCCCTTCATTGTGGCTTTGAACAAGATAGACAGATTGTTCGGTTGGAAGAAGATTGATAACAACGGCTTCCAGGACAGTTTGGCTAAGCAGAGCAAGACTGTTCAGAGCGAGTTTAGAGACCGAGTTAACAAGACCAAGCTCGCCTTTGCAGAACAAGGATTCAACTCCGAGCTGTACTATGAAAACAAGTCTATGGCTCGTAACGTTTCTTTGGTTCCTACTTCGGCTCATACTGGAGAGGGTGTGCCTGATATGCTTAAGCTACTTGTCACTCTTACCCAGGAGCGTATGACCAACGCACTTATGTACCTCTCAGAAGTCGAGTGTACTGTTTTGGAAGTGAAGGTTATCGAGGGTCTCGGTACTACTATTGATGTTGTACTTTCTAACGGTGTGCTTCGCGAAGGAGATCGTATCGTCCTTTGCGGTCTCAACGGCGCTATTGTCACAAATATCCGAGCTCTTCTAACTCCAGCCCCAATGAAAGAACTCCGCCTCAAATCTGCATACGTTCATAACAAGGAAGTCAAGGCTGCCCTTGGTGTCAAGATTGCTGCCAACGATCTCGAACATGCTATTGCTGGTTCCCGACTTCTTGTGGTCAACCATGACGATGACGAGGAGGATCTTACGGATGAAGTCATGTCTGATCTAGAGAACCTTCTCAGCAAGGTTTCCAGAGACAACCGTGGTGTTGCCGTTCAGGCTTCTACTCTTGGTTCTCTCGAAGCCTTGCTAGAGTTCTTGAGGACATCCAAAATCCCCGTTGCCAACATCTCTATCGGACCTGTGTACAAACGTGATGTCATGCGTGCAGGTGCTATGCTTGAAAAAGCCAAGCAGTTCGCCGTCATGCTTTGTTTCGATGTCAAGGTCGATAAGGAAGCCCAGGCTTATGCAGATGAGAACGGCATTAAGATTTTCACTGCTGATATCATTTATCATCTGTTCGACGACTTCACGAAGCATATGGAAGAGCTTGCTGCGCAGAGAAAGGAAGAGAGCAAGCTACAAGCTGTCTTCCCTTGTGTCTTGTCACCTGTTGCTGTATTCAACAAGAAGGATCCGATTGTTATTGGTGTTGATGTTACTGAAGGCTCCCTTCGTCTTCTAACGCCCCTTGCCGCCGTGAAAACCAACCCAACCACAGGACAGAAAGAAATCATCAGTCTCGGTAGAGTGTGAGTATACCCCCGGCTTATTTCATATATACACTCTTATACTAGATGTATCTGTACTAACTTGACTGTATAGGATGTCCATTGAGCGAGACCACAAGCAACTCCCTATCTGCAAGAAGGGACAGCCTTCCGTCGCCATCAAGATTGAAGGACCCAACCAGCCGCTGTACGGCCGCCAGCTCGAAGAAAAGGATATTCTCTACTCGATGATCTCCAGAAAGAGCATAGACACACTTAAGGAGTTCTACCGATCAGACGTAACGATGGAGGAATGGGGTCTTATTAAAAAGTTGAAGCCAGTGTTTGATATCCCTTGAGAGTCTTTACAGCGCCAGAACCCGCCCAATCTCCAGAAGATACTATGATTCATGTTAACCAGCATGCAAGACAGCTATGTTTGTAATGACTTTTTGTCTACCTTTGCTTGTGGGGTATTTCAAAGCTTCCATTAGTTAATTGCGTAGAATATCATATTTTTTTCACTCTTTACATTCGCTTCGTGCTTGCATTTTGAACCAATTTCAATCACCGCATGCATGCCCTGCCACCATGCAATAATACACTTATCCACCGTAGTTATACAAGAATTGAAGTGACAAAAAAGGAAAAGAGAAAGAGGTATAGACGTAGATTAACACCTCAATATTCAGGTCCATCCCACCTCTCTACCTTCCCGCCATGCCTCTCCCAGTCCAAAATACTTCCATCGTACACCCCGATTCTATCAGCGTCATACCCCGCCCTAACAGCCAGTTCACCTGCTGTGCGAGCTCGAATGCCGGCCTTGCAGTAAAACACCATCTTTGCAGCAGTGTTATTGTCGCCTCCCTCCACGCCTGGCTTGGGGAAACCGAACCGAGTCAAGAACTCGTCTGGGGTAAGGAACATGGCGTCCGTTTGGGATCCGATGGGTATGGAGAGAGCGGATGGGATGATTCCCGTAGCTTCGAGCTCGGGTGGTTCGCGGACATCGATTAGGATTATATTTGGCTTTGAGGAGGGCGAGGAAGGGTCTTGTTTGGGTAAGGAGGAGTTTATCTGGTTGTTTCCGATGTTAGGTATATATATTCTGTATGGGTGCGTTGACGTATCGAAGGATGCCTTACATCTTCAAACTTGTATTCTTTTAGCGAGAGAGGTTCGTAGCTGCTATTTGATTGTGATAAACAAGCTGAATTGGAGAATAGTCGGGCCTGTTGGCTGGCTGGCTGGGTATATGGCCTTTGGTGTCTGGTGTTTGCGGTAATGGTGGAATGCGCTCGCACGCCTATGGCCTGCAGCCGACGAGCCGCAGGTAGTGCAACGGTGCGGGTGGAAGGCCAAGCCACCTTCGAGCATAAACGAAGGGCTGTTCTATTAGAAAACATGTTGCTATCTGCCTTGTTGGCCAAAGTAATCAGACTTATTAGATTGAATGACTGAATGCCTGGTGAAGCTACCATGCGTCGTCGGACAAAAAGTCGCTGGGCTCGGCAAGTCGACGCCGCCTCCGCAGGGTAAAAATAAGGTTTTTAGTTTAACTCCGAAGATTGATGATGTAATAACCGCAAGGGAAAGTAAAGAAGAAGAAAATGACAATAAACAAACACAAACACTTTTGAGTTACGCTGAGACATTGACATTAATATTGACTGGAGTTACGCTAAACATACGTTCGCGGGAAGGAAAAAGAAACAAGATAAGGCGAAGCATAAGTGGACGAACGGAAGCCGAGGTTAAGCAGAAGAGAAAGAGGTGCCTTCACCGAATATCATTCATTAATAGCGATTAAGTATTATATGCACTCCATAAGCATGCCTGATTAGCTGTTGCGATGCGTAAAAAACCGTCCCCGTTCCCCCTGTCCATTCCCAAAGGCGAGGCCGACATGCCAAAGCTGACAAGGCAAGGTGCTCGCTCAGTTCTCGTATATCATATACGAGCCGTTTTCTGAACTTAAAAAGCTTTTGCAATGAAGTAAGTAATGTAAAAGAAGAAAAAAGAAAAGAAAAAGCGTAAAGAGACGTGAGGCAGAAACAAAATAAGAAGATCGAAAGCGAAGTCAAAAGTGTAGTAGGAGAAGAGGGGGTAGTGGTGTGGGAATCATAAGGCGGAAGGGAACGTCTGGGGTAGAGAGGTTCCATAGGACTTGATAGGGAGAAGTGAAGAGAAAGGGTTGGGATGGGGACATTAATAAAAGGAGATAAGGGTGGAGTGCAAGGCAAAGCCCGTCATGCTGTAAAAGAATCACTGTATATAATGTATTCAGTGTGTTAGGAGAAATGAGGAGGAGTAAAAGAAGTAGAGAAGAAGAAGTGGAGGAGTGCAGGGAATTAGGTATTAAGGTGACGTGTATCCTCGAACCGGTGTTTCGGTATTGAAAGCAAAAAGGGAGGAGAGGGGCCTCTAAAAGTAAAAGGTAACCCCAGGGATCATTCATAACATTAATCACTCTGGCCGGGGTCGTACGACGAGTGGGCAGTCATCCTATAAAAATTTAGTATCTTTGCTTAGAATCGCGGGTGAGAAAGATCAGCTGAGTCCTACCTGTGGGAAGATGGTAGCGAAGACTTTGATGTCTTCGGACTGGGGAGTGGTGTGGTGCTCCCAGTCGATGAGCATACTGGCCTTTCCGATCAAGGCCATCAAGTTAAGCACTGCATAAGTCTGTCCTAGACAGTAATGAGGACCTGTTCCAAAGACCAGGAAGTTCTTTGCGTTCTGCTCAGCGGTACCGGTGATCCATCGCTCTGGAATGAAGGATTCCGGGTCCTCGTATGCCTCGGGGTCGTGGGTAGCCGGCCAGACGGATGGGACAATCATGGATCCCTTGGGGAGAGTGTATGTGGGGGTGACCGGGAAGTCCTTCTTGACTTCGTATGGGACCATAATGACTGGTGGGCGGTATCGAAGGGTCTCCTTGACGACGGCACGGGTGTAGGTGAGCTGGTCGAGCAGTTCCATGGAGATGGGTACATTGCGGTCACCGTTCCGGACCTTGAGGTTCTCCTCTCGGACCTTGTCGAGGATGTCTGGGCGATCGGCCATGATCTGGAAGAGCCAGGTACAGGCGCTGCTGGTTGCGTCCTGGGAGGCAAAGAGAAAGGTGAAGATGGTCTGTGCAATCTCATAGTCCGTGAAATCACGGAGGATGTGCTTTGGCTTCTCGGCGTCTGGAACAGCGATACCCTTGGCGATCTTCTCGCGGTAGGCGGCAGAATCGAGCATGGCCTTGACCCAGCCGTCCATGATGCAGGATACCTCGTCGCCAGCAGCCATGCGGACCTTGCTCTTGGCAGCACACTTGCTGAACTCGGCCAGGACCATGTCAGCTGCCTTCTTTCCGTACCAGGTCTTGGTGAAGGGGAGGATGATGGGGAAGTTGACGAGCTCGAGCGCAGCGGTGATGAGATAGTAGTCGTTGGCGATCTTGACCACGGCTTCGCTGGTCATGTAGTCACCCACAAAGGTCTGGCAGGAGAGGGCACACATGAGCTCTCTGAACTGTGACATCCATGGAACGGGCTTGTGGTTGTTGTCAGCAGACTCCTTGATGAACATGCTGAAGTACCTGTCGTAGACGCTGTTAAGGAGCGGCATGTAGACGCTCAATGCCTGTCTGGTGAAGAGGCCATTGAGACCCTTGCGGTACTCGACATGGTCTTTGCCGTCGAGGAAGACCCAGTTAGTCTTGCCGAGCAGCTTGTGAGCCGAGTCGACGACGCACGGCTTGACGTACATGGGCGAGTTGAACACTTTGCGGGCCATGTCACGGGTAGAGGCAATCACGACAAACCTGCACGCCCGCCATCAGCAAACAATCGCACTTTTTCATAATAGAAACAAACAAGAAGTATAGAGGGAGTGTCAACGTACTTGTGGAAGACAGAGACGCAGCTGAGGTCTCCACTGGCCCATTTTGCCTTGTATTCAGAGAACTTGGGGTTGACCGACTCGAGGAAAGGCCCCATGAAGGGGATCTTGAACCGGGGACCAACAATTGACCCCTTCAGCCATATGTATTTAACTAACCCACGGCAATATCAGTCAACCCGCATATTGAAACAGAGACGATGAAGTAAAAAAAGGGCTCTGAGCACGAAGAAACTGACATTGATCGTAGGCGACTGCGAAGAGGAAGAGCGCAAGCACGGCGCCCCAGGCAGAGGTATTGTTGTAGATGGCCATGAAGAGGCCCGACGAGGAGGCGACGGCCGCATGGAGAGAGGCATCTGCTGCGGGCGAGGCGAAGCTCCCGTTGACGCTGGCCATGGCGAGTCTATCTGTCGTGTCTATCCGTCTATCCGTCTATCTGTCTATCGGCCTGTCTGTTTGGATGATTGAGATGTCGTCCTGTCGTATGTTGTGTGTCGTGCTGCGATACCGATAGCCGGGGGACTCAACGAGCTGCCAGCTTAACTAAGAACTCCCTTTGTTAACTCCTGATTTGAAAGCACAGCCCATGAACGGCAGACACAAGAGTAAAACAAGAAAAAGAAGGACAAAGCTGTTGTTGATGTCGTGTCTGGCAGCTGCGGACTCTCTCCTTCTTGTCTCTTTTTTTTTTGGTTCTTTTTTTGTGTTTTATTCTGTTTGCTTAAGACGAAGAAGAAGAAGAAGAAAAGGAGCAAAAAAAAGAAAAAAAAGAAAAATCATTAAATTAATTTTGGAAAAAGAAAAGAAAAAAAGAAAAAAAAGGAAATTAAGATAGTCGCATTAGTCAGCAAGATGCAAGGACCGGGGAGTTGATTGGCCAGAGTCCCGAAGAGGCTTAGTGCGGAGGACGGAAACTTGGTGATCCCGAGGAAGAGCCACGGGCCACGCACTCAGCAAGAGACGCAGGGCGTGTTTATGCACGGTTTTATGCATGTGCTGTGCTCATAAGGAGGGGCAGCGCGTGGCGATAAGAGGAGACCCATCACGTGATTATCTCGTATAGTAAGTCACCTGACTAGGCGTACCCTGAAAAGTGGCTTGCGAAGAAGAACAAGAAGAAGTAAACAAAAAAAGATGAAGCAAAGGAAGATGAAGAAGAAAAGAGGGAAATAGTCGCTGGGAGGGAGACAAGAAGGGGGCTGCTGATGAGGAATCAGGCTGCAGTAGAAAGTGACAGAGCGCAAGCCATGAGACCAGCAAAGAGACCTCTCTATCCGCCGCCGCAAAGTGTGACTCGGCCAAAGTCGCACAAACAGGAAGAAGCAGCAGCAGCAGCAGCAGCAGCAGCTGAGCTCGAACTCCGTACTCCGTATATTTTTTAAGGGTAAGCTTTCACGGCGGATTAATTCCCACTATTTGCCAGGGTTAAGGGGTCAAAGATGCCTGCCAAACGAAACACGGAGTAGAACAAGCCAGACGAACGAGACGAAGAAGAAAGACCGAGAGCGACCAACGGCGTCCCTACTTAGGTAGCGCCCTTGCTAGTCCTGATAGATTGAGTCATGGCTGCTTCTGACGGGCTTCGCTGGCCTTTCTAGCTAGTGGTTCCCTGCTGCTCCGCGTGTCCTTCTTGCTTCTTCTTCGCCTTCATCTTCGTCCTTTGCCTCTAGTAAGAACTTACTATGCAAAGTGCTCCGTCGTGCTCCGTAAGTTAAAGCTGGTTAACTCCGAGGATGCTCCAGCCTCTGTATTTGTCAGCAGAGCAAGGGCCTCGGGCTTTGGCCGCGAGGGGAAACGCGGACGAAGGAGCACATATACATATATATAAAGCATGGGATGCATAGTAAGAGAGGGAGAGCGCAGAGTACAAGCAAGGAAGAGCAAGGCAGCAAGCTGGTGATCCTCTGCTGCTGCTGCCGCTGCCGCTGCCAGGGTTGAGAGAGGAGCAAAAGAACGCCCGAAGAAGAAAAGTTCCGTATTCGATTCCACTGATTGATTCATCCGATCCCCATGGCCCATCACGACGCAGCCCGGCAGCCACCTGCACCGCTGGCCGGGCAAGCCGGCTCCGGCAAGGCACCATCCGCCTCATGCCATCTGCGCATCGCTCGTCCGTCGCTCGACATCGCCAGGACGGAGCGCTTCTACGTCGAGGGGCTGGGTCTCAGCGTGCTCTGGCGGTGCGGCCCCGAGACCCTCGGCGGCCATGCCCTGGTCATGCTGGGCTGGCCGGGAGCTGCGTGGCATCTGGAGATAGTCGATGATGCGCGCGGGGAGACTGCCCCAAAGCCGACAGAGGAAGACCTGCTGGTGCTCTACGTGGACGGCTCTGTTGATCCGGCGGTTGTAGAGAGGCTGGTTGAGGCGGGCGGGAAGCGAGTCACTGCGCGCAACGAGTACTGGGAGCAGTTTGGCGTGACCGTCGAGGACCCGGATGGGTACCGTCTGGTGCTCAGCCAGAGAGGATGGACCAACGAGGCATCATCATAATCACCATAGCTCTTCACAGCTTTAATTCATCATCATTACTTGTTCATATTCTGTCTCTCTCTATATTGATTGTTTACGTAATGATGAGGTTATAGCATCTGTTGATATAGCATTCGAGGCGTTGCGGGCCAGATCAACGACCAAATCCAAACCAGCCCTTTTTGGTCTCCTTCTTCGGCTCCGCAGATGGAGCCGGCTCAGCTGTCGCCGCACTGGTGGCCCCCGCAGCGTCAGAGAGGACGGCGCCGCCCTTCTTCTCCATCGGATACTGGATGTAGTTCCACGCCAGATCGAGGAAGATAGGCTTGACCGGGATGGGCTCTAGTCTCGGTGGATAGGCCACAAGGTTGCTGAGATTCACCCCGTCAAGGTGATATTCTTGCATCCTCCGCACGACAGGAGGCAGCGTTGCCGGGTCTCGCTGGTCAGACTCGGCCGCCAGCTTCTCGATCTCCACTATGCCGCGATACTGCCACACGAGATGCTGAAGTTGGACATGCAGCTCTTCTGCCTGCGATCGTGAGACGTCGACGCCGAGTGGGTGGCCTGGTGCGTCATCCGTCTCTTCGCTGCACGACGGGAGGGCCTTGGATACAAGCTCAACGGCGCGGATGAATAGTGCAAGAGCGTTTTTGGACTCTGACCGGAAGCCGTGAGACCTTCCAATGGCGAGACACCTATACACACACACAGAAAATATGTTAATTGAGCTTACTTTATTGGCCTCTTCAAAAGCGAAAGTGTCAAGACTTACCGTAATGACTTGAAGTAGGAGTGCTTGGCTTCAAGTTCTCGAACAAAAGCCGCATCGGCCGCAACGCCAGGAAGCTCCTTGACGGATTCCAGGCTCTGCAGGATAGAGTCGTACAGCACTACATGTTCTCGAAGACGCCCAATTCGTCTACCCAGGCTTTCCTGTTTGGCAGTTTCCACTTCTTCTTTTCCCTTTCGGCGAGCGGTCGTTGGCGGAGTAAAGTTCAATCCGTCAGCGTCACCACAAAGCACCCTGTTCCTACCGACACGCCAGCCCACTAGCCGGTAGTTGACGGCCGTCTTCGTAATCTGTAGGCTCTGCATCCGGGCATCACCCTGATCTATTCCTTCGCTGGTCAACTCGTCAATCGCCGCCTTCGTTGCATCAACGGCATCCTGGCTCGCAATTATCACACTGTCATAGTTGGCTGCAGTTTCTTTCGCAGACGCCTTTTGACCACCTTGCTTTGCAATCCAGGCCGACAGCTGAGCCTCTGCAGAAGCTGCAGACGCCAAAGCCTGTGATATCGCTGCATCTTCAATCTTCACTGTCCTTGACCTCCAAGTGATGGTTTGTGGGAATGCCTGCCCTTCTCCTGAGCCGGTAGCAGCGTCTAGTCCTCCCTCCGCCGTATCCTCACTTAAACAGTGCGGGTCAATGGCCTCTACTTCCCCTCTCAATGGGCTCTCAGCCGGAAAATACTTCTTTGCAATTGTGCCTAGAGGGATTGACCGGGGTATCTTAAGTTGATACGCAGAGTAGCGTATGCTTGGATCAACAGTGCCCGAAATAACTTCCTGAATGTTGCCTTGCTTATCCTGCCTCTCCAGCGCAGCATATAAAACCCGCGCCAGGGATGCCTGCTTCAGGCACTTTTCCCACTGCCGCCTCTCCATCCAACACGCCGTTGCCAGTGTGGCCAGATACGCATGTGCTTCTAAGAAATCCGTTCGAGAAGCGCCTGCTTCCTGCTGATTCTCAAGTGCAGATGCCAGCTGCTTTGCGTAGACGGTAGACTTAGTCAACCGGGAGATTATATGTCGCCTTGCCGATCCAACCATCCCTTTCTTCGAGGTGTCCTGGGAATGAACGGATCGCATGTGCATGGCTTCTGCCCATGCTCGCTCCGCGTAGAGAAGTAGTATCCGAACATAACTATTGCCATAAATCAGTACAAGTAGTTACGTCAAAAAATTGTCGATTACACAACCACGTACCTATGATCTTTAGCTATGTCACTAGACGTGATAACTGCTTTGCCGGAGAACTTTTTGTGCTTGGGCGTGGTTCTTCCAAGTCGTTTGTTGAGGGTATGCAATCGTCGTGTCAACATCGCTCGATACTTGTTGTAGTCGCCCATTGACAGGGCTTCCGCCCTATGCGTTACAATAAATCCTGTGATATCCATGGTATTATTCGGTCTCCCGCTGCGACTCCGCGTCCAACTAAACCGTCTATCAAATGTCCTCTCCTTCTTCTGCTTCGTCTTTTCTTTCTCCCCGCCAGCAACTTCCCATTTGCTTAGATTATGTAAACATTTGTGGGCTAAATATCCCGGTAACGCTTGAACTATTCCCCGAAATGCTTACTCATCGTACTTTTCTTTTCCTGGCGTGTTCAAAGCTTCAATTTGATATTCGAGACGACGAGCTCAAGTGTCTTTTTTTCCCACTGTCTCTCTTCCACTGTTCATTTTGTTAGCTGGAATTCAGCTTCGTCGGGATAATAAATTGGGTTTTCAGTGAATCCTCTTGTTCCGGAGGGATTATATATCTTGAGAGTGGTGCTGCTTACCCTTTTCGACTTCATGAGGAATTTTTTTCTCACGTCTTAACCAATATCTCTTGACCTCATCCCGATTATGCACTTTGAGCTGTGAAATGCCAATTCTTCTCAGAAGTGTGCTAGCTCGCAGTCCAGGGAATGCTCGAGCGTGCTGTTCGGTGTATCGAGAATGCTAGCCAGCATGTCTATCTCGGTTCCAAGCGCACCTTTCGGTCACGGCATATATTGCACCCCAAATTCTGGCACTGCAACACCGACGACTCCGCTCTATCCCTTCTATATTTCTACGCCGTCCAGTCAAGGTCAGGGAAGAGGTCGCCGGCGCAGCATAATAACAACGATGACGGCCCCTTGGACTCGGCACTCCCGCCAACACCACTCGAGTTCCTGTACCCCCCGAAAACCCGGCTGTTCGCCCGCACCTATACCTCCGAAACCAAGAGAAATCTCGGCCATGGAGGCAGGAGAAGGCGAAATATATACAGAACATACTCTTCCTCGGCCAGCAATTGCGTTACCGAAGAAGCATTAGACACTAGAAATTCTTTTTCACATGATGTTGGATCAGATGAGAGTCCGGAAGTCCTTCGAAAATTTCTTACGGATAAAGGTCCTCGAGATTACGGTGCTGCTTGGTGGCTTTATAGATCGAGTGGTTCTCCTAAGGGGTTCGAATCGGATCTTTTATCATATCTTTCGACGTCTCAGGATCCTCGAGATTTCCAGCGTTGTCAACTACTTTTTGAAAGTATACATCCAAGGAATCGCAGTGAGCGTGATTGTTTAAGCACAGTCAAGATTGCTTTGAATACCAAAAGCCGAGCATATACGAATTTTGCCTTGGAGCTGTGTGGGGAAGCGTCTGCAAGAGGCCAGACGCAATGTTGGCAATATGCATTTATGGAGTTTGTGAATCGCATGGACTGGGACAATGCTCTTTGTCTTTGGAGACTTCAGCCTCATCCTTTACCTGATAAGCTGCATTCCATGGACCGCCAATCAAAACTGTCGGCAGATCCGTTACTTGCCCTCTTGGAAGTTGCCCAACAACGAAATACGAAAGATACAATGGAGATGGCCCGCTACGTGGTTCAGCTTGCCACCTCTCACGATAAAGTGATGATGTCGATGTCAATGAATGAGCTAATGAAGATTTTTGAAACCTCCATTAAACTTGATCTGTTTGGCCATAAAGATTATATTAAGGCTATCAATGCTCTACAGTCCTCAAAGATCCGGTCCGCAAATGGCCGTTCAATAATGCTATATCGCAACTTTCGCTGGCGCATCCCTGAAATTACTCCCCCAAAATCATTGATTATGGGACTGTTGCAGATGCTTTGTGAGATTGAGGTCTTGGAAGGCGTTGACTACCTCCTAGGCGAATATCGCGTACATTATGGCAAACCACCACTGCTGGCTTACCATCATGCGTTAACTGTATCAGCAAGACTTGGCGAAACATCGACAACCCTCCAGTTTTACAATGACTACACAACGGACCACGGACGTGCAGATTCTACGGAAATTCTAACGCCTCTCTTGTATGTTCACGCCAGAACTGGTGACGTGAAGGAAACGCAAAAATGGTTCAATCGTGTTTCCGAACTTGGTGTTAAACCACAAGTTCAGTACTGGAACATTCTGCTTACCGCGTATTCGAAAAATAAGGATCTAGAAGGGGCACTTCGTACATTCCAACAAATGCTTCGGAGCGGTATGACGCCTGACGCCGTTAGCTTCACCATCCTTATGGGTCTGTCAGCTGGACGTGGTGATACTAAGGCCGTTTTGGATCTATTTGACATGGCTAAACGGAATGGAGTCCGTCTTCAGCGCTCCATGTTCGATACCATGGTTGAAGTACTGTGCAAGCATCGAAGGTTCCGGGAAGCTGAGAGGGTGGCTGAAGAGGCTACATCAATTTTCCCTGTCAATACTATGACCAGAACCTGGAACATTCTCCTGTGGAATTACGCATACACCATTGATATCTCTGCTGTTTTAAGAATACAGAACCGGATGCAGGATGCAGGGATTCAATTTGATGGCATGACATATGCTGCAATGATGTCGAGCCTTGTTCGCGTTGGCAAAACCAACTCTGCACGCAAAATCTTACGAGTTTTGCACAGAAACCACGAGATTCATCTAACGCTTTTCCATTACGCCATTCTTCTCCACGGCTATGTACAGGAAACAAACCGTGATATGGTCCAAGTATTGTACACTGAGATGATGGAACGTTTTAATAAAGCTGGCTTGAGTGGGACTTTGGCTATGCTTCAATCCCAGATCGACCGTGATATCCGGCGGGCTCGAGAAACAATGGGGAGCGCATCTAGCGGAAAATTTGCTCTTCCACATGCAGAAAAGCTTCTCAAGTCCGCTATGGCTCAGCTCGATACCCAAGACTTTAGTACCAAACAGCCTCAGCCTGGTGCGCAGGGTCGATCATTGCGTGAGGCATTCCCTGCTGCATTCTATGAACAACTTATCAGAGCATATGGACGTAATAATAGGGACGAAAAGGTTGGGGAATTATTCTTGGAATTTTCAAAGGAATCAAGGTCTACCCTTCCGGACCGCTTGCCACATTCCCCCATGATCCTCCATTCTCTGATGGTAAACTTCCTCGCAAAGAATCGGCATTTTGAAGTCAAGAAATGTTTCGAGGCTGCCCTCACCCACACTCTCCAGCGTTCGCGTGGAATCAACGTTCAAGCAGCCTTGTCACGTCCAACCGGCCCTCTTGCAGCACTCAAGGCTAACAAGAAAGGTCCAGCTGAAGTTTCGTTTTATAACAACACTCCAAAAGTTCTTCCATCTCACCGCTTTGATCTTTCTCACTGCATTTCGACATTCATGCGTTCTCTATCATCACAAAATCTCCACTTGAAAATCGCGGATCTTGTGACACAAATTGAAAAACTTGGGTTTGCACTCAGCACACATAATTGGTCTCTATATGTTAACATTCTCTGTCTTTCCCGTGACCCTGCTTCTCAGATGCGGGCGTTTACCATTTTTGAGGAGAAATTTATGCCCAACTATCCAGGTTGGAGATATATAAAACGTGGATACACCCTTAGACCGGACGGTGCACATATGGAAATGGATCTCATGGAAGGACCTTTTCGCCGGGGAAAGCCTGGTCGTATGATTGGGCGAAAAGTCCGTGCTCTGTGGGCAAAGGTTCAACCGGATTACATGCAGCCTACCCATCTCAATATTCTTCACCTTGCTTCTGCCCTGATTGATTTCCGATCCCGATCAATTGTTGATGGAGGGAAAGAGATGAACCAGCTTTTCTCCAGGGCACCCAAAACATACACCGCTGTTGCGACAATTCCATATCTGGAAGAGAAATTCCAAAATATTCTTCGCCGCTATAAGGCTGATCAGGCAGATGTGGAGCGACTTCCAAGAGTCGAAATTTCCAACGATGATGTATGGACCGGGGGTGTTTTGGGAGAAGGCAGTGAACGGATAAACACCAGTGAGGCGGAATCTGCTTTTGAAGAAGAAGACGTAAGAGGTGATGAAGACTGCCCTGGCTCTGAATGGGCACCTGAAGTTCATGAGCAGCCAGAGAGTTTCGAGTCTACCGAGCCAGCCTCACCGTTGCTGGATTCCCTATTAGCCGAAGACATGTCCCGCCGGCAGAGGATGGGACGACCAGAGCAATCAAACGCTGTCCCCTTGGCTGAACGGATATTAAGTGCTGAAGATCAGTGGGATTTGGATAACGATAAATATCGCTCTATGTCCGAAGAAACAGAAAAGAAGTAGTCAATGACGCTTCCACGACATCTGTATATAGTTTCAATGGTGGAAGCAGTCATTTTATTACCGTCCAGCGAGTCCCCTACTGTATCAACATCTACCCTTATGTATTATAATTATAGCTTTCTTGGACGAATAATTAATGGTAACCTATATATCAGATCTTTTTCTTCTCTCGTCTTTCTATGACATTCGTAAATCAATGTTGTATGGTAGTAAATGCACCTCACCTTCTCATTGGCCCAGTTAACGCGCCTCTTCTAAAAACCACTTTAAGTCGCGTGTCGCGTGTAAGTCTCGCGTTTTATGTTTTGTGAGGATTTTCTTCTTTCACAACTTCAGGAAGCAGAAAAGCCATCAAACAAGAGTCGCAGTCCAGGATAACTAGCCCGTCCTCGCCGTTGTTCGAAGGATTATTCCATAATCCCAGCTTTTTTACAAATTTACGCAATTACATTCTTCTCCTAGATATTTTAGAAACTGGCCCCCTGAGAATTGAAGCCCAATATGGACGCCCCGCTGCTTCAAGATGAAGCTGCCCGCGATAACAAGCGAGCGGCAACGGAGTTTCTTGACCCAGGTCAGTTCTGATATAATCAGCCTCAATAAATTTTATAAGATCTAATGAGTCTCCTTTAGTTGATCCACGAGCTCGAAGGTTGTTTGTATCTCTTGTTACCAAGATTTGCCGATGCTAACGTCCTGCAGTTACCGCGCCGACATAGCTGTGATGATAAATAGGGGACTTCGCAGATTCACGGTATATAATTGCTTCCCCTTTTTTAGAAATAAGCAATGGACTTACAATGCTAATGGTTCTGTTTCCTAGATTAGTATTGACGATATCCGAGCCCACAGCCCAGAGCTAGCTAAAGGGTATACCACCCCGTCAACATTGAACTTGGAAGTGACAGCTTCTGACATTTGAATAGACTACTCACTTCACCCTTTGAGTATACACTGGCATTTGACCAGGCATTGCGAGAAATTGTCACAACCATAGCCAGTCAACCACGAAGAGCTGATTCCGATGAGACCGTACGTTGAGAAACTACCTATGCGCCCTGGAGACACGAACCTAATTGATGGATAGGAATATTACTGTGCATACGTTGGTGCATTTGGTGAATATGCTTGCAACCCTCGAACGCTCAGCTCATCGCATTTAAACCGGATGATCGCTCTTGAGGGTATCGTAACAAAATGTTCTCTCGTCAGACCAAAGGTTATTCGAAGTGTCCATTACAACCCCAAGGACAAAGCCTTTTTGTCAAGGACGTACCAGGATCAGACCATGACAGCTAGTGGATCGACTAGTTTAAATGTATACCCACAGCAGGATGAACATGGAAATCCAGTGAGCAGCCTCATTCAGGAATTTATTAAGACGGTTCCGGTTTACTAACAAATGAACAAAGCTTATAACTGAGTATGGATACTGCAAATATCGAGACCACCAAATGATATCCATACAAGAAATGCCAGAAAGGGCGCCTGCTGGACAGCTCCCACGTGGCGTTGATGTTATCCTTGATGATGATCTTGTTGACAAGGCTAAGCCAGGAGACAGGATACAACTCGTAGGAGTTTACCGATCCCTTGGAAATCGAAATGCAAGCTCAAGCAGTTCCACTTTCCGCACGGTCGTCATTGCGAATAATATTATCCATCTTGCGTCCAAGTCCGGTGGTGGAATTGTCCAACCCACAATAACGGATACTGATGTTAGAAACATTAATAAATTGGCAAAGAAGAAGAATATTTTCGACCTTCTTTCCCAATCCCTTGCGCCAAGTATATATGGCCATGATTATATCAAGAGAGCTATATTGCTCATGCTACTGGGAGGAATGGAGAAGAATCTTGACAATGGAACCCATCTTCGTGGAGACATTAACATTCTAATGGTTGGTGACCCATCCACAGCCAAATCTCAACTTCTACGATTTGTTCTCAACACTGCTCCATTGGCTATTGCCACTACCGGTCGAGGTTCATCTGGTGTTGGTCTTACTGCTGCCGTGACAACCGACAAGGAAACTGGAGAGCGTAGGCTAGAAGCCGGTGCTATGGTTTTGGGAGATCGAGGAGTGGTGTGCATTGACGAGTTCGATAAGATGAGTGATGTCGATCGAGTTGCAATCCACGAAGTTATGGAACAGCAGACTGTCACGATTGCAAAGGCCGGTATTCATACGTCTTTGAATGCCCGGTGCAGCGTTATTGCAGCCGCAAATCCAATCTTTGGACAATACGACACTCACAAGGATCCCCATAAGAATATTGCCCTCCCTGATTCACTTTTGTCCCGTTTTGATCTTCTCTTTGTAGTGACAGACGATATTGACGACAAGAGAGATAGGCTTGTTTCTGAGCATGTTCTTCGAATGCACCAGTACCGTGACCCAAGACAGGAAGAAGGGGCTCCCGTACGTGAACAAACCGGCTCCAGTCTTGGGGTCGGCCTTGAAGAGAGCCAGGACAAGAATAGAACGACCGAGGTGTATGAGAAGTTCAACGTGATGCTTCATGCTGGTATCTCTCAGACTGGCAGAAAGGCTGGCAAGAAGGTGGAAGTGCTAAGCCTTCCCTTTGTCAAGAAATATATCCAATATGCCAAATCGCGAATTAAGCCAATTCTTAGCAAGGGCGCCGCCGACCATATTGTGAGCACATACTCTGCTCTCCGAAACGATGAGTTGCTTGGAAACCAGAGAAAGACCTCCCCCATGACTGCTCGTACGCTCGAGACCTTAATCCGTCTCTCCACGGCCCATGCAAAGGCACGTCTGTCCAACCGAGTAGACGAGAAGGACGCAAAGGCTGCCGAGGCCATTCTCCGATTTGCCCTGTTCAAGGAAGTCGTTGAGGATGAGAGACGCAAGAGACGAAAGACTGCCAATATACCCGAATCAGACTCCGATTCAGAAGACTCTGACAACGATGAGGAAGGAGATTACACACCACGCCGAAGGACAACCCAGTCAGCTGCAGGAACTCGATCCAGCAACCGACCGGGCCTCAGGGGCTCCAGGGCAACGTCTACTCCTGGAGGAAACGGTGCAAATGACGAAGACGATGACGATGATGATGATGACCAGGACGGCAGATACAATGCTTCTCCTAGTGGGCGGGCACCGCCATCTTCATCAAGACAGACACGAAGCCAACAAACACAATCCCAATCGCAAATGTCCGTGGCATCGTCTCAGCCAGCATCGCAGCTGCTTCAATCTCAGGAGACAGACAATACAGAGTCTCAAGAGGATATCCTGGCGAAAGCGGTTGCAGCGTCGGCCTCTCTACCTCCGCTTCCACAACCTCGTCTGCACACCTTCCGACAAGCTCTCGGCCCACTTATGCGGTCCGATCTGTTCCATGGAGATTCTGCGGATGTGATGAAGGTCGTTGAGGCCGTGAACACCTCAATACAGTCGTCCAGCGCAGGGAGTGGCGGCGTGTTTGAGCTGACTGAGGCACTCCAGGCTTTGGCCGTGATGAACGACCGGAATGAAATCATGTAAGTTCTCACTCTTTTTTTCTTTCTGATTATTGGTTCCGAGTACATAAGCTGACTCAATTGCTACTAGGTATCTTGGTGATGAAACCGTTTACCGGATGTGAGGTACTCTGATGTTGGCCTTTCTTCCATAGACTTGTAATGTGTGACGTCGAATTGCTCTATGTTTCTTTCTCAAAAAGTATCAAGATATCAAGTATAAGGCTTGGGAATAGGTAGTCAAACCATCGTAATGGGGAATATAATTTGATTAATGCTAAACGGGCTATATGTTTTCCAAACGCTCTATGCATGACAGTTATCACCACCCGCTTGTTACCAACGTAAATGCATCCCTGGCTTTTCTTTTCTTGTTTATTTCTTCGTCGTTTCTACTGTCACGAAACCTCATCGGTGCCACTGACTGACAGGGGAGTCAAGGGGGTAGAAAACCTGCTTGATCCCGAGGCCGTCTGGGAGACAGACTTGTTCCTCTTGGGCGAGCCGGGAGATCCGCTGCTGCCTCGACGGGAGACAGACGACCGCCGCTCACGGTCAAGAGGCAGCCTATCCTCGACATCAGATATGGCATGGGGAGTCGAGCTTCGAGACGAAGTTCGTGAGTGTGAATGGGAGTCAGTGTGAGGAGGGGTGCGGCGGTATTTCTCCTTTTCGGAGCTGTTCAAGTGACGAGAATGAGAAGCCCTGTGATGGGTATACTTCTCGATATCCCGGCCGCTCTTGCTGATGACGGGTATAGCACGAGGGTAGCTTTGTTTCCAGTACCTCCATTTCGCCCACCAGAGCCAGCCGGCGTTTGCTCTGGCCTGTTGGCGGGAGAACTCCTTGATCTTATGGCGGAGACGAGCCCGTCTTTCGTTCTCCTTTTCCCAGTAGTCGGTCCGGTACTCGTCCCAGTTCTTGCGGAAGGCCGGAGAGAATGATTTCGGCAGCAAGAGAAGCCGTATGTAGTCGCCCCCTGGAGCGAGATCTTCCTCGACCCCTATGCGGTTTTCTTCGTCCGGCTGCTGGCGTAGACTTGTTACTGAGCTTCCCCGGCGTCTACGGCTGACAGGCCTATCTCCGTGAGATACACCTGCTGCCGCCGCCGCAGCAGCAGCAGCAGACGCAGAAGCAGAGGCCGGCCTCTCGTACTCGACGTAGTGGAACGCTGTGTTTGACGGGAAAAAGGCCGAGTAAGGGAAGATGAAGGACAGGTATGAGAGCAACTCCTTCCACCAGGGCCCCTGAATGACCACGACCTTTGCATTCATGCCCCGGATGCCACGATTGGTGATCCCCAGCCAGCGCCGCGGCCACCGCATGCCTCGCTCCCACTGCCCGGTGCCCCAGATGAGGATAGCTGTGACGACGCCGCCGGTAAGGGCGACCTTCTCGCCGGTCTCGACGACCCAGTAGACGGAGCCGCCCAGCCCCCTGCCATCTTCCCGCGGCCGGAAGAAGAGGGCATAGGTGAAGTAGGCAATCCAGAGGGCGAGCAGCAGGAGGAAGAAGGTGTTCTGGCGTCTCCGGGCCCGCAGCGCCAGGTACTGCGCGCGCAATGCAGACTCGACGATGAGCAGGTTGAGGTATATCTGCGGCGGCGAGGAGGGCAGCGCCGACAGCGGATCAGGCGCAGCAGTCGCTACAGACGGAGCAGCGGCCTCGTTCGACTCCTGCTCCGGCGAGCTCGAGGGCGTGAGGACGGCGGGCGAGGGTGTCTTGGTCAGGCTGTCGGGCTGGTGCACCTGGATCTCGGGCGGCGGCGCGCCTTTGACGATCTGGTCGAGCTGCGACATGTCTCTCTAGCACTTGTCTGCGCGCATTCTTAGCTCTAGCTGTGCGTTCGTAGCCGCCGTGGCCGTCTTTCGTTGCTATCAATTCAATATCGTGTTAGTCGGTGGTGGATGTGAAGCCGGCGATGTTGAGGTTGAGAGACCAAGACTTAGTCAAGTAGCTATAGCATGGGTGATGCCGCATCTGCATCTACATCTCTACTGCTTCTATCTACTCTTCTGCTTCTACAGCTCTACAGCTTCAAAAGAGTCTCTCCTGCTTCTACTTCTCTTCTGCTATGTCTGCCCTCTTCGCCTGCTCGCCGTCCATCCCCTGAACCTGCTGCGTTTCTCCGTCCGACGGCCAAACTCCGGCTTAACTCCTCCACGGACGAAGGCGACGAAGCCACCAAAGGGACGAAGATCATCGTGAAGCAAAGACTCGAAGGCGAAGGCGACGAAAGCTGAATATATAGAGACCAGAGAGACCAGAGAGTGACAGGCTCGTCTCTGTCGCTCCGTCGTGCGCCCGTCAAGCTGTCTTCCAGCAGACTCTCAGCGCTTCCTCTCGTCGCCGCCGCGCGCTCATCTCGTCCCCCGCTGCTCCCTCACCCAGCATCGCCAGCATCACCAGCAGCAGCAGCAGCAGCAACAACAACAACAACAACAACAACAACAACATCGCCAGCAGTAACAGCAAGAGTGACAGCTTCGACACTGAGTGCAGCTCGCTCGCAAGCTCCCTTCGACTCCTCGGCCGCCTCTTCGTCTCGCTCGGACGGCTGGCCTGACGCTGCGATGGCCTCAACAGTCTCCGCCGCCGAAGCTCGCCAGGCATCCACGGCCTCGCCAGCAGCAGAACCGCCAGCGCAGGCAAAGCAGCCGTCGAGCTTCTTCCCGCTGGGATACAAGGAAGGATTCAGCCAATGGGTTCGTCTTTACTCTTTGCTTCTTTGATCAAGCCGGTAGAACAAGCAGAATGCTGACGTGGGACAGTGGACTTGTATGCCCGCGGCCACCGCTGAACATAGTGTCCTCTCCTTCATCCCGTACCTGCAGCAGCCGCCGACACACAAGCAGACCGGCAACGAGCCTGCCGTCCCCGATGGCCAGGCAGACAGTCTGACGACCGCAGACACCTCCCAGGCTGCCCAGGTGTCCGCCAATTCGGTCGACGACCCGTACGGGCCCCGGAGATGGCGGTCGAGCATGGTGCAGCTCAGCGGTGACAATCGGGCCCTTAACGAGTTCTCCGTCGAGCGTGTGGGCGAGAAGGTCGAGAACAATCTTGTTGTCCTACATGGGTACGGAGCCGGTCTGGGTTTCTTCTACAAGAACTTTGAGAGCCTCAGCCGTGCCAAAGGGTGGCAGCTCTACGCCCTCGACCTGCTCGGCATGGGACGCAGCACCCGGCCTCCCTTCAAGATCCATGCCAAAGAACGAGGCCAGGCCGTCACCGAGGCAGAAGATTGGTTCATCGACGCCCTAGAGGAATGGCGTGTCAAGCGGAAGATCGAACGATTCACCTTGATGGGACACAGTCTGGGAGGCTACATGGCCGTTGCCTACGCCCTTAAGTATCCTGGACGCCTCGACAAGCTCATCCTCGCCTCACCCGTCGGCATACCAAAGGATCCTCGCGCAGTCGAGACTGACCTTACCGAGCCATCAGAGTCGACCTTGTCCGCCGAGTTCACCCAGGACCAGGATGCCACCACCACCAACAACGGACTCGCAGCCAGGACTCCTCCCCTCCTGCGACCTCTGCCCAAGTGGCTGACCTATCTCTGGGATGCAAACGTCTCTCCTTTCACGTTCGTTCGCTGGTCTGGACCCCTAGGCCCTCGCCTTGTCTCCGGCTGGACGTCTCGACGGTTCTCACATCTCCCGCAGCCGGAATCAAAGGCCCTGCATGACTATGCATACTCCATCTTCAGAATGCGCGGCAGTGGCGAGTATGCCCTCTCCTACATCCTCGCTCCCGGGGCATACGCCCGCAAACCCCTGATCAATCGGATCCACGGCGTGGGCCGCCAGCTCATCCGAGAACCCGTCCCTTCGTCTGCATCCCAGACCAGTCTCTCCTCTGCAGACTCCTCCGCCAGCCCACAGCCATCCCCATCGCCATCACCATCAGCCACGCCGTCAGATACTGCTTCTTCGACACCTAGCCCAGGTGAGCAGCAGCCCGTACCACGCAAGGAAAACGGTATCCCCGTGGTCCTAATGTACGGTGACCACGACTGGATGGACGTCGAAGGCGGCCACGCAGCCAAGAAGAAGATCGATGAAGAGAGAGAGCGCATTCTCAAAGACGCCACGCCCGAAGAGAAGCTTGCAGACCGTGGATCGGCCAAGGTTGTCGTTATCAAAAAGGCTGGCCACCATATCTACCTAGACGGATGGGAGGAGTTTAACAAGGTGATCCTGGATGAAATGAAGGCCACCTCTAATGAAGGATGAGCATGATGGTTATAGACTAAAGGAGTTCGAGTGGCTTTTTCTTTCTTTTCCTTTCCTATAGTTGACTGTTTGGTTGTTGTTGTTGTTGATGTTGTGGGTGTGGTTGTTGATTTGGATATATTTGCCCTGCGCCGTCCCTGGAGGTTGATTTGCGGACCGTCACCACATGTTAATAGATAGACCGTGGTAGACAGCATTGGATAGTAGCCTTTTTGAATAGATATAAACTGTCTATTGTCGTATATCATACTAGTTTTGAACATGCCAAATGAATTTCCTACTTGTACTCGAATGCATATTAACTATACATAGCATTCTCGCCCAGGAGTATACTAATCTGGATACCACACGGTTCTTATTTCCAAGGAGCAAGCGGATTGGGATATATAGATTTGTTGCCAGTTTCGATATCAGACGAGACTTACTTAGGTGGTGTGGCTATAAAGTGATATTGCCAAGGCCTGCTATTCGTCTACACTTAGTTAACTATATCGTTTGCACATCCACTACTCCGTACAACATCTCTCGCGTTGAGCCTATCTCTGCCAAAGACTTCTCAAATGGCATCGCGATACCCTTAGTGGCTTTGGTTATTCCTCCCTCATGAGTCGCGATGGCCTCCTCCATAAATACCCCAATTAGATAGAAATGGCGCGTTACAGGATGGCATGGTGGAGAGTGATACACCCAGCGCTGGACGACTGCTCTTCACTCAGTTCTTGATGATGCAACTCAGACTTGTCCTGTAAAATACCTGGACAATCTTCAAACCTCCCAATTTCCCCATCAGAAGAGTCGTGTTGACTATCATCTACCCTGCTTTCTTCTATCAGGCCTCAAGCCTTAACGATGCAGCCCAAATTTGCATCCAGCGGATATCGCAAGATCATCCAGGACTTCTTCCCCGATCTCGAAAAGCATACGGCAATATACAAGGACCTCCACGAAAACCCAGAACTTCCATGCCAGGAGCAACGGACTGCAGCGGTCGTGGCAGACCGGCTAGAAACCCTTGGCTTCGAGGTCAAACGCAATATTGGAGGCCATGGGGTAGTTGGGATTCTCCGCAACGGCCAGGGGCAAAATGTCCTCCTGCGCGCTGAGCTCGATGCGTTGCCACTCAAGGAAAACACAGGCTTGCCCTACGCGAGCAAAGTCGAGCAAGTCGATGCTGATGGTATCAGAAAGAGCGCCATGCACGCCTGCGCCCACGATATGCATATGGCCTGCCTGCTTGGGGTGGCAGCACTGCTGCTCGAGGCTAAGAGGTCCTGGTCTGGCACCGTGATTACTCTATTCCAGCCCAACGAGGAGCGGCTACTGGGTGCCAAATCAATGATTGATGACGGGCTGTTCAGCAAAATACCCCTGCCTGACGTCTGTCTAGCACAACACTGTGTTCCGACCAAAAGTGGAACTATTGCTGTGAAGCCCGGGCGTGTACTGGGGTACTTGGACTCCCTGAACGTCCGTGTTTATGGCCGTGGTGCACATGGCGCCACCCCTCAGCTGGGAATCGACCCGATCATACTGGCTGCAAGCATTCTCACACGTCTGCAGACTATTGTCAGCCGTGAGATTGATCCTAAGGAGCCTGTCGTGATAGGCTGCGGAACGTTTCATGCTGGTACTGATGCCAGCACCATCCCGGAATACGCAGATTTCCAGGTCGACGTGCGCACTTTTTCGGAAAGCACTCAGAAAGCTGCAAAGTCTGCAGTCGAATGCATTATCCGACACGAGTGCGCAGTTTCTGGATCTCCAAAAGCGCCCCATATTGTGACTACGACCAGCAGCCCGGCAATTGATAATGATGAAGTGGCAACAAGACAATTTACCCAGGTGCTAGAATCGTATTATGGAAGTGACTCCTCCAAGGTTATTCAGGTAATGCCACCAGACATTGTCGCGGATGACTTCGTGATACTCTCACTTCCGCCTGGCGGACGCCCAATACCATATGTATACTAGAACATTGGCGCGACAGACCCAGAGACATGGGAGAAGGCAAACAGAGAAGGCAGATTGTGGGACTTGCCTCCAACCCACAGTGCTGTGTATGCGCCAGCAATCGAGCCTACTCTGCGGACCGGAATCGAAGCATTGGCTTTGTCTGCCTTGACTTTCCTTGAAATTATTTGACGGCACTTGCTATCAAAGGGAAATGGGGGTTTGGTGATGTTCAGGGCCGCTGTTCATACAGTCCTTCCTCCTCTTTGGTATTTTTCCTCTATGCTCGACAACAACGCATCAGAAAGCTTCAGAACTGGAGTTTTCCCCCATTCCATCTTAGAAAGCTTCCAGAAATGCCAACAGTAGCCTCATCTATGATCTTAATCATCCCTTTAACTGACTGTTCCATATTTGTAGTCCCCGCCCACTTACTGGGATTGCCTTAGATAGGTATAGAAGGTCGCGGTTAAGGCTGGCTATAACTTTGGCTACAGATAACCCAGATATAACGGGGGGCTGTACACCAAGAGGCCACCAAATAACTCGGTTATATGTAGCTTGGGTAAGGAGCTGGTTAAGCTCTTGGTTATAGTAGGCACGGTAAGTCCTTAGCCAATTAATAAACGATTTAAATCTTGTGTTTCTTCAATATATCGCCCCCTTAAATCTATATCCTGTATATAGAGAGGTTATTATTTAGAGATTATATTTAGCCAACTTAAAAACGTCAACATCAGCATCAAGTCAAGTTGAGGACGAACATAGCAAGATAGAAGAACGTATTATAGACATATACCCTAGAACGATGCAAACCGAGCAGTCAATAACATCAGACCCGTTTCCATGGGATGTCGGCGTCTACGATGCTCACTGCCATCCAACCGACACGATGTCGGCCATCGACGATATCAAAGGCATGAAAGCGGCCGCTCTGACGGTCATGGCAACCCGCGAGCAGGACCAGGAGCTCGTCTCCCAAGTAGCCTTACAGTATAAAGACTCTAGCAAGGACCGTGGTCAGGATAGCGAGACGTGCAGCGACCGCATCATCCCTTGCTTCGGATGGCATCCGTGGTTCTCTCACCAGATATTCGATGATACGAACGATGCTCAGCCCAGGGACAGCGAATATCTAGCATCAATAAAGACTGAGCATTACAAGAACGTGCTATCGCCTTCAATCGAGGACGAGGAGCTCCTAAATGAACTACCGGTCCCATTCTCCTTGTTGGAGCTGATATCAAGGACTAGAGAGAGACTACAGAGACATCCGCATGCCCTTGTCGGCGAGATTGGGCTGGACAAGTCATTCCGAATACCAAAAGCATGGAGCTCAGCTACAGGCGATGTGGAGGAGAACACGGCTTCGTCTGATCCATCTATTACCCCTGGCACAAGAGGCGGAAGAGCACTCTCGCCGTACCGTGTCAAGATGGAGCACCAGCGAGCCATACTCAGAGCCCAGCTGCGGTTAGCAGGCGAGTTACAACGACCTGTCTCCCTGCATAGCGTTCAAGCGCATGGAGCAACCATCGAAGTGCTACAGGGTCTTTGGGCCGGGCATGAAAAGAAGGTCATATCCAATCGACAACGGAAGAGGAGTTCAAGCGCACCCCGAGCTCATGAGGGTGAAGATATATCTCCAACAACGTCAGATGAAGGTAGTCCATCGGGCAGATCGAAGGATAAGCCTAAGCCCTTCCCACCCCGAATATGCATGCATTCTTACTCGGGCCCGGTAGACCCGCTATCCCAATTCTTCCATCCGAAGGTTCCTCTAGATGCATACTTTTCTTTCTCGGCAGTGATCAATTTCCCTGATGGCTCGAATGTAAAGTCTTCAAGTGTGATTAGTGCGCTACCGGAGGACAGGATATTGGTTGAAAGTGATATTCATTGTGCTGGCCAGCGGATGGATGATTTACTGGAGCAGATTGTTAGACAGGTGTGTGATGTTCGCGGCTGGTCGTTAGAAAAGGGTACTCGGATACTTGCTGAGAACTGGAAAAGATTTATATTCGGCTGAGAGACGATAAATAACAAGACATCACAGCTGCGTTCTATCATTCTCAGGCTTTAGATAGTATAAATAAACAAAGTAAGTTATATGATTAGTTTAGTTTTCAGTATAAGCCCCTTCTCTGCCGTTCAGCTGTGCTTCGAGTACAGCCCCTGTACCACTCATAACAGCTTTGATGGCCTCCGGTAGCTTCTTAGCCAGCTCTTCTACACTTCCAGCCCTGTCAGCCCACAACTTGCCTCCCGCGGCAGCCTTAGCAATGCCAGCATAGTCCGGTGTAGGAGCAAATGATATATTCAACTCTTCGTTCGTTAGTTGAGATCCTTCTCCTTGAGGATGAACTAGAGTAAGGCTGTTACGAGGTGCATTCCACCCTCTATTGTTCAGCACGATAGTCAACACCGGTATTTCATATCGACGAGCAATCCAGTAGACAGAGCTTGGGACGCTGAACAAATAGGTACCGTCGCCAACGATCTGGCAGACGAACTTTCCTTGGCCCTTGCCGCCGTTTCTGTCGTCTGTGGCCAGTTTGATACCCAACGCGGCGCCGCCGGACCACCCCAGACCGCCGCCTCCGCTGTTAATCCAGGAGCCTGGCAAGGTTGCTCGCAAGTGTTGTGCCACTACACCAGAGTTGGAAACAGCTTCAACACACCATATAGTGTCTATTGGACAAGCCTGGCGGGCTTGTGATATCACATATGGTATGTTCAATGGTGCATCAACACCAGAAGGTGTGGCTTCTATTTCCGTCAATGATTGCATCCGAGCCTTGTGGATATCTTCTAACCGAGTGTAACGAGACTTATATTCTGGCGTTTTTAGAGTCTCCATAAGTCCTGCTGAGCTTGAGATATGTTGGTAAAGTTGTCCAAAAGCAATGGCTGAGTCTGCACGGTAAGTTGCCTGGGAATTGATATAAAAGAGAGGCATCTGGTTCTTCAGCGGGTCAACGTCAATGTGGTATATAGATGCATCGGAAGCAGGCCGACATTGTGTATGAATCCAGGGTACGTCACAGTCGACTACCAGTATGACATCTGCGGAAGTGACAGCGTCTTTAGCATCGCTCCCGCCCACATAGGCAGTGTGATCTGCTGGGAAACACATCTCACACAGAGCAGTATCAAGCACACGAAGTCCTCTCACTAGCTCTGCCAGTTTCACTAGCTCAGTAATTCCCTTTTCGTTACGGCCAGTATATCCTACTACCACGAGCGGGTTTTTGGCATTGACCAAGCGTGTTGATAGATTCTCTACTGCATCGGGTGGTAGAGCAGAGGACAAAATAGGAGACCATAGCTTCTGATCTAGCGAGTATGGCTCAAGTTCTTCTTCTAGCACCTCTCTTCCTGCAACGAGGTATACTGGACCCTTTGGCGCGCTGGTAGCAAATTGAAGTGCCCTGTTTACCATTTGTTTGACATTCTTCCCGGTTTTTAATTCAGCAGTATATCGGCAATATTGAGCCACAATCTGCTTCTGGTCCGGAACATCCTGAAGCCAGTGAATAAACTCCGATCTGGATCCTCGAAGTTCTCCCTCCTGAGTGAAAGGTGACAGGCCAGCGAAGATGAAAACGGGCGTACGGCCAACAGAGGCATTGTGAACAGCAGGACCTAGCCCCTGAGTCCCTACATCAACGTGGATTAGCACGCACTGGGGGGTCCCGGTAACACGGGCATAGCCATCCGCCATTGACATTGCCACCATCTACATCTCATTATTGTTAGTTACCGTCGATCCTAAAAGATGGACGTTCACATGGCAGCATGGACTGAGCCTCACCTCGTGGGGACATGTTATAATCTTCGGGAATCGATCCTTTCGTTCCCTGTGGCCCTTGATGATGGCTTCCATTATGCCAGGATGGTCGGAACCAAGATTTGCAAACACATATCGAACTCCGGCCTGGTATACAGATATCAGTATCAAGGTCAAATAAAAAGGCGTGGCTTTTCCATAATTAATAGCCCACATTGTGAGGTGACTTACATCCCACAGCGCCTCCAGCATTGCGTATGACGTTGTGTAAGCCCTATTTAAGCCCATATGTCAGAAAAGTATTCCATGCCAATGAATATTGGTATATATTCCTTACATCTTTGCGCTGTAATTACACCGTGTATGACCGTTGATGCAATCAACCAGCAGTTATTAAAGCAGTCAAGTTAGGTTATGAAAAAAACTGCAGATGGAAATAGTTAAGCCGAGAGATTTGGTGGGCTTTGCGCCGTTCTTATAGTCAAACGAACAAGTCAGCCGTAAACAGCATCAATCGCGACTGATGAATTAATGCTTGAAGAAAGATCGAGTCTGTCAGATAATTGCCCTGACTAGGCGCAATAATATATGAATAGCCTGGAGTTAGTACCGAGTAAACTGGAGTTTGCGCAGATAGTATCAACTAACTCCACATCGAAGAGAACAAGCCGAGGATAGGCTGCGATAGTGAATGGAGCCGGCAGTTTACTCGGACCCAGTCTCGATGCTCGATATACTCTGTAGGGCGTCTACTTGCGTCTGGGGTTAGGTAGGCTCCTCCCACCAAAGCCAGAGATCTGCAAGAAGGATCCGAGAGTACGGGCGTTTGGAAGCTTTAAAAAGGCCAGATGACTCGGGATTCGATATCTACGAGAGAGGAGGTAGGCTGAGTCGTCCAATATCGTGCATGTATTCTCGGAATTGAACGCTAGGCGGGCCAAACGCTGTGAAACCACAGAAAGGCAAAGGAAGGAAAAGGTACATTCGCGCTCAAATAAATTAGATAGTAGTGTAGTGTACTCGTTTTATTCTTGTTCGCTCAACAAAGAAATATCGCTTCACTCGGTTGCTAGGATATTATCGGTAGGAGATTAGAGTGAATACCCATGTTACATGATTGAAAACAAACCGTCACCCAAAATGAAAAGAAACAAAATCAGACAACGAATATACATCAAGAAAGACAAGGGGAGAGAGACAAGAGGCTGTTTAAACGGGGGGTTCGGAGGGGGCAAAAAGCACATCTGAGGTGGACATCCGGCTTCGTAAATACTGTCAGATCCGTGTATCAAAACTAGAGGGGCCGAAAATGCGATGCGAATGGAATGGTGTATCGTCGTATTAAATTGGTAAGAGAATATTTGCAGCTACTCCCAGCCAGCAAGGATTAAAAGGGAAATAAGTAGGAAGGGAAAAACTTGTATGTGGAACACGAGGAAACCTCAATGCAATCACATATTGGCGAGTTCGTTATCAATTTGGCGGTCGAGGAAGGCCTTCTTTTCCCCGGTCAAGGTCGTCTGTAGTCGTTGTTCAACAAGAGCACGGACTAAGTAAACAGGTTAGTAACAATTCGTTGCTAGGTATAGTCTCATTTGAAGTGTATATTTTACATACCTTGTTTCTTCGTGACGGTGTCGAGGTCTACCTCTCCAAGGCATGCTTGGATAGCAGCAGTTATAGTTGCTTCATCAGGGCCGTGTCCAGGAGCGTTCCTGAAGTCTACCAGGGTGCTGGGTGGTCGTGGCATGGGACTTCGCATGCTATGGCGTTGGGATGGAGCGAAGTTCTCAGAACCCGGTACACCGAAGCCACTGAGGCGGCTGCCATTGACTGGGTTGTCTTGGTAATGGCTCAAGTTGCTGACTGACAGATGTTGGGATGCTCGGTTACCCATCTGAGGCTGGTCGGTGTAGTGAGTAAGGTGAGACATGTGGGAGCTCCTGTTTCCTGGCAGGTTGCTGTATGGGTTTGGAGAGTGAGGAAGAACATAGGGAGTCTGTTGGACACCCTGGTTAGGGAAACCAGTCAGTATCGTCGATGCCGGCTTCACAGATGAGTACATCGACTGCATGTCATCCATCTCAACTGCAGATTCGTCATTGTAACCGGGCAAGCCACCCTTCTCTTGCGCGTTGGGGTTGCCACGGCGGCCGGGGAGGTTGTGGATAAGGGCGTAGGTGTCCCATCTCTGGAGAGGAATGCTCTTAGGGTCGAATGGCTCGTCTTCGATGGCAACAACCTTCCGGTCTCCTTTCTCTCCAATGACAATACGAGTGTTACCCCATGTGAAGTTGTCTTGGTGCCAGAAGGAGTATAGGGGCAGGATGAAACTGTAGAAGGGGAATGCCATCAAATAGATGATCATCCAACCGATGTGCTGCCATTGACGTTTGATGATGAAGATAATGGCTTGCAGACCGTATACAGCGGCAAGCAAAATGATAGAAAACAATGGGAACTGTCCCTTATGGGTGGCAACGAGGTAGATAAGGTATCCAATGTAGACAGTTGTGGCAGGGAGAATGAGAGTTCCGAACAAGTCAATAAACACGACGAATCTCATACTGAAGCAGCAGAATCCGCAAAGGTCCTTGAGGAGCATAAGCTCAGCCAAATTGTGGATGGTGGAGTTAATCCAACGGCGTCTCTGGGACATAAGAACCTGCCATGTTTCTGGAGCAGCAGTGCTGGCATATGCATCTGGGATGAACTTGTAAGACATATGAGGGAAGTGTTTGGTCATCAGAGTGGTAAGGAAACGATCTTCTCCAAGAGACAACAGGTTCTTTTGATGCAGGGTATCAACACGGACATCAGCATACTCGCTAATGACCTTTTCGGAAATGATCAATGGACGGCCCTTATCTTGGGTACGAAGTCGGTACATAGAGAAACTGGTACAAAGGTTAGCTAGTTTATTCACTTTGATGCATTTGCTAGTGGAAGGGTCCTTACCATCCAGGAAGACAGGTGACGCTGCCGAAAAGAGACTCGAAGGCTTTAGCCAAGTGATGGGAAATGTAATATTCGTAGACTTGAATCATAGTCCACCAACTTCGTTCCTCATTCTGCAAACTGGTTTCACCACAGATACCGGCAATCTTCGCATCGTTTGCACAACTTGCAACCAAGCGGTTAAGAGAGTCTTCTCTGACACTTGTATCGGCATCAACCATGAGAAGGTATTCGTAAAGTTCGGGATCTACACCAATAACGTTGTTGATTTGATGGAACATTTCCAATTCAAGAGGCGACATGTGAGCACGGTGATGGACACGGTTAAGGAATCTAAGAAGCAGGACCTGAGAATCACGCTTTCCACGGTTTCCAGGCTTGCTCTTGGATTGCTCGGATTCCTTGCCAACTTTAACAACGACAATGTAAGGGACCACGTTGCCTTCGTACTCGTACAGTCCAGAGTATACCTTTCCATAGTTGAGCTGGTCACTTCCTTCGCCCACAGATTTGAATGGGAGAGCAGGAGGGTCGATCTTGGGGTCAACACCGAGGATATCAAGTACGATCTTGGGAGTAGGCCTGTCGTTACCACCACCAACGATCATACCGTCACAGACAACGAAAATGAGCTTTCGCTTGTTATCGTATTGGAGGGCAGTTAGCGAGTCAATGGCTTTGCGGAGTTGGTCCTCTCCCTCAGTGTATGCGGGAACCTGGCAGATAACGAATTTATCTTGCATGGCAGGTCGTCGTTTAGTGCCAAGTTGTAGGGCGGCCAAGAATTTAATGACAATGACGGCACCAATGATGATGGTAAAGGCCAAAAGGATATATTTGTTCACCTGGCATACTGGAGTCTCACGGAAATCGGTCGTGCCAACATAGAACTGGTTGTTCAAACAGTTCATGCTGTTCTTGAAATCAGTGGTATCACCCCATAGGCTCGTAACATCAGTTCCAGCTTCTTTCTTGAACAGGTCTGTGACGACAGATGGCAAGAAGTCATAGCCCTGATAACCATCCATCTTATCAATGCTATTGAAGTAATCAGTCAAGTCGTATACTTTTTCATTGATGATGACCCATTTCCTGTCGAATTCCTTCGCTTGTGCTGTGACGTTCTTTCTCGACCAAACTAGGTTACCCTTGTAATATTCTTTAATAGCAGGCTGGAAGACGCGGGGATACCAGTCGTCCTCATGAGTCTTTATCGTTGGATCAGTGACAACAGTTTTTCCGGATTTGTGAATTGCAATGCTGTTCTGGATAGTATCAGTGTTGTTGGGAATGAGCTGAATTTCCGGCTTGATACCAAAACCAGGACAAGCAAGCGGCAGGGGGATGGGGAAATAGGCATCGAGGTTCTGGCCAGCAAAGGGCTGCATAGACTCCCTGTCCGTTGGGTACTTTCGACCCTGTGTATGGGGAGTTTTGGCGAATTTGCTGATATCATAGACACTGCCTCGGATACTGACGAAGAAGTCATCCTCTCCTTGATGGAAAGACACTTCCCTGCTGTCCCAGACTTTGTCTCTACCAGGGCAAATCAGGTTTCCGAATTCGATGATGAAGAAGACAATGATAGCGTTCAGAAGGAGAATCAAAGCAACGAGAACGACCTTTTCTCTCCAGGCCATACGGACATCCGGTCTCTTCATACGTCCAACAAAACGGAGAAGAGGGGATGGAATCCAGAAGGTAAGAGCCCATACAAATCCAACCCAGACCCGACGGCCGAAGGTAATAGATTCATGTTCAATACTCTTTGGCTCTGCGAATTCAGGGTCAACCTGGCCGACATATCGACCAAGGGTTTCGTCATAGTACGTGTCATCGTACTTGATGTCGTCTCCCTTGGACCCGAGACCGTAATCTCCAATGTTTCTAGAAGCTCTGTTCATGGTGGGTGCTACTGACTGGGCAACACCTGGGTTGGTGGCTACCGTACCAGCAATTGTCCCAGGACCTTGTCTGTTGACGAGGTGTTCATGGCTGCCTTGAATGCTCATACCATCAGCAGTGAAAAAACCGCTCTGGTTCATGGCGGGATTCAGACCCTGTGGGCTAGGTGTGTAGCCAGGATCAAAGTTGCTGGCCATTCCTGGGTTGAATGGATTGGCAGCTGCTTGCTGCTGAGGAATAAGGTCAAGCATGGACTCAGCTTCCCACCAGGCGCTTTCTCTCATCCAGATGCGTTCCTTTCCAACAACTACATCACCGTTGCTCCAGCCCCGCTCAAGGATCCAGTTCTCAACGCCATCTTTTCCTTCCTGGCAGCCGAGAGGTGCGTATCTGATAACGAACTCTTCTACATCAAAGTCTGCAGTGAAATCTAGATGCTTGTTTCGGCGGTTTGCGAGTTCTGGAAGTCTCCATGCACGAAGTTGACGGGAAACGGTTCCAGCAGACCAGGCAGAGGTAGCAGATGGGAGTGAAGCAAGAGCGGCTGGAAGATCATCCGTTGGGTGGATAGAAAGATGGTACCAGACTCTGCTGCTTCCAAGGGTGTCGACTAGGTCGAAACGCTTGGTCCGTCCATATCTCACAGCTTGTCCTGGAACAGGGTATATAAGCTGACGGAAGAAACAGCCAGGCTCAACTTCGACACCGATTTTCTCCAAGACTCCGTCAACCTTGTCGTTGAAGTAGTCTCTCTCTCGGGAAGCAGAGTTATCGGTCATTCCCAGGTGTACTCCTACCTCAGCTTTAGCGGCATTCATTTCGCTAAGGACTGAATGGCCTGGGCTGACAACTTCAACGCCATCCTCCTTGATCTCGGCATTGATGCCTACGGTGTCGTCGAATGCACCTCTCAGGGCAATTGCTTTTCCAAGTGCGGGATCTGGGATTTCCACGACCGTAAGGCCAACTGTATCAGCGGACTCGTCCTGGCGTCCTCCGTCACTAGAACCGTTTTCTTGGGTTGAGACAATCTCGTTATGTATGGCCTCGTTTGCCCTGGCAATGATCCAGTCGAGCAAGGCATCGTAAATGCCAGCCATCAAGGCTTCACGTTCATCTGTGTTGAAGTTCTTAAGAAGGATGAGTGGGTCAATATTCAGGAGACCTCCAACATCCTCGCAGACATCCTCAATCTCCTCCTGGTCGACCAACAGGCCCATGGCATTTCCAAGTTTAAGCAAGGCGGCCAAGACAGAGAGGAGATTCCGCTGGGCAGCACCCTTGATTCCAATGGCTTTTAAGCAGTTGCGGAAGTCCTCAGCGGCGGCAGCATCGTCGGCTGTGGGAAGATACGATGGTGGATCGAATGTGCCGGTCTTGTTAAGCAAGGCACAGGCAGAAGGATCCGAGATACCGAGGAACTCTCGCTCAGCTGGGGTGGAAGAGGAGGTAATGAGGTAGTAGAAGACATCGAATGCCCGGTAGCCTGCTTCGGCAGGGACTTTGAAGAGGCCATGAGAAGCGTTGATGCCAGAGTTCGACACTGACAGCTGCACTTCAGTAACACGGCCGGTCAGGGTAAAGGTGTAGGAGACTGCAAAGGCAGAGTACTGAAGGGCTGTGGGGTTGTATGGAGTAACCTGAGAGACAAAGGGACGGATGGCAGATATGGCGGTATATGTGATTTCGGGTGTAGATAGGGGTAGAGATCCTAGCATGGGAAAGAGTAGAGAGGGAGAAGACTGGTGGGAAGTGCTAATCATCCATCTTGTCAGTTTTCTGTGGAGACTCAAAACAACAAACTGGGAAGCAAAGCAATGATGAAAACCTACCATAGAACGATGCAGCCATCTTCAGCTCTTCGTCGAGCATGCTCCCATGCCTTCCTGCCCAGGCTCAAGTCCAGTGTCCCGCCAGCCTCCCCGTTAGGCCCAGGAGTTGTGGTGGTGAGCCATGTGTTGACGGCCAGGCTGGTGCCGGCCTCGAGCTGGTATCCCTGTGCCGAGGCGTACGAAGTATGGAGGGCATTCAGCAGCGTCGTTGTCGAAACCTGGGTAGTCTGCTGGGCAGCCGAGCGAGGGTCCGACGAGAGGGACGAGTAGATGGACATTCGGTTCGCCATGGCTGCGAAACCCGCGGTGCGGTGGTCGAGTCAGTCAATGGATGTATGTGTATTGATATATCCTGATGTTTTGAGACAACAGCGCCGGTCTCCACGAGCTCTTAGATCTGTGACATCCAAACGAGAGATGGAAATATATTCTTTTGGTAATGTGTCCGTATTAACGCTCTGTCGCTCTGATAAATTAAGAATGGGCGTGTCTGTCCCCTTTCCTGGCCTTCTCGCAGGGGCGTCTTTGGTTTCCAGCAGCGAGCTGGCTGTCGACTACCCCAGACGACGCAGCATAGAAAGACAGCACGCAAAGAGAGAGTAGAAAAAACAACTAACAACAAGCGAACGACGAAGAAACGATAGAGCGAGAGAAGAGGGAAAAGCTCAGGGAAGAAGAGCAGAGGGAGGAAAATTCAATGGACAGCGTGAAGACGCAGAAAAGACGAAGACGCAGAAGAAGAAGAAAAGTCGAAGTTGTTTGTTTCACCTTCGTTTTTCAGGTAAGGCAGGCGTACGGTAAGTAATATTACGAGACGGGACAGGGCATTCACGCCATTACATAACCCTTTTCGTTGCTTCTTGCTGCTTATGCCGATTATTATTCGTTATTATTTACGGAGTCGCTAAGGGTAAGGCAAGCGCTGGAGAGGGAGAGGCAGAGGTTGAGGAATCCATGCAGCATGTGAGGATGTGGCAAGGCTCTGGTCCTGCTAGGCGACGGGCAGTGTACAGAGTATGTGTCTGTCTGTGTCTTCTGTGTGCCTTCTGTGTGTCTTCTGTGTCTGGGTGGTTCACAACGGCATTCTCTGTGCGAGGTGTCTGTCTGTCTTCACAGCCACCACGGCACAGAGATCGTACAAAGTCGTGCTAGGACCATTTGATCGGATTACGGATGATGTTGGTGTTGATGATGTACAGATCGAGTCTGTCTTGTACGGGGAAAGCTGCCAGGGACTACTATCTGATGCTCGAGATCAGCGGGAAAATAATAATAGTTCGCATAGTGCATTAGTCGTGAAAAGCCAGCGGTGGCGATTGGCGCCCGTGTGTGGTGTGGGTGTGGCCGCAGTTAGCAGTCGAGGGCTGGGGGGAAGAGACGGAGGATGGATGGATGCGCAGGTTGTGATGTCTCAAATATAGACAGCTCAAACAATGTCTCATGCTTGACTCGTCCTTCCCTCCCTCTCTCTGGCCGTGAATCTCTCGTGTCGTCGAACCGGCATCGGTTGAAGGGTTTGCCTGGTCATCGGCAGCCACTCTCAAACCGCTGAGCCGTCTCCACGCCAGGGAAGAAGAACCGTCATCTCGGCCATCCCCATCGACGAAGCCCCTTTCATCAGACACAATGAAAGGAATATACGCTGGAGGCTGGCGGAAGAACGTAAGCCCGCGCAGGATCGTGCCGCTGCTCTTCTCGATCCACGAATCGACATCGAGGGATGTACGAGCCTAATTGGCTGCTGTGTGGAGTTGCGAGCCAGGACCGTGGGGGACGAAGCTCCAGGGTTCCGCCCCGTCCCAGTCAAACCGAGCCAGCTGGAAGAGCGCGAGAGGCAGAGGGAGAGACAGGCAGGGAGGCTGATGCTGCTTGCTTCATGTACCTATATGGAAACAGGACCCAGAGTTAGCCTTCGGTCTGTCTGTCTGTGTCTGTCTGTCTGTCAGTCCACCTGCCACGCGATGTCTGTACTTCTTTCTTTTTACCTTTGCGGGAGCCAGCTTTTGCCATCCTCCCTTACTTTTTGGCTCTCTCCCCGATCTTCACCTGTTCCTGTGCCTGTTCCTGCTCTCTGCTGCTTGTCCCTCTTCTTTCGACTGAGTTCGCGCAGACGCAGAAAGCAAGAAGAAGATTTTCCAGCAGAAGAAGCAAAAAAAGCTGCTCGGGCCAGAAGGTTGTAATTTATTTTTAGTCTTTTCGAGGCGATGCTAGCGTAACTCTGTAACTTTGGTAATTTTGTGGCTGCCTTTTGCTTCCCTTTTGCGTCCCTTTTCCCCTTAGTGTATCGCTGTATCGTAATTACCATGACCGCATGTTTCACTTCGCAGCTTCACGTCTTTTCCCCTTTGGGCTTTTGCAAGGAAAGAAAGAAAAAAAGTCTTCCTCCGCCTGTCAAACGCTGGCGACTTTTCTTCCCTTTTTGCTTCTCTCTCGCTTTCTCCAGCTTCGTCTTCGTCTTCGTTATCGATGAGAAGAAGGACACTCGCTTCTGCTGGCGTGCTGTTTCTTGTGCTTTAACCTCGTTGTTTGTCGTTTGTTCGTTGTTCACTCGTTTTTGCTCTCTGCTCTCTCGCTGCATACGCAACTCCCGTCGCTTGCTGTAACACCAACACCACCACCACCATCTATCTCGACCTCAGCAAGACCGTCGTCCGCCGTCCGTCTTTCACGCTGCTCGCCATTGACCGCTGCTCTGGTCTCCGCGTCCAGCTGCATTCCCTTCGTTTTAGTTCTCGCTTGCTGAGCCGTGTGGTGGGTGGTCACAGAGACACAGGGCATCATTGAACAGCCATAGCCTGCGTGCTCCCGTACATGTCGACCGGACAACCACCGCATTATCACGACGACTGAACGACACCTACGGCCGCCGTCACTTGCTCGATTCTGTTCCAAACCACACACGGGAGATCGTCTCTCTCTCTCTCTTCTCCTAGGCTGCTGAGCCAGTTACCCTCCAGCGGGGAGGCTAGATAGGACGAGCCATGGCTACACCAACCCATGCTCAGTCTTCCCTTCCTGCCCTACCGGCACATCTTCAGAACGACACCCACCTCGCTGCCCATCTTGCCAGCAGGTAAGCCATATCCCATCAATCAACATATATACTTCTATAGGTCAACTGTCTGACTGAATGTCTAGGTTCCATGTCTCCCTACCAACTGCTCGCCTCTCCTCCCAGGCGTTGATATGTCTAAACACATACACCTCGTCCACCAAGGGACCAGATGGCGGCAAGGAAGGCAGTGCCATGGGAGAAGCCGAAGACCTTGCCAGACGTGCCTGGACGAGACTCGGTTCCCGTGGTGAAAATCAGGCCATCGTTTTCTTGTAAGTGTTTTATTTTTTTAACTTTCCAGTTGTTGTTATATTTCCTAATCTTGCTAACACGTACAAAAGGGGCGAGTCTGGCTCTGGAAAAACTACCCTTCGTTCACACCTTCTCTCCTCTATTCTGTCGTTTTCGTCGACTCCTCTGTCAACGAAGCTCTCCCTAGCTGCATTTGTGTTCGACACTCTCACCACTACCAAGTCTGTCACCACTCCTACTGCCTCCAAGGCCGGTCTCTACTTTGAGCTCCAATACGATGGATCATCCACTATCAACCCTACCCTCATCGGTGGAAAGGTGCTCGACCATCGACTCGAGAGAAGCCGTATTGCATCTGTCCCTACCGGAGAACGTTCATTCCATGTTCTCTACTATCTTTTGGCTGGTACCAGCGCTGCCGAGAGAACTCACTTAGGATTGGAAAGCCCCACGGCTGTCAGAGGTGGTGCCGGCAACCGATCCTCTATCGGTGAGATGCACAAGAGATGGCGCTACCTCGGCCATCCAACCCAGATGAAGGTCGGAATCAATGACTCGGAAGGCTTCCAGCATTTCAAGACTGCTCTCCGCAAACTGGAGTTCCCTCGCAGTGATATTGCGGAAATATGTCAGGTCCTTGCTTGTATCCTTCATCTCGGACAGCTAGAATTCGCGACTGGTCAGTCCACCAGGACAGCCCCCGAAGAGAGTGGCGGATATTCTCACGAAGGTGGTGAGACTGTTACAATTGTCAAAAATAAAGATACCCTGGCCATCGTAGCCGCATTCCTGGGACTGAGCACCGACGACCTGGAACTTAGTCTCGGAAACAAAACCAAGACTATTCACCGTGAACGAGTTACCGTCATGTTGGATCCTGCCGGGGCCCGAGCCAACGCTGACGAGTTCGCGCGAACCCTCTATGCACTCCTGGTCGCTTACGTTATTGAAAACATCAACCAGAGAGTTTGTGCCGCTGAGAGCGCCGTTGCCAACACTATCTCCATTGTCGACTTCCCCGGATTTGCCCAGAGCTCTGCCACCGGTTCAACCCTAGATCAGCTCTTGAACAATGCCGCCACCGAGTCCTTGTATCAGTACTGTCTACAGAACTTCTTCGAGCGCCAGGCTAACATGCTGGAGACTGAGGAAGTCAGTGTTCCAGCCACAAGCTACTTCGACAACTCCGATGCTGTACGAGGCCTCCTTAAGCACGGAAACGGCCTCTTGTCCATCCTCGATGACCAGACCAAGCGAGGACGAACTGACATGCAGATGTTGGAAAGTATGAGAAAGAGATTTGACAACAAGAATCCCGCAATCTCTGTTAGCAGCTCAACTGCTATCTTGCCCGGCAGCAACTTCCCCACTCAAAACACCGCTGCTTCTTTCACCATCAGGCACTTTGCCGGAGAAGTCGAGTACCCTGTCAAGGGCCTCATTGAGGAGAATGGAGATCTCATCTCAGGAGACTTGCTCAACCTTATCAACAACACCAGGAGCGGCTTCGTCCGTGATCTGTTTGGACAAGAGGCCCTCCAGACTATTCACCATCCAAAGGAGAGATCTGCCATCATGCAGGCCCAAGTTAGCTCAAAGCCACTGCGAATGCCTAGCATGGCTCGCCGTAAGACAAGCAGAGTGTCTAAGTTTGCTCCTGCTGCCCCAAGTTCTGAGAATGAAGATACAGACGATGCCAGCAGTGGCAGAAGGGCTGCATCGGGCAGTAACAATAATAAGAAGGGAGATATTGGTCTGAAACAGGGAGCTGCCGCCCAATTCCTTGCTTCCCTCGATAATATCAACAAGTCCCTCTCTGCTACAAATGTCAACCCCTACATCGTCTTCTGTCTCAAGCCCAATGATCGGCGAATTGCCAATCAGTTCGACAGCAAGTGTGTCCGTACACAGGTACAGATGTTTGGCATCGCAGAAATCAGCCAACGTCTGCGTAATGCCGATTTCTCCGTCTTCTTACCCTTCGCTGAGTTCTTGGGTCTCGCTGAAGAAGAATCCGTCATTGTTGGAAGTGACAAGGAGAAATCTCAGCTTGTCATTGATGAGAAGCGTTGGCCTAACAACGAAGCCCGCGTTGGTAGTACCGGTGTGTTCCTGAGTGAACGATGCTGGGCTGATGTTGCAAAGGTTGGGGAGAGAGTTGTACCTGCGTTCAATGGAAGCGGTACCGACGACGGCAGTGGTGGTATGGGTAACAACGGATACGGTGACTCCAAGGTCCGACTTCTTACCCCAGCAGACAGTACTCCCGGTGCTTACATTTATGGTGACGAAACCAAGGGAGGATATTTCAACAGCCGTGATGTCGATGCCCGTTCTGAAGCTGGTGCATCTGCGTTCCACTCGGGAGATATGTTCAAGAACTTGGAAACCCGTGAGCAGATGGCCGAAAAAGGAAATGAGAAGCAAATGGTGGAGGTGGAAGATGTTATTGTTTCCGGCAGCCGTAAACGATGGCTGTTCCTCGTCTACCTTCTCACTTGGTTTATTCCCGATTTCCTGATCAGGTTCGTTGGACGAATGAAACGAAAGGATATACGTGTTGCCTGGCGTGAAAAGCTCGCCATCAACATGCTTATCTGGTTCACTTGTGGCTTCGCTGTCTTCTTCGTCATTTTCTTCCCCGGTCTCATTTGCCCTCCACAACACGTCTTTTCCGCCGCAGAGTTGACTACCCATAACGGTGATCCCGGTAAAAATGCATTCATTGCCATTCGTGGTGAGGTCTTCGATCTCGGAGAATATGCCAAATCCCATTATCCTAGCATTGTTCCCCGAAAGGATTTGGTCAAGTACGCCGGTACCGATGCAACTGACCTGTTCCCGGTACAAGTTTCCGCCCTCTGTGATGGTGTGGATGGAAAGATTAACGATGCTGTTCAACTTGATTACACTCCAACCAACCGTACCGGCTCAGCCTCCGTCATCAGCAAGACCGACACCAATGCCCAGTACCATGACTTCCGTGCTTTCCTCAAGGATTCCAGGCCATGGTGGTATTTCAAGCAGATGAAAATGTTGCGCCAAAATTACGCCAAGGGTCGCATTGGTTTCACGCCAAAGCAGCTGGCAGAAATGGGCGACCAGTCACAATACATTGCGTATATTCACAGCCGTGTATACGACGTCACTACCTATATTACTGGTGGCCGAGTAGTCAAAGCCAAAGACGGACAGACTCTTCCAAAGGACGTCAATGTTGACTTCATGCATCCCGATGTTATTAACCTTTTCCAACGCTACCCTGGACAGGATATCACCAAGCAATTCGAGGAGCTGAATATCGGCGCTGGAATGCGTAAGAGCATGCAAATTTGTCTCGACAACTTGTACCTTGCGGGTGAAATCGATATTCGAACTTCCCCCCGATGTTTGTTCTCTCAGTATTTCATTCTTGCCATCTCAGTCCTCTTGGCCACAATCATTGGATTCAAGTTCTTGGCTGCTCTGCAGTTTGGAAAGAAGAATATCCCCGAGAATATTGACAAATTCATCATTTGCCAAGTTCCTGCCTATACCGAAGATGAAGAATCTCTGCGCCGTGCCATCGACTCCATGGCTCGTATGAAGTATGATGATAAACGCAAGCTTCTCCTTGTCGTTTGTGACGGTATGATTATTGGACAAGGAAACGACCGCCCAACTCCTCGAATTGTTCTTGACATCTTTGGTGTTCCGGAGAATATTGATCCAGAGCCACTCAGCTTCGAGAGTTTGGGAGAAGGTATGAGACAGCACAACATGGGTAAAGTCTACTCCGGTCTATACGAAGTACAGGGTCATATTGTACCGTTCTTGGTTGTTGTCAAGGTCGGAAAGCCATCTGAGGTATCGAAACCTGGTAACCGTGGAAAGCGAGACTCGCAGATGGTTGTTATGCGCTTCTTGAACCGTGTTCACTACAATGCTCCTCTCAGTCCTCTTGAGCTCGAGATGCATCATCAGATCCGTAACATCATTGGAGTCAACCCCACCTTCTACGAGTTTATCCTACAGGTCGATGCCGATACAACAGTGGCCTCTGATTCGGCAACTCGAATGGTAGCAGCATTCCTTCATGATACACGCGTTATTGCACTCTGTGGAGAGACTGGTTTGAACAACGCCAAAGCCTCAATGATTACTATGATTCAGGTCTACGAATACTACATCTCTCACAACCTTACAAAGGCCTTCGAGAGTTTGTTCGGTTCCGTCACTTGTTTGCCCGGTTGTTTCACCATGTATCGAATCAGAGCTGCTGATACCGGAAAACCTCTCTTCGTCAGCAAGGAAGTCGTTGATGCTTATGGTGAAATTCGTGTTGATACTCTGCATATGAAGAACTTGCTTCACCTTGGTGAGGATCGTTACCTGACCACCCTCCTCCTCAAGCATCATTCGAAGTACAAGACCAAGTTCACTTTCAACGCCCACGCCTGGACCATTGCACCCGATACCTGGGCCGTCTTCATGTCTCAGCGTCGTCGATGGATCAATTCCACAGTACACAACCTGGTCGAACTGATCCCACTTCAACAGCTCTGTGGTTTCTGCTGCTTCAGTATGCGATTTATTGTCTTCGTCGATCTTCTCAGTACCATCATCCAGCCCGTCGCCGTTGCCTATATCGTCTATCTTATCGTCCTCGTTGCATTGAACAGCGGAACTGTCCCCTGGACAGCGCTTGTCCTACTTGCAGCCATCTACGGTCTTCAGGCTATCATCTTCATTGTCCGCAGGAAGTGGGAGATGGTGGGATGGATGATAATTTACATTCTCGCCATGCCTGTGTTCTCCATGGGTCTCCCTCTATATGCCTTCTGGCACATGGACGATTTCAGTTGGGGTAACACCCGTATCGTCACTGGTGAGAAGGGCCGTAAGGTCGTCATTTCCGACGAAGGCAAATTCGACCCAGCTTCCATCCCCAAAAAGAAGTGGGAAGAATACCAGGCTGAACTCTGGGAAGCCCAGACCCATGCTGGTGGTGATGACAGATCTGAAGTCTCTGGCTATTCATATGCCACCAAGACTCACTACCCAGCCGGTACTGAATACGGATACTCTGCTTCCCGACCTGTATCTCAGATAGATCTCAACAACCGCTACAGCTCTCGCCTCTCCATGTCCGCCACAGAGCTGCTTGGCCGAGGCTCAGACGTCGAGATGGCGGATCTTTCCGCCCTACCAAATGATGACTCCCTCCTTGCTGAAATCAGAGATATCCTCCGTACCGCAGACTTGATGACCGTGACGAAAAAGAGTGTGAAACTTGAGTTAGAACGTAGGTTTAACGTCAACCTAGATGCAAAGCGGGCGTACATTAATTCTGGTATGTTATCCACATCTTTACCTTCAATCTTTAATCCAACTTTTTGACCTCAGATACTAACTTTCAACTCAACAGCTACCGAAGCAGTTCTTTCGGGCCAACTTTAAAAAAATGCAAAATAAACTCAATTAATTAACCCAAAAAAGTGAGAACTGGAGCAGGTGTTGTTGTCTCCATTCCCATCTTTACGAGCACAATGTTGGCTTCATCTTCCAAATTTCACAGATTTCTAAGCCTGTTTTATTTCCCCCCTCTGACTTCATGCAATATTTACTCCTAATAAACTTTCGAACCGTACATCATTTCTATTCTCTTGTTGTTTTCCTATTCATCTTTTCTTTTTTTCCTCTTCATTTATCAATTGGTTCTGCCTCGTGTCTTGGTTTACGACAATATTTAGCTGGCCTTGGTCTTATATCGTGTGTCTAATTATATGTATTTCCTACGTTCTTCCTGTTTTCCAACTACCAATTGCTGTGTGAGAGCTCCTTGTTTATTTCTACATGAGAGATCAAGAACGGGGAGAAGTAATTTAGATAATGGCTGTTTATTTGATTTTGGGTATATAACTACAACTACAACTACAGCTACAGCTACAGCTACAGCTACAGCTAGTGCTTAGCATGTTCACTGGGAAACTATCTATGTCTATGAGCGTCGAGTTCCTTCGTGCTTCGTGTGAGTCTCCTGTACTTTTTATGCATTGGGCTGCCATAACTTACAGTCAGCCTATGGTACTGGAGAAAGGGCATCGGCATGTTGGTCCTAGATACAACTGTAAGTAGCCCCCGGACTGCCGACCTTATTCCTGCCCACTCGGCGGATAACATTTACAGACGAGTAAGGACTCAAATAGAATGCAAGGAAAGTTCGGCGGGAACTGAATATCTTATCCTCTATGCTAATTAGGCGTTATATAGATAATCTAGTAATACCAAACCATGTCGTAAGTATATGTCCGTTATACATATATGGACTTTCGACGTTAGAGAATTTAAGCCTAGCATAACAAGTACATAGAAGATAATTTATAATGATAATTCAGCCTGGTTTTTTCTTTTCTTGAATTCGTTAGACTTGTATAGAGGGATTCCTTGTTTATACTTCATTGTGTAAAGCAGACAGCTTTGATGTGTGGTATCATGTCGTATAGATGACTCGCGGAAAGCAAGTTGAAAAAAGGAGAGGAAAACACAAGAGGTATAAGAGTTAGAGAAAACAGAGGTATAGGAACAGAAACCCTTTAAAGAAACATGAAACATGAACACCGAGAGGAAGATATAATTGTTTGATATAAGTAAGCGAGAGCGGGGTGGGGGTATCCGATGAAACAAGACAGAGAACAAGAAAGATGAGACATGGTATAGTAAATGGAAACAGGAGAAGCTCCTACCAAAAAAAGTAACTTCAGAAATGAGGAATTCTCCCCACGGTGTTAAGCAAGAAAAGGAACAGTTGGATCGACCAAGAGTTCATTGGAAGTATAGTGTCGACGACTTTTTGAAAGGGGGAAATAAAACTCATTCAACGGTGTTCTTTTTTCGGTATCATTGGTGACTGGGGTGGGGGGTATAAATAGATTTTCGGCCTTATCTTCCGTCATTTCATGATGTATAAAGGATGCGGTTTCATGGGAGAGAACTGATTGCTTAGCGAGGGGGACCAATAGGAGCAGAGTAAGAATTGGAAGTGCTGGGTCGTCCACTGTCGAAGGAAGCACGTAAGTCATGTCTTGGTGTCATATCGCCTGCAGACACGGATCCAGAGCCTGTCCCGAAGGGAAACTTATTGTCAAATCGAGTGGGCCAACCGTTACCGGATGGAGTGAGTAGATCTTCCTTTGCTAGATTGACACCAGAGTCATTCCAAGGGTTACGGTAGCCACTATCTCGAGATTCCATGGAGACAAGAGAAGCCTTGGAAGCATTGCTAGAGGCATGCTTGAACAGTGAACCGGGAGATGAAGATTGATTCTTTCGGCCGATGAGCGAGGAGAAGGAAGCGATAGAGCCTGGTTTTCGAAGACGTCCAAAGATGGAGCCACGGTCCGCAGAGTCGTCAGTGGCAAAGTTAGCACGAATAGGAGAGTCCGTGACAAGCGGGGGAGGAGCATGTTGGAGGAGTTTGGAATCAAAAAATGGGAGTGAGTCCTCGAAAGAATCGGATTTAGGCCGGGGAATGCTACCCTTGACGGTCGTGGCGTCTAGACCGTGAGGAACAAGGCGAGAAATGAGGAAATCAACAGCGTCTTTGACACCACCAGCATTGTTACGGGTGAAGTTCATGTCGAGAGTATCTTCGGTAAGAGGCTCCGCGTTCTCCGGGTCAATAATGGCTTGACTCGTTGCTGTTCCTACGGAAAGAGTAATTTCATATTGTTCTTGTAGATTTCGGCATATAACTTCCGAGAATTCGGGCGTAAGGAAGAATGATCGAAGTTGATCGGAGACGCCGAAAACCATAGAATGGCTGACCGGGACCATTCCCTATAAAGCATATTAGCAGATGATTGGAAGAAAACGCCGAAATGGAGGAAGAGCTGAATAAGACATACCAACAACGCATCAACGGCCTGGGGCACTTGATATTCTGGACCAGAGATAGTAACTAAATCGCTGGCAGTTTCTGTGCTTGGAAAGTCAATCTTGCAATTCCATTTCTTCTCTAACTCATCAAGATCCTTCATCCTTGAAACCAAATTCCGATGGTAAAGACGGTTGACGACGACGGTCTCCGAGACGAACTCGGCATCCTAGGAGTCGTTCAAAGAGGACATGAGCAAAATCATCCCTGAGTTGTAGTGTCTATATGAGGACGACTCACGACTTTCTCAACCATGTCCATAATTTCCTGTTTGACTAGTTCGAGATTCTGTGCGTTCCTAGCTGGGGTACGGCAGATAACGTTCTCGACTCGGCCATCGTCGTCATCTTTTCCAGCTCCGCCTCTGTCCATAGCATTGGAAAATTTGACGAAGACAGAATATTTCTTCATGACACGCTGGATATGTTGGCCACCAATACCGATAATACGCTTGTGGTATTGATCTGGAACATGGAAGGAGATGGATGCTGGCATCTCTTGCTCGACAAGGTGGAGACCTTGTTTAACGGCTTCATAATCGTTGGCACAAACATCAATATAGAAGTTGTACTCATTGAAGCCGTCAAAGATGATCTGGACGTTTCCTACGACTGTAAAAAGCGTTAGTATCGGAGTGGAGAGAATTTATAAGTATATATAATATCTTCGACCATAGAATAAAGTACTTACTTTGGCTCATGATTTTGTTAATCTTGCCATTCTTCTTTCCGCTCACGAACTCCTTGTGTTCGTTGGCAAGCTCAATCTTGACTTTCATCTGGTGCGGGGACCGCTTGACGAAGGGAATTTGATGAATGACCATCATAGCAGCCTTGACAGAATCGTCTGAGCCGTGGATATGGAATGTTAGATTGTCGAAAGTTACGTCCGCACCAGAGTTTGCACAAATGTCCGAAAGCATTGTTCTGATGTCTGCTGGGGATGGTGTCCTCATTTGCGGATTGTCTGCCATGAGCCACCAGGTAGCGCTGTAAAATTGGCCAGCCTAGAATTGTTAATGACGCTCCATGCCAACATATACATAGACAGATAACTTACGACATTCATAAGCTCACGGATGGTACGCTCGACATGTAGGACATCTGTTCCCTGAACACGAATAGAACTAACACCGCTGCCTAGCTGGGGAAGCAGAACGAAACACCCGTTTGCCTCCATGACCTTCTGAATCTTGTCTAGGCGCTCGAGGATAATGCTGTCGACTTTTTCCGGGTGGATGATGGCCTCTTTGACGTAGATCTTGAGGACAGCGACTAGATCGCGTAGTTTCTGTTTAACAAGGTTGATGTCCTCTTGGTTTTCTCCAGTGATGTACACTTCGTCCTCGCAGCGTCTGGTTGCACCTGGAGGCATGTAGCCGTATACACGGGGGAATGGCGGTGGAAAATAGATAGCCGTGTTTGTAGTGGCTTCAATCATCTTAACGTTCTTGCGTGTGCGGCCACAGACAAGGAAGTGGGTACTCAATTCGAGTCTTACAGCATCAACACGGCGTTTAAGCTATACCCAAAGTCAGAAAATAACGACACACGAGAAATAATGAAGGAATGAGTGGGGAGGGTGAAACGTACGACTTGATCGATCATGATCAGAACCCTTGACTTGGCGTGCTCAGCACTCTCTGCGTCACTGTAGATGGCGATTCTGAATCGTCGATTCAACCCGCCGTCAGCAGAGTAGCCGTAAGATGAGCTGAGAGCGTTGTCAGCATCGACAATTTTGGGACTAAGCAAGAAGATATCCGCTCCGGTGTAGCCCGCCAATATGTCGATGTGTTCGAGCACGATCTTGCGGACTGAATCGGTCTCCTTCTGCAGGAGGAGGTCGACATCGACATCAATGGTCAAGCTCCGCTAGAATAACCAATTAGTATTTGTGTGTAGATCAAGAATGCGTGCAGCAGGACTACCTACCAAGAAACAAATGGGGCGTTTTCCCTGTATATCCTGGTCTTCATTTGCCGTACGAGATCCGCTTCTCCCGAGATACAGACGTTGGTGACGAGTCCGTGGTGACGTCGCTGCATGGGAGAGGGCCATCTTGGGCTCTGACGAGGTGACGGTAGCCTCGATGCGGCCGCCACCGCTCTCGCACATCTGACGGCACAGTTTACGCAGCGAGTCGACATGCTGTGTATGGACTGGCAGACGGTGGGTAGGAGTCCCCTCTGGTGTTCCCTCCGGGAAAGTCCATCGCTGGAAGGCGTTTGGAGACGAATGCAGGATGTCTGCGGGATCCGGGCCAGGCAGGTTTGAGGAGAATGGGATGTTAAAAGAGATGTTGATCAGCTGCGGTTCAACGGAAGGAGCAGCAGAGATGACCGTTCCGGCGGGGGTGCTGGCACCGCTGGTAGGATTCGGAGAGGCAGATTGTGATGGTGGGTGATGCTGTGAGTGTTGCGGTTGTTGTTGTTGCTGCGACTGCTGCTGCTGAAGAGGTAGCTGCTGCTGATGCTGCTGGGAGGGGTGTTGCTGGTGATGCGGCTGCTGTGGAGGTGGCTGGCCGGGGCCGCCCTGGGGACGGCGGTACTGCTGCGAGTTGGGAGCATCCTGCTGAGGCCGTGACATGCCAAAGGTGGGCGTCATGCGTTCCCAGCCATGGCGAGCCTGGCCGGTGAAGTTGGAAATCTTATGCATCGTCTAGGGCGCCAGGGTGGAAGAGAGGTCGCGAGTCCTAACCGGAGGCATACACGGAGACGAATGGGGGTACAATGGAACGAAGGGCAACGAGAGCTTAAACACAACAACACAAGAAACGAAGACGAAGACGAAGACGCAAGATGCAACAAGCAAAAGAGAATGGAGAGAGAGAGAGAGGAGAGAGGGAGGTGGAAAAAAGAGAGGAGGAGGAGGAGGAGGAAGATGAGGTCGAGGTTGAGAGGTCGAGACGGTCCGAAAGAGGTAAAAGTGAAGCTGAGGACGAGGAAAAAAGAGGGAAAAAAGCGAAAAAAAAGACGAGAGAAAAGGGAAGGCGGTGGGTGGGCGCGACGCTTCTCTTTCTTCTTTTTGGGGGGGAGAGCCTTCTTTTCTGCCAGCGCTAGTCCTGGAAGGGGATAGCGTGTAAGACACGTGAGAGGATTATATAAGATGTGAGTAAGCAGTTAAAGATGAAGGAAGACGACGAAGAAGAAGGAGGAAGAAGACGACAAGAAGGTGAGAAAGTGACAAGAAGGTGGGAAGAAAGAGAGAAGAGGGAGAAGAGAGAAGGTGGAAGAGGGTGGAAAGGGCGGATGGGGACAGCGGGCTGTGAAGATGGAGGTGGATGTGACAAGGTGGCAGGACGAGCGAGACTTCAGGCTGAGAGTTGGAAAATCCAGGAACCCAGGCTGGAGCATAAGACACAGAGAGGCAGAGAGAGACAGAGGGTGAGAGAGGAGGAAAAAGCAATATAGGAGGGACTTGGTAGTGTGCTTGGGCAGTACGAAGTACGTGGAAAGATGGAGCCGAGAGAGGATAGGGTGAGGGAAGAAAAGAAAAGAAAAGAGACGAGAAACCGATCAAGAGAAAGACGGCTTCAGCTCCAGCTTTTTGAAGGAAGCCGACAGAGCAAGAAGATGCACGACTTTGACGCTAAGAGGAGCCAGAAATACGGTACAGCCACAGGGACCAAGAAAAGATGAAGCTGCGTTGAGTCGTTGATGTCATTCAGTGTTTGCGCCGTCCATGGTACGGGCAGACATCATCGACTGCCCGAGTTATCTACGGAGAAGTTGCCGTGGCCGGAGTATACGTACAACAGCACTGCATGCAAGCAGACAGAATAGACAGACAGGCAGGCAGGCGGATAGGGAGACTACGCCGTGCGACCTGCTTGTTGGACGGTGAGATAAGTCTGCATACCCGGTCACTGATATAGGCCAGGGTCTGTCGTATCTTTTCCTTACGCTGGGACGGGGCAGGGATCCGTGTCCAAAACATCCCTGAGACGAGTCTGGCCACATCGTCCTTTCTTCTGGTCGTCGGCTGAATGGATGGCAGCCACAAAAGACCCTGAGCGTGCGTTAACTGCCGGCCTGATCGCCGTTGATGATGCAAATGTAGAGGTCGCTCCCACGGTTCGGGGCAAGCGTCCTGCATGGTACTTACTTCTTCGCCTCTTTTGGCGCATAATTGTGCTTGCCACGTTAATCGAATATGATAGGATGCATTTCACATTTACACACACAATAAATAATATTTACGCTGTTACTTTATGTATATATGTCTATTAAGGTATTTACTCTCGTACTCTATACGGACAGGCGCCTAGTTCGTCGTCGCCTTGAAGAACTGCGGGAACAGCGTCCGAATCTCCTCGAGATCGGCGATTTGGTACTTGGACGCCCGGGTCTCTGGCGCCGGTAGGGTCGGCTCGACAAAGTGAATGGTGGTCCAATTGTGAGCCTGGGCATGACGACAGTTAAGATGCGAGTCGTCTGCGGAAACAGTCGTTAGAAACCCAAAAATCGTTCAACCGCATAACATAGCTTAATCGAGGTTGAGAGCCAAGCTTACTCACCAACGAAGTAACACTCTTCTGAGGAGGCGGCTCCCGCCTCCCTCTCTGCCTTCAAGTACATCTTCTGGTCTGGTTTGCAGACAAGCTTTTCCGCACCATAGTCGCAGTAGGTGATGCCCTCGAACAAATCGTCCACGCCCAAGAGTTTGACAACCCGCTTGCCATGGGTGACATACGCATTCGTCAACAGCCAGAGCTTTACCTTGGTTCGGTCAAAGTCCTCCAGCAGCGTCCGTAGCTTCATGTTCGGCTTTAGGATGTCATCTAGCGGCAGCGCATCGTCTACCTCCCGGTTGAACATGAGCGGGTCGATCTTGTGGAATCGAGTCAGCCCTTCGATTGCAAGGCCGTATTCTTTGTAGTAGCGGTGGTGCAGCATCACCGCGTCCTCGGCATCGAGGGACAGGTGTCGAACGAAGAACTTGTCTACCCTGTCGCTATCAGCAAGGTCCTTTCATGGGCAGCCAAGAGGTGTCTAACCAATGAGTTCCTGCATCAGGTCATGGATTTTGCTATCTGCCCGGCGAAGGTTATAACCGTTAGCTGGCTATTCTAGCATTCCCCCTCCCTAGGTTCATTATTCACTGCACAACACACCCCGCGAGTAAAGCTGCCAGTTGAAATAGAGACCTGTTAGCATACATCTATCCTCATGGCTCTAGAACGTTATGATAGACTGTCATAGCTGGTTCTGAAGTTCAAACGGCTTCCTCGTAGAAGTTCACGTAGTTATCAGGAACTGGTTGATGTCATAGAGAGAACGTACACAGTTGTCAATGTCAAAGAAGAACACCGGCCGCGAGTCCCGAGTACCATTCGTTGCTTCCATCTTGTCACTTGTCGTGTATTATTCGCCCTCACAAAGTCAACTATACCGGCTTCTTGTCCTTTTTGTCTTCACGTCTTTGTCGTCGTCGTCTCTGACTCTTCCTCTCTTTCCGCCCCGATATCGATGACATAATCAAAGATAAATGACATAATACAAATGCCAAGTCATAGTTAATCATGTGATACAGAATTTTCCAAGGTTGAAGCTTCAAATAAATTTCAACTTTGAACAAGGTTGAGAGGGAGAGAGCGAATGTCAACAAGAAGACAACTTCGAGCATCGCGCCTCGTCTTGCTCCTAGATCCGAGTGAATCTTCTCGTGGGTCATAATGCTCGCGTCAAGCAGCCATATACACGGTCAGGTCGCCATTGCGTCGGGCCCTGCGCCTCCGTCTGCCCTCAATGATTCGCATCTCCATACCAAGGAGGTGACCGAGTATGAGAAGATATTGAACATCCGCGACCAGATCTTTGCTGGCACTCATCCTAGGTTGAGAGTCCCGGAGAGTGTAATTCGCAAGGTTCCTCCGCGGTCTGTTGTTCAGACGTCGCCGTCTTCGACATCAGCCCCTGTCTTCGTTCCTAGTTCTCAAGCTTCGGCTTCAGAACCAGCACCCCCTTCTTCATTTCCTCCGGCACACCATGCTGCTCAGGCCACGGCCACGTCTTCTCCCTGGCCTCAGCCAGCAAGTACTGCTGCAGGTGGCGACACTGACTCTCCCGTCACAGGCGCGTCGACGCCGAAGCCAACTTCGGAGATAGACCCTATATTCTTGACCAAATCGGATGATCTCATCAGGGCAGAGACTCAATTGCAACGCCAGCGGCTTGAACGTACACTGCGAGATTATGCTGAGCAGAAGAGAATAGAAGAGAGACAGAAGCCGCCGTTACAGGAGCTGAAGCCTGACTTTGACGTCTCGGATGTTTTCAACAAGGCGTTGGAGATAGTGAAACCACTTTCCCCTCCCTATGACCATGATAATAACACTGGTGTTGATGGTGATGGTGATCGGGCTAATAACGGCAATGCAGCCAGTGATTCCTTCGATGACAACTCTTACTACTCGAGCAGAGCTCCTGACTCTCCACAAAACGAGGAATACGATGAAGATATGGCACCTGCGCCGCCGCTGGCTGGGAATATGGATACAGACGAGAGTGACGAGACTGTTATCGTAGACCGTGCCAGAGCTAATGAGCCTGGGCATGATTCTGCTGCCGGTAATCACCATTTACTTGGTCAACATGCTAACATTGACGACGATGCGAGAAGGGACTTGGAGAATATTCAGCCGTGGACGGAGGATAATGAGCATCATTACTCTCCGCCAGAGCCGTATGAGGAACCAGAGTATTCTCCACCAGGCCCCGACCTGTCACTAAACGGACGACGAGATTTATTAGAACCTAGCTATCTTAGCCCGTCAAGCAGACGGCAACAACAACAACCTCCTCCCATGCAACAGCCATCGGGCCAACAATCTCCAGCCCCTAGGAATCTGCGGGTTGTGAGAAACCATATCACGTCTCCAGCAGCACCTCAGCCTTCCCGTGTATCGCCTCTTGCTGTTACCAGGGTCTCGTCAATAGCACAGTCGCGTCAAGGTCGGCAAAGTAGACAGGCCGCAAAGGCATCTGCCGACCAGGGCTCTGAACGTACTAGCCCAGAGCATGGGCCTTCCCAGCAGTTAATGTCGCGGAAACGCCGTCGCCTTCAGCAAGCTCACGACAAGAAGAAACTCGAAGAGGAAAGAAGAGCTGCTGCGTCTCCTGATATGCCATACATTAAACCGGAGCCTGTGTCACCTCCACCATTTATACCTTCAGCAGTGGCTCATTATCCTAGGGGCCGGCTCGTTCAAGAAGTGCCAGCTGATGTTGATTATGTGTCTCGTCACGACGACCATGTTATAGCCGGCCGTGTTCCAGCATATGACGACGGGCACGGCAGAAACTATGAATTAGAGAGTCCAATTGAGCTGCATACCCCTCGAACAACTTCGAGAATAGGCTATAAAAGACCTAATCGGGATGAGCATGACCTACGGCGAGTGGCTAGTTTACAGCATGCTCGACAGACAGAGTATGTCCAAGAGTACCCAGAGCCCGTTGCAGAGATATCTCCGCGCCACGGGCGAGCTGTATCTTATGCCGAGCCCATCCATTCGGAGCGGACTAGGTACCACGACGAGGGCCAACCGGCACAGTATACCACCACTAGAAGATACATGACCAGACCGCTCTCACCCCACTACCGTGAAAGCTATGCTCCAGTTCGTGTCTCTGAGTCTCGTGCCATGGGTCCTCCTCCACCCCAAAGACGCATCGTAGTTGATGCGGAAGGTAACCGGTTCTACGAGTCAATTGACGCTCCGCGTGCCATGCCTCCGGCATCTGCGCGGGTGCCCAGGGCGGAGCCCTACGACGGAGTCAGTCATGCTCCTGCGCGATCAATGTCTATTGTGGATGATCATTACCGAGACCGTAGGTACATCCAGGAAATGCCCCCTCCTGAGATTACCTACCGCCGTAATCCTGGCCCCAATGCAGGCCCTGGCTCAAGCTACGCTGCAGACAACGAATTTGGTGAGCCACGATACTATGATCGTGAGCCCGCGGAACGTGGACCAGTGATGCGTAGCGCCAGTGTCCAAGTAATAGACTATCCGTCACGTCAAACGCAACACCTCCGCCAATCTCAAACGTCATACGTTGACGACCCTCATTTTCCCCACGAGGAGATTGTACGTGTGGCTAGCGTGCGCCCTCTACCAGTTGGCGTGCCTCGTTATGAGGAGCACCATGAAGTCCGACCTCGCATGACAAGTGTACGGCCTATGCGGCGTGAGGTGAGTGTCTACGTTGATGACGAAGTAGGTCATGCTAGGGAGTATCCTCCTGTGGAACGATACGGCGGAGGACCTAGCTACACGGCACGTCCGATGAGAGAAGAACGCTTTTACGAAAGCGCTGGCCCAGGCCGAATCGAGGCCGATGAGGGCTCTGAGGTTATTCGACGAGTGCCTCGCCAATATTAAACTTGATACTTTGCTTGGTCTATTGTTCAATTATGATTGCTCTTTTGGAATTATAAAGCCTTCTTTATTCTTTGTCAGATACCCCCTAGCATATATGAAAGGAAAATGTTGACTTATACTGCACATAGCATTATCTACTTGGTAGCGAACTCATAGTGTCCTCTTCTTATCCCAACTTCTCTACATCTGAAATCTGATATTAACACCTTAAAGGCGGCGACAAGTTTGACCTGACTCGCATAAAGCAGCGCTGGATTGTTCCTGATGCTTATATAAGAAAAAGTAAATAGCAACAACCTTAAAGCTGCCCAAAACACATCAAGGATACGCGCATAGGAAAAAAGGGAGAGCTTTTCTCTTGAACAACGCCAGGCTGCGGGCAAGGGCTGTTTTTCTTTCCTGTTTTCTTTTATCCTCTAAGTTGACTGTCGTCCGACATAATGGCTGGGTACGCTGCCGGCCAACTTATCAAGCTTGCGGACGGCCGCCACGCGAGAGTTCGATTCATTGGGACAACTCGTTTTGCCCCTGGAGAATGGATCGGTTTGGAACTCGGGGACGCAAGCGGGAAAAACGATGGCTCGGTCCAAGGAGAAAGGTACTTTGAGTGTGAATATGGATTTGGCATGTTCGTTCGAGCATCTGCCATTATCGAGATTGTTGAGCAGGCAAGGAAAGAGGAGCCAAAGGTTGCGCCGAAAAGTGGCCTCGACGGCAGGGGAAGGCCAGCATCGATGATTGTGCCTCCTGGAGGGCCAGTGGGGACAAGGAGACAGAGCTTGATGACATCTACATCGGGTACAAAGAAGTCGAGCTCTGGTGCTTCGAGTCCTTCGCCTGCTCCAAGGGCTTTGGGACGAACCTTACGGGTGAGCTATATGTTTTAAACTTCTACATCCCTCTATTTGACATTGTTGTTAATAAGACGTATGGGTTATACAGTCACCTACAAAGTCTCCGGTGAAACCGCTGGCCGGACCGGGTACACCTGCTGCATCCCGAGCCTCTTCCACAGCTTCGAGGACTATTCCAAGCCATAAGCCCAGACCAAGCTTGTCAAATCGCAGCTCAGCAGCTCCTACTCCCACATCTACGACATCCAACTCTCGCTTGTCATTACGCCAGTCCCAGTCCACAATGGGACCTCCAGCGAAAACCACCCGTACTGGGTTGGCCTCGTCACGCACAACTGTAAGTCCGGCCACATCCAGACGAATGTCACTTAAACCAGCTACGGCGAGGTCGCCGGTGATGGTTAAGGTGGGAGCAGGTCCTGGCGAGGAAAACGAAGGCGCTTCACGAGCAAGCTCGCCTCCTGAAGGACCAGAGCTTGATGTTGTCAAACCAAGTTTGGCACGGCCTACACCATCTCCAATGAGCCAGAGATCCGTTTCTGGGAGTAATGCGCTGGTACAAAAAGAGCTTGATGATCTGAGGACAAAACTCAAGATTATGGAGAAAAAACGGACAGAAGACCGTGAAAAGCTAAAGATGGTTGAGGCATATCGGGCAGAACGAGACAAGTTCGAGACTATCATACAAAAGCTTAGGGAAAAATATCAACCTCAACAACAAGAAATTACCACTCTAAGGAAACAATTGAAGGAGGCAGAATATAGGGTTGAAGAAGTTGAGAGACTCCAAGCGGAGCATGAATCCATTCTCGAGATGGCAGCGCTTGACCGAGAAATGGCGGAAGAGGTTGCTGAATCCATCAAAGCTGAGTATGAAGCTTTGAAGTTCCGGACCGAGGAATTGGAACTTGAGGTAGAGGTCTTGAAGGAAGAGAATGACCAGCTTGGCCAGGTCATGAGCCCCGAGGAGAAGTCAAGCCAGGGGTGGCTGCAAATGGAACGAACAAATGAGCGATTACGTGAAGCTCTGATCCGCCTTCGTGATATGACACAGCAGCAGGAAGCTGACCTAAAGGACCAAGTCAAGGAGCTAGAGGAGGAGCTCAAGGATTATAACAACCTCAAGGCTCAGTATGAGTCTACCAAGGAGAAGTTGCTTGAGTCAGAAGCGAATATGGAGGATCTCAAACAGCAGGTGGAAGCACTGGGAGCCGAAGAGATGATTGAAGAGCTCACCGAGAAAAATATGCAATATCAAGAGGAGGTAAACGAGCTAAAGGCTATCATAGAAGACCTTGAGAGCCTGAAGGAATTGAACGATGAGCTCGAGATCAATCATATTGAATCCGAGAAACAGCTCCAAGAAGAAATTGACTTCAGGGAAGGCATTTACCATGAGCAAAACCGGAAGATTTCGCAACAGGATGCTGTCATCGAGGACCTTGAATATACTTTATCGAAGTTCCGCGAGTTGGTCTCAACCTTACAAAATGACCTCGAAGACATGCGGGCTTCCCAGCAAATCACCGAGACTGAGGCTACGGATCTAACTGTGCGCTCACGGGCAATGATGGACCTGAACATGAAGCTCCAAGCCTCAGCTGCAAAAGCCCAGGTTAAGTCAATGGACGTAGAGCTTGGCCGGATGGAGGCCGAGGAGTCAGCCAGCCACCTGTCTATTATCAAGCTTTATCTACCTGACTATTACGAGAGCGAACGGAATCCAATTCTTGCTCTCCTTCGATTCAAGCGAGTAGGATTCAAAGCCTCGGTGATGGCTAACTCCATACGGGAGCGCCTGGCAGACCCATCAATCCGCTTCCCTGAGCGAGACGGATTCCTGGCTTATGAAGTACTTGAGAAGCTTACATGGATATCATTGGTTTGTGACAGATTCGTCGCCTTTATGGACGGTTGTTCAATTGAACAGTTTTCATCTTTTGAAGGTGCCTTGTACGAGCTTGAGCCAGTTGAGCGCATCTTGAACTTCTGGATTGAAAGCCTGAAAAAAGGGGAATTGAATGAGAAGACTTGCGCTGATGAACTCCAGCGATCAACTGCTCTATTATCGCATTTGGCGGAGACCTTAATACCGCAGCATGTTGAAGGTACCGGAAATGAGATGTATATGCTATCTGTACTGACACAAACGTACCTGGAAAACACTGCATCCGCTCTTGCTCAATTGAAATCAAAAGTCCAATCTAAAATACCTCCTTCACCAGAAGACGAGGAAAGTCAGCATCTCTACAAGAAAATTGACGCGGTTGTGCAGCAAGCAAGGGGAATAAAAGTTGCATCAAGCAAAGTCACTCGGTCTCTAGAAGAGCTGAGAACAAGATCGCTAGCTCTTGCAGAAGAATGCAAGGAGACATTTGAGTCAACCGAACAAGCTGCTAAGGAGTTGTCAACAGTGGCTCAGCTGATCGGAAATAGTTTCCTACAGCTCATTGATGACGATGATCGTACCGAGCCGTTCACATTCCCAGAAGTGTTGACTAGCATGGCTGATGCAGTCGCTTCCATCTCTAAGGAATCGCCTGGAAACAATGGTTCAGATGATGCCCTTGCAATTATTGCCAATAAACTTCGTCTTTTGACGAGCCATGTTGACGAAACATCAAATCTTTCGTCTGATTTGTCTCAGACGGTTGAGTTTGATCGACGACAATCTCCATGGATTGCTCGCTCAAAGATGCTCAAAGCTAGCCAGGAGACCTCACCAGATACCGAAGAAGAGAATAGGCGCCTGAAGAACGAACTGAGTGAGGCTTCAAATGCTCTTGGAGCTAAAGATAGAGTCTTTGAAGAGCAGTCTATCAAGATTGAACTTCTTGAAGCCCGCATGCGTGAAGCCGGTAAAAAGGCAGCTGTCGTCAAGGATTTGGAAGCCAAGATCGAAAATCTCCAGTCCAAAGAGAATGAATTTGTTGCTCTAGTTGAACGACAGTCTCAAAATATGCAAGCGATTGAACGAGAACGGGACGAATACAGGAGCCGCTTCGAAAAACTCAAACGAGCTTCCGATTCAGAGGGAAGTAGTGGCATAGGGGGTGTTGTAAACGCCGCGGCTTCATTATCAGTTATGAGGGAAAACGAAGCCTTACGAGCCGAAGTCACCAGCCTTCAATCCGCTATACGCTATATCCGGGATGACAACAAACGAGCACATCTACTTGACCCGTATTCCGTCCAGAGAAACAACCATATGCGCTCTTGGCTAGATGTTCCCCTGGTCCGTCCCAAGCCTTCAGTTAATGAACAAGACCCAGACCATCGACATAAACAAGCTGCCGAATGCCGCGACGTTCTCAGTCACTTGCTGAAGTTAACCAAGGAATCAAAACTTGTGGATCTCAAGGCCAGCAGCAGTTCGGATCCTGCAAACCGTCTTGCATGGCGCCCTGTCAAATCAACTCCCAAGTATCACGCTATGAAGCAACGTGAATATTATGAAGAGTGGAGCCAATGGAAAGACGAAGTTGTCAAGGAGAGGAAAATGAAGAAGCTGAATGCTGCCTATAGCGCCACCAGACGAGATCGGCCAACGACTCGACCGGACAGCTCAGTTAGTTTTTCCGTGGATCATCCAGCCTTCACCGATATTTCTCGGAAAGGGCTAGAACCTGACAGAAACGAGGGCGTAATGGGTAAGACATGGAAAATTCTCGGCCTCCAACCTGATACAGGCGATATCCCAAGAGTATCAAATGAGCCTCAGATACTTGATGACTAAAGGGCGCAGCTACTAAGCATTTCCTCCCCTGTCCCCTGTTCAATGTTTCCGTTCTTGTTGCTATATACCCAGGATATTATATATCAAACGTCAAGGACTTGTTGCATATATCTCCATAATAGTATATTCCGTTTCAATTATATTCTCCTTCTAACAAATATTTACCCGGATTCGGATATTTTTAGGCATGAAACAATGCTTTCTTCCGCCGGCTAAAACCGGCAGGATATCCCTGTAAGCAGTTAAATCGTGCCTCGACGCGTGAAACATATAAACGAGCCCGCAATCATGAAGGTGTGTGTTAAGACTCAACTCGAACGCGAAACTATCGCCAAACTATCGTCAAACGAACAGCCAATCGGATGTTGCGGCTCTTCGCCCTGCCAGCAAGGTCGATGGAAATCTGAGCTAGGTAGCTTCTTATCAGATCCCAGGTTATCAGATCAAGAGCGGACCTCAACCACCAACACCAACAAATGTAGAATCTCCCCGGTATAGTTTCACGAACCAACCTCTCAAAGGGCGTGTTGAGAAGGGTCATCAAGAATAGTTAGTCATTTATCTTACAAATCACTCATGGCCATGGTGAAATTGACTGCTACCTTCATACCAGAGGTCCCTATTCAAAGACCAATAAAAGGGTGCTTTTCTCCTTTGGAATTAAGGCGAGCTGGCAAAGTGACATTTAATTCCCTTAGATCCGTTAAATAACTCATTTTTTTTTCTCAATTCAAGATACTGGTCACAGCAATCATGGACCAACCAAGGGTCATCAATTTCAAGAGTGACACCCAATCCCTCCCGACCGAAGAAATGAAGCAATTTATGATAAAGGCCGAACTAGGAGACGAACAACACAATGGAGACCCAACAACCACAGAGCTATGTAAACGGGTAGCAAAACTCCTTGGGAAGGAGACTGCAGTCTTTCTTCCGTCGGGGACTATGTGCAACCAAATCGCAATCAACATCCACTGTCGACCAGGAGATGAAATCATATGTGACCAATCGAGCCATATCATCAACTATGAAGCAGGTGGTCCAGCTGCAAATGCGGGAGTGATGGTTCATGCTATTGCTGGAGAGCGCGGAATCTTCACGGCCGAGCAAGTCAAGAACGCCATTAGAGCTCCGTCACGCTATTTTCCCGAAAGCAGACTGCTTTGTGTTGAACAGACGGCAAACCTTGGTGGAGGAGCTATTTGGCCCCTATCCACGCTCCAGGAGGTTGCTGCGGTTTCTAAAGAGGCCGGGATGGCAACGCATATGGACGGTGCCCGTCTGTTCAACGCTGTTGCTGCCACTGGCATATCCGCAGCTGCTTATGCTGAACCTTTCGACTCGGTCTGGATTGATCTAAGCAAGGGGCTTGGGTGCCCGATAGGAGCAGTTCTCTGTGGCTCAGCAGACTTCATTCAGGAAGCATGGCGGTTGAAGCAGAGGCTTGGAGGCGCAATGAGGCAATCTGGCATCGTTGCAGCAGCTGGTATATATGCTCTGGACCACAATATTAGTCGTCTCTCTGAGGACCACGCAAATGCCCGGTTGCTGGCCAAGTTGATATCTACTCTCCCTGGTGTTAGCATCAAGCTTGGCGAAGTCGAAACCAATCTGGTATACTTCGAGGTGAAAGATCAGGAAGGCCGTCCCGCAGCTGCAGAGTTTGTGGCAAAGTTGCAGTCCTTGGGTGTTAAAGGGGGTGCAATGGGTGCCTCAACCGTTCGGTTTGCGACCTATTTGAACGTTAGTGAGGACGATATAAGAGCAGCTATGCCGGCGATCAGAGAAACCGTTTCTTCGATAACTGGATTACAGATATCTGCATGAACATTGAAGAACTGTAACTTTGAAAATAGATATGCCCAATTAGTTTAACTATTAACTAAATTAATCGAGCAACTAGAGCATCTTTCCGAATGCTCCACGGGGTATAATTTTCCTGCTAGATTCCACTGCTCAGTACAGAATATGTGCCACCCCGTTTTCCCTGCCATTATCAACAATTCGTGCGCCTCCCGATAATCCCCACAGTAGTGGGGGGATAAAAACTGGGTAAATATATATAATAAAATTAAACAGCAATCAAGAGGGGGAAACAAGCGTGCAAATAAAAATAATAGGAGGTTTTAGAGGAAGTCGAGGTAGTGTGGGGGAAAAAAGCCTCCTACACCCAAAAGTATAGATCAAGGTCAAAGAAAGGGAAGAAAATAGGTTAGTAGGCCACTCCGATATCATTCGGGCCAAGAGGTATTTCATAGAATGGGCCTTTCTCAGTGAGTGCTTTGGATTGACGTTTTTCATTAGGGGTAGAACAGGCTTCCTGGGATGAAGTTTTGTAGCCCATTGCTAGATCACAGATCTCATAGTCCTTCTCTGTTACCGCGTGGAAGCTGAGAGGTGATTGAGTGATAGGCCCCATCATAACCGAGCTGGAGAGCGAAGGATTTCGTGACGAGTATCCTGTGGTGGAGACCATTGTCGAACCACTCAGCGTACGTGACCTCGCATGGGGTGCGTCATAACGGAAGTTTGACTGTGGGCGATTTTGGTTTGATCTTGCTGCAAACCATTCTGCAATAGTACGGGAACGGGTCGGATAATGTGTTGGAATTGGGGTACTTGAGTTGTTGTTGACTTTAGCTGGATTCACAGACGGCGGGCGTACTTCTGATTCTGTCTGATTCAGGTTACTAAGGTCGTCGAGTGATGGATAGCCTTTCAACGTCTCGCTGCTCTGTCGCGGAGGGGATATGGCGTTCTGGATTTCCTGTAACTTTTCTGGGTCTGGTATCGTATTGCGGCGGTCATGAATTTCGATAAATAGAGAGTTTCTAGCCGAAGAAGCGCCTATTGGTTTACGAGCAATCGCGAATGGAGACGAAGTAGACTCTGAACGTTGGCGGGCATCTCTCTGGTTTGGTGCACAGACGGCCTTTGGCAGTGGAGCTATGATTGGATCTGGGGTTGACTCTATAGTTGTGTCTGCAGGTTGAGAGCTACCCTGGTCAAAGCTCTCTAGGTTGAAGTTATCAAGACCGAAGTTGTCGAAGGCTGGTAGATCTGGTAATTGATTCCCTTCAACGTAGATACTCAATTCTAGCGGTCGAAAGGATCGTCGGCGGCGCCTAGGAACAGGAGTGGTGCTCCTAGCAGTGAGATGACGAAAATCTGTCGGACCACTGATCTTTAATTTGCGGACAGAGGTGTGCTTTGGTTTTTTCTTGTGTTTGACTAAGAGGCTCGCTCTATTAGATGCCCTAGAAGCCAGACTTCTGCTTTCATTAACTAGATTTGGCAGCAATGAAGCTCGTGAATCAACACGACGGGGACTACTAGGGATATCGTCGTAAAGAACCAGCTTCATAGGAGCAACCGGTAGGGGTTGCTCATCGTATACTGTGATGGCATCTTCTGGAGTCCCTAACAAATTGTTATGGTCAGCTCAGGTTTGGTTTGCCTTTGGCACGGTGCATTGCGGCCTCGTTTCCTCTAGTACGCACTACCCGCCATGGTCCGTGATCATTAGTTACTTACTTGTGCCGTTGTTGTGCACCTGGAGAGAGGGAGCCTGCTCACCGACCTCTGACCAGATGCACCATGAGCAAGTAGGAAGCCAGGCCGTGAACATTGAGCCTGCTCACTCCAGCACCATCATCCTCCTATGCATGAAGGCCTGCGTCCATGGCAGTTGGTTCTCCTGGAACTTTTCAAAGCAATGATGGACAGGCCAGCAAAAAGGCGAAGCAAGCTTCTCTAAAAAGAGAAATTAGACATATTCCCCGGGCGCGAAGCTTTGCTCATATATGAGAAACTCACCCTGGGGAGGACGGGCTCCCAGCAGCCAGCCGGTGGAACCTCCCTTCATATAAACAGAGAGGGGCAGGCGCTGGCGCCTTGCATGAGCGCTGGCCAATGGGACTGGCGGTGTATGCAGGCGACATGGCCCCGTCACAACTTTAGGGTGAAATCTGCGATGTTTGAGGGTACACGGGACGACTGTGCGTATGCGAAGATGGTGTCGTGTAAGTACGGAATATATACCGGCATCGCCAAGGGGTCAGTGATGTCGGGCATTTGGCTGGAATCCGCTCCCGTTCGCTGAAATTAGAGGGGAAGTGAACAGGGGCCACCCCGGCCGGCGAGGCAGTGTCCAATCGACGGTTGGTTGAAGCCATGCTCTGCGGTGTCAGATCTGCACAGCAGTCCGATCTTAGCTCAGACGGAGAGAGACAGGCTGGAGAAAGCTGTTGGAAGGTTGTGAACCGAAAAGCGAACGGCGAGTATGTAAGTAGTTAACCGAGAAAAAAACAAAGTAAGAAAAGAACAGAAGAGACGAGAAAAAGAAAGCAACGGGATGTTTGCAACAGGAGGAATTGGGATGACCTCCTGGGATGAAATACAGATACAGAGGATGCCAGGGGGAGGTAAATCAAGGGGAGAAACACGTAATAACTCCGCAGATTCGAAATTTGAAATTGCTTATGTATCCAGAAATTAATTACTATATGCACCAAATGTGTAACCGTCTAGTTATTTGGTGGCACCAGAGGTGTTCCAGGCATCATGTTCATCGTCAAAAACGCCGCCGTACTCCTCAGGTCCCGGCCTGGATCCTTCATGCTGGAAGCCGCTGGAGTGATCATGCGTGTCGTGATCAATATTATAATTAGAATATTCAGGGGTTTCGCCTTGGTCTGGTTGCAACTGCGATCCCTTACTACTAGCGTGGTGTGTAGTGTTGTTCCTGGTGCCTCGAATGTGAGTGGCAACAGTCTCTAAATCGAGGGATCTCTCTCCGCCCTCTCTTTTCTTTTATCTCTGGGGAAACTCACATGGATTGCTGTTCCTGTGCGTAACCTCGTGTTACGGTATCACGAGGAAGTTGATCATTTACCTTCTGAGTTGCGACCTCGTCTGCATCATCGACCAAGTCTGCAAGCTGGCGGGAAGAGCTGCTCAATTGGCTTATCCGGCTTGACCCTCTGGTCAGAGCGGCCGGCTGTTTGCCCTTGTCTGCCTTGACGTTACTAGATGATGAGTTGGACTGCACTTCTGCAGGAGGCTGATGCCTGCTCTGGCGGTTGGCAGACCGCTTTATCTGGTTTCCTTCACTTGATCCTTGTCGGCTTGAGTACATGGATGCACGAGAGTGCTGCCATACCTGCTCTCTGTATACTTCGTTTGTTGTTATGACGGGGTACTATATTATAGTTAGTAGAGTTCAATCTGGAGCTTAATCAAAGACCGTGGCTACGTACGTTCCAGTCGCCGAATTCTAGTTTCCGTGCATTGGCAAAAATAATTTCATCATCTTCGTTAAGAGTGGGCTCGTCGATATCGTAAGATCGCTTGTTTTCGTCCCTTATCCGGCTCGAACTGGCATGAGATGTCCTCTGAGATGACGATTCAGGTCCCAGAAGTGGTGTGCGGCTATTCGCCTCTTTAGGCTTAGGGATCCAATACTTTGCCTTTCCTCCTCTTTCGTATCGCATGCCGTCCATCACGCGAGCCATTCGTGATCGGGACTCCTCATGGGCAATGACGTTTGTTTCTGAATCAAAAAACCGATACTGGTACTTTTCACCACGGAAAGTCTCCTTGGTGTCCTCGATGAGGTCTTTTACCCCGAATGCATCGCGAATCGCGTATTTCACCGGCATTCGAGCGGAGGAGATCGATGCATTTGCGTAGTCATGCCATGAGAACGCATACCAGTGCATGAACGCGAAGATTGGCATCTCGCAGCAAATCAACAAATCCTGAATTGCAGCCGCCATGTTGTTCGGAGAGTACCCTTCAGGCCCAGAAGGAATCGCTCCTAGGAACTGAAGGATAGAAAGAAAGAATCCTTGCCAGTAAGATGCAAATATGATGAGCTTGACGCTCAAAAATTTTGGGACTGGTCGATAAGGCTTGAGGTCATCATTCATAATGATCCAAAACAAGGCAAGTGAATATAAACTGATTGTGACGCTTAGGTTGTAAATGATTCCAACCCACAGGTAGCCAGAGGAGAGGCCAATGTAGCCCTCCTGAAAGGTACCGGTTGCTTTAAGAATGATGGTAACTAACGCAAGGATCGGTTTGAGCCATGCGTACTGCAAGATCCCTCTTTTCACTGCTAAAAAGGTGTAAGGGTCGGATATATCTATCTTTGAGAGGCATTTATTGAGGGGCCAGGTGTGCTGAATTGGAGGACGGCCGTGGGTCATAATGATGAGTGATCTCTCCCCTCCGAGGAAGTTGATCAGTAGCTGGAAAAAGGTATAGATGGTAAACGCCTATAGACGGAAATTAGCCAAATAATTCCCACCTTGACCTGGAAAGGCAGCACACATACTTCATAAATATCTCGAATAGGCGCAACCCAGGCTGCTGCTTTCAACGAAACTATGCTTGTCCAAGATGATATCGCAAATATAGGTACCCTGACAGAGTGTCAGCAAGACATTCAAGCTTCAAACCGGTAGACCTTTTTTCACTGACATCAAGAGTATTCTGACGACGTATCGCTGGAGGAGAGGTTTCCGGTAGTTTTTGCTATAACACTTTTCAGTAACCGACTCGACAGTAGGCATAGAAGTACTTGGTAGAGCTCACGTCTGAAGCCATATGGACCTGGGAGATTCGATACATGTCAGTTACACACAGCCTATGTAGGCAGACAAGAAAGGGCGGAACGTACAGTAACGAGATGAGAGAGGCCATCAGCGAGGCCACGCCGGCCACGATAATAGCAGCCTTAGCCAGGCTGGAGCCTGTACCTCCGGCGTTCGAGCTGAAGAGCGTCATCGTGGTGTCTCTTGTTGCTATGCGACAGCGGTAGTGTTGGTCAAGATACCATCGTCGTTCACATCCACGAGAAGTCGCCTTTGGTCATCTGAGACCAGCAAGTGTCAAATATAACAAAGCAAACGCAGCTGTCCTGGAGAACGTCTTTGCGCCTCAGCACTGCTCAGTCTCTTCCCTGTCGCTGGGAAGCTGGGCTCGCGAAGGCAGCAAGATATATAGGAGAAAGACGTTGCCTGGAGACAAGCATGCGAAGCTCCCTGGCAGAGCTTCTAGATCGTTGTTTGGTCGAAGAACCCAAAAAAAAAAAAAGGAAAACGCGTGACGTCGCGGAGCTCGGCCCCTTCTCCACTCGCTCTCTCTCTAACCAGCGACTTCAACTAAACGACGACGACGACGACAGCAAAAACAACGCCGTACGGGCTTGGTAAACACTTGAAACGGCCGCCAGAGCATTCCGATGGCCTAATTATGCGATGGTGCTGCTTCACGGCACGCTATTTATGTCATTAATCCGCTGCTGGCTATGCGCTGAGCCGTTCGAGATGCATATGACCAATGTCCTCCTACTCACCACTGCACCCGATTGCGGACGGCAAGCTGACCCCGGAGTCGCTTACGCCGGTCCCTCGATTCAACTGGTGCGTTGCCTGCCTGCCTGCGTGGTGGATTTGTTGCTAATACTCGTCAATACAGGGTATTCCTCATTGAGCTGATTGTGAGCGGAGTTCTGTACGTTTTGATGGCCTCCGCAGAGGGTATACTAGGATTCTTGACCGCTGACCGTTAATATAATAGAACTCTCTTCTTCCTTTTCTATTTCAACCGGCTGTTTGCGACTCTGGTATCCTACGCCATCCGTGCCTATACCTGGCATTACTATCGGGTCTATATAGACATACATGCGCTCCAAATATCGTTACTGGCCGGCCGAATATTTTTCAAAGGGATTCGATATCATGGAGAAAACGAGACCATTCATGTCCAAACTGGCTATCTTACCTGGCGGTTCTGGTCTCGACCAGAGCTGCCAGTAGATACATCCCATGTGAAATGCAAATCGAAACCGCCGCGGAGCGAGACCGCGGGCGCAAACGGTCAGGACGAAAACAGGGATAATGGCGCAGAGCATAAAAAAGAAACGCCAGCCCGGATAGAAGTCACTCTCAATGGCCTAGAGTGGTTTGTGTATAACAGGAGTCCTGCCTATGACTCGATTCTCGCGGGATTTGGACTTGTACCGCCTCCTGACGGGGCAAGTGCCTCGTCAGTAGTGGGAGACAGAGAGAATGCGCAACAAGAGAACCCGGGCCCCAAGAACGATAATGTCGATGAAGTGGCCGCTTCAAGTCCTTCCGACCCTTTAACTCCTTCCTCCAGGAAAGAAACCAATTCACAAAAACCGAGGACGTCACTAAGCACTAGAAACTCTTCTATACCCCAGAATACAGAAGAGTCCGCGGAGCCGCAGATCTTTTCATTTTTCCCGATATCCATGGATTGTCACAAAGGGGCATTGGCTTTGGGTAACGAGAATACAAAAACCATACTCACCTTGACTTTTGACAAGGCTGTCGGAAAAATCGATGCCGGGCGCTCTGGCCCTCTTGACGTTTATAGACAAATATTTGAATATGACCTCTCCCATCCTGTCATACATATGAAACCTAATCCGGACTACAGACAGTCGCAATTGGCTGCGGTTCATGAAATGGAAGCTCCAGACGAAGAGGAATCTAGAAACCGTGGCTATATGCGCAGCTTACATAGACGGTATCGCGATCACAGACACAGAGTATGGACCAGCATTCGTGATTTGGTTCCTTATTTTCAACGCTCTGTAGAATCATTTCACCCCAGACATGATGAACGAGACAGACCTGTTTCTAGAGCGGTCCATCAAGATGGCTGGCTAGGTTTGACACGCTACCTTGACGAGGAAGAGCAAGACGACTATGAAGGGTGGAACTCAATAGAGTATGGACGTTTCTCAACACTGTTGGACTCCCCCAGTATACATTTTCGTTATTACTGGGACATTGGGGGCCTTGTTGGAATAGCGGGTGCCAAACCTGATCCGTCGGATAAGTCCACCCCCCATAATATTAATGGTGCAGAAGCCCCTGAATGGGGCATGGACTTAACCATACGTGGTGGTCTGCTTAACTACGGGCCGTGGGCAGACCGTGAACGGGTCAATCTCCAAAGCGTCTTCGTGCCAAATTCGTACCGGGACTCACACGTTACGCCCATGCTAAAGCCTGGAGAACTAAGGCAGAGCACGACTTTTGTTTTAAATATTCTCATTGAAGAAACTACCATGCTCCGTATACCCACAAGGGAAGCGTCAAAAGATTGGCAATGGAGAGGCCGGGCAGATCGTTCACGAGGAGCGTCTCGATTGAAGAAAAAAGAGAAAGACCGCTCTCGAGGTAATGAAGCTGACAATACAGGGACCCAAGGGCCGGATATTAGACCTTTCGGTTGGCTATCTCTCCGGGCAGGCCCCGGCTCCACCATCGTTTATTCAATGGCAATGTTTGCCAGTAGACATGGATATTGCAACAAAGTTGATATTGATTTGCGCCAAACCAAAATGACCACAAGCGTGAATCATGGAGTGTTGTGGCAAAGTGAACGTCAGATCATCTCCTGTGATCTCTCAAATCCTCTCCGATGGAATAGCCTGCACAACTGGTCTGTCGACGTAGAAAGTACCAATATGGAACTTTTCTTACTATGGGATCACCTTATTCTACTTACCGACCTCATCTCAGATTGGACGTCGGGGCCTTTACAGGAATATTATACTTTCGTCCCGATTAAATACCAACTTTCCTTCGCTTTTCTTGATTTCAAGCTCATGGTAAACGTGAATGATTTGAACATTATAAATAACCCTTCCGACTTTGACGATAATTCGTTCCTGATTATCGAAGGAGAAATATTAACTGCCCGTGTGGGAGTCCCAGTTATTCATCATAGGGCTAGCCGTAACGTTGCTACATTCGATATCCAAGCCTCAAATGGTGACTTGAAACTCTCTACGCCCCTATGGAATACCCAACGTACGTTTTTGGATAATCGACCTATTGGTGGATTGGACACCCTCAAAATCGACGGAAGCTATTCCTGGCATAGTATAACATCACCAAAATTGACGGATGTTGCAATTGTCAACCTATCTGGCACTGCACCGTACCTTTACCTCTATGGGTTTGTCCTGAAGAACTTCCTCGATGTCAATGAAAATTACTTTGGTAGGACTATTCATTTTAAGACATTCGAGGAACATAGGGCAGCAGTCGATTCGACGACGCAGGGCAATTACGGGTCCAACCCTGCACCTCATACCAATGGTCTTGATGTTGTTCTTCACATTGCAGCTGAGGATATCAAAGTTCTCCTTCCCACCGGATTATACGACAGACACGAGAGCCTTGCATTAAAAGCAACAAATCTGGATTTGGATGTGAGATTCACCAACTACTACATGGATTTCCATTGCTCATTATCTCCCCTGGAAGTTTCTGTATTGTCGGAAAAGCCAGGCACCGCCCCCGTCCGGTCTAGGCCTCAACTTTATATCAATGGGCTTGCCATTTTTGGCCACCGACTCTTTGGGCTACCACCCACAGAGCCCACATACGCCTGCAACTGGGATTTTCAAGTAGGATCTATCGCTGGGGAATGTTCTCCCTCGTTCATAAAATCTGCCAAATCGGCGTTTGAGTCTCTAGCTTTCTCATTCGATGACGATGAGAATGCCTTGCCTCCCATACAGACCGGTGTGTATGATGTTACTTTCCTGCGCGCAAATGTGAAATCTATCAAAGTGTGGATTGTGGCAGAAAAGTCCGCATTTTTATTCAGCACGGGGACCGTCGATGTGGAATTCAATGATCGATGTGGCTTGAAAATGTCATTATTCGTCAATGCCACCGTTCCCGACATAGTCTTCGCAGTCGTGGATCGGACATCAGTATCCACAGACAATATACCTCAAAACCCAGTCAAAACCTATGCCTACTTCCGCACAGCAATTAGGGTTAGCACAATGGGAAAAAGAGAAGATTTTGAACATTTTCGTTCTCTACAGCAGAATCATATTAGGAAGCATGACTCGCGGACCCACCGTACTCCATGGCTTGTTTTTAATGAGCTTGAAGTCGCTGCTAGGGACAATACGTATCCCTCTTTTATCCCTCCCACAATGCCTGTTCCTTCAATGCCCGAACCTCTTCAATCTCTAGCAGGCTCTGAACCTAACCAAACACCACATAAATCTCTGCTGGAAGAATTTCCTGTCGCGGCTACCATACCCCTAACTTCTAGTTTAAATCCTACCCCTGACCAATATGTTACCCAGGGCTGTCGTGCCGGACACTTCTCTACAACATGGGCAATGCCAAACTTCTCTTTCTATAATGTTCAGCTTGACGAGACGAACGTTCCATCCATGCCATCGAGATCTGAGGTTTTTATTAGCAAAAATCAAGCTCTGAAAGCTGGCTTTGGACGTTCTTACGCTGACGAGTTTCTTGGGGGAGCTCAGACAAATATTAATTGCACCATGGCACCTGGCTTGTCTGGATTCGTCTCAGTAGAAGCAGTGCGCGCCGTGGCCTCACTTATAGACTCAATTCAGCCACGTAACCCTCTTGAGATTCTCGATGCATTTCAAGCAAAGGTGACTAGCGCTGCGCTTGCAGCGCAAAAGTCTGCCAGCAAGAAAATAAAAAAAGTATCGACTTTTTCAATTGAACTTCCTTCGTGCCGTATACGATTTTTCAATTCCCTTTTAAAGTCTGGCCGGCCGACTGGCCCTTTCAGAGACCAATTCCACATCGATCTCTCCAATATTAGGGCTTTAATCCGCGAAAAGGCCTCCTCTCTGGATACCGCAGACTCTATGAACCCCAAAAAATCATTCACAGCCCACGTGGCAATACGCTCCTTGATGGTCACTGTTAGAGAAGAAAACGTGGAAGCGCATTCGGACCTCAGGTTATGCGTGTGCAAAATATCTGATGTAGACTTCTGGTTTTTTGGGAATACAAACATAAAGTCCCGTCTCCAGGTTCAAAATATTGATCTGGTGTTATCAAATGAAACAGTTGGGAGAGTTGAGCCTGTGTTAAATCGAACGGTGAAGATGGCCGAGTCTCTGTCAGCTACCTTCCAACGAATTTACGAAGCCCATGAAGACCGTCTTCTTTATCTTGTCCATTATCTCACAAAGATTGGCGTGGCCATGCCAGAGCCGCATTTCATGACACTTCTATCGGATGCTTTGAGGGCCACAAAGCCACACCTAAGGCTCGAAGATGCTTGGAAGATCATATCGAGGATTCGGAATATATACAAATCAATTACTCCCGAGCAACGGGGAAACCTTCGAAGGGAATGCCAAAAATCCGAGGTTTCCTATCCTGAAGATGCTAAAGACGCCATCCTATCAGTCTTTGAAACTTGGCGTGCGTGGGAATTAGCCCCTGTCGAAAAGAATCTCATTATTAAGGCCCTTTGGGGTGAAGATGCCACGACTGACGGGGCAGTCGACCAACTGAAAGCGATTGATGCAGCTATATATCTTGGATCAGTTCATCTTTCAATGGGTCGGGGCCCGCGACATAACGGCTTCCGAGTGGAGAATATGTCAACTACAATACGTTTTGGAGCTAAAAGTCAAGATCCATCATCTACTGGAAAGGATGGGCTACTGATAATACAAAATCATTGTTCTAATGCATATTTACAATTGAACTGGGAATTATGCCAGGTCATTGAAAAAATTCTGGAGAGCAATGATAATCTCGGGCCCAAGGCAACTACCCTCCAGAGGGAGGAAACGAGCAAATCAAGGCACGGTGTTAAAGCTGAACATGAAATCCAATTTGAAACTCATGTCCTACTTATTGCGGATAAAGGATCTGTCTGGGTAGATGGAATCAACCTGGAGATTGAACTGATAGGACAGGGGATGAAAGGATCTATCATTCACGTACCAAATTCAAAGCTGGCTGGAGAAACGATAAGCGCCATGCTAGCTTCCAAGCTGTCCTCTGCTCGGCTTATCAGCCACTCAAGCCCTCTCATGGAATGGGAATTTCATAGCCCAAATATATTTGTGTCACGCCAGTCACAAAAGCGCAACGCGATTCTAGAGCATGACTGGAAATGCGCCGCAACCTGTCGCCAGCTAAGATACCAACTGACTGAGAACCCCCTTGAGCTAATCCATGTGGCAGACCGTGTGGTTGAAGACGAAGTCAAGCAGACTTTGAAAATGATTTCCTTTTTAGACACGAGGTTGGAAGGACGAACTACACCGACATCTTCTAGGGAAGAAATCCACTACTTTCACGTTGCAACTTTCCTTGATGAATACCAAATCCGCCTTTCTCTCCTTCCATCAGTTGCTTACACGATTGAAGGAAACGTGGCAAGGCTATCTGTCACGCCTCTTGGCCATATGAAATTTGAGGTGGATTATGATATCAAGAATAACATTCACAAAATCCATTCGAACAAGGATGGAGACCTACGAGTTTTATGTTCGACGGCAATTCCACCCATTAATGGGAGAGTACGATTGGATATGACAACCAACCCGATAATCATAGATGCAGATACCACCGTTGAAATTCTACATTTGGATGTGAGCGCCGTGCAAAACCTGCTCGGTGCCCTTAATGGTCCCGAATTATCCCACTTCATTGGCGATTTAAGCCATGACGGAAAAGCCTTGCAATCACATCTCGAGCAGGTTTTGGCGAACGGTAAATCTGCGCAGCCAACGAAAAAGAAGACCGAAAAGAAAGGACCCGTGTATCAAGTACGGCTCACGCTAGCTGGAATTAATACTCATGCGTCTTCCCCTGGTTTACGAACCAAAGATCACACCGCAGATATGAACATTGAATTTAAATCTGTTCAGGTGCATGTCGAAAATTCTCCGATTCAAGGGATTCGCAATTCCCGGCCAGAATTCAATATTATCGTGGCCCAAATTAGCGTCAATGTTCAGAGGACAAACATGTATGATAGCTTTACATACGGAAAAGTTGCCTTTGGTGCTCAGTTTTCCGGATCTTTCAAAGATTTGCCAGACGGGAAAACCATGCGATTATTTCATCTGAGGAGCTCAGGGCTTGAGATTGGTATGTCCGCCGAGACAGCGTCTCTTGTACTTGATATTATCGCTCATTTACAAGAAGGCATAAAGACAATAGACTTATCTCAGGATATCGCACGCCTGAGAAAAAGTCGCAGGCTCTCATTCCTACGACGGAAACATAAAAGGATAACCCATACCGCCGCCCCTCCCACCGAACCTATCGCTCTTGATGATGACAGTCAAGAATCGTCCGATTTTTTGAATGCCACGTACTCTGTTGAGCTCTCCAACATTCAAATTAGCTGGCTGGTTTTAGAAAACACCTCCTCTCGCAAAATTGACAATCCCGCCCCTCGCCATGAAGCTGATGCAGAAGATCTCGTTTTTTCCATCCGTAAAGTCGAGCTTACGACGAAGGAAATCAACGCCGCAAGGTTGCGTATTCAACAGATGCAGCTACAGATGGTACCGGTCGCTCACGACAAAAAGAGAAGATCCCAAAACTCTGCCTTACTTCCAGAGGCGGTGTTCAACGTTTCATTTGTGTCTGTCAAGTCTAAATGGAAAGTGACATTGAATGCTGCTGGGAAAGCCCTTGATTTACGGACTACGTCGGACTTTATTATTCCAGCTAGTCACCTTCAAAAGTCAATGGCATCTGCCGTTGAAAGAGTCCGTGAGGCTAAGTCATTATGGACCACTGAATTCCGTGAGAACCCTAAAGTGGGAAAGGAATCTCTCGGGTTTAAGCAATTGGATTCCGTTTTCATTGATACTAATTTTGATGGAGCTATTGTCACACTGCAAGAAAGGCATGGTGCTGGTGATACTACCCCACGCCCCCCAAGCAATAGGAGCAGCATTGGCTCGACAGATTTCAGATACGGACAAGCCTGGACCGGCGACTCTGTGTCCACAGCAACCCTTCGGGCCCCAGGCGTGGCTTTAAAAATTCGGTTCGAGGGTTCAGAAGCAGATACCCCAATTCTTGAAGCAGAAATAAAGGTCGAAGCTTCTTCCAACGTACTTCATCCAAGCGTGATGCCTCTCCTTACACGGATCTCATCAAGTATCCGGGATGTAGTGGGCAGAGAAGAAAAGAGGGATGAAGGAACCGAAAAGCCATCTGCTGTGAAGGAAGAAGCCGATACCTCGTCTATTACAACCGAAGAAACCGAAAAGCCTCCGAAGGATATGTCCATGGACCCAACGACAATCCTTGGTAGCTGCAAGCTGAGCATTGGACTCTGGATCCGCAAACAGGAATTCACGTTGAGTTGCCAACCTATTGCACGGGTGGAAGCTTCGGCTGGCTTTGAAGATGTCAATATCACGGTCAACACAGTGCAATCTGAGGAGCAACGAAGATTTTTTGCCGTGTTGATAGCATTCAACAAGTTGCGGGCATCGGTGAAACATGTCTATTCCAATGACTCTACTGCGAGTTTTAATGTGGATTCTATTGTGGTATCAATGATGAACAGCAAACACGTCAGTTCTAGCAGCGGTATTTCAGCTATTCTGAAAATCAGCCCAACAAAACTATATATGAATGCAAAGCAGGCCCAGGACGTCCTTCTCTTCCGGGAAATCTGGAAACCACCTAGCGACCATTTCAAACGACCAGTGCAAACACAAGAACCATCCCCGGAAGTCCAGGCGTATATGGTTCAGAGATACCAGCAAATGGCAGCTGCCGGGGCGTTCCCATGGAACTCAACGTTGGCAATAGACTCATTGGACATACAACTCGATCTGGGCCAAACGATAGGCAAAGCTGAATTTTCCATACAGAACCTTTGGTTGTCGTCAAAGAAGACGTCTGATTGGGAGCAAAACTTGTGTATTGGCTTTGAGACCGTTTCAATTATAAATGAAGGGCGGTTGACCGGCTTTGTAGAGCTCTCGAAGTTCAGGGTACGCACGTCGATCGAATGGCCTGGCGGAGTGATCTCAGCTGGCCACACTCCTCTCATCCAGGCAGCAGTTGGGATTGGCAAGCTGCAGGCAGATGTATCGTTTGAATACCTACCAGTTATCGCAGCCGACGTGACCTCGTTCGACTTTTTCATGTATAATGTCCGGGAAGATGAGGGAAAGAGTAACGACCGCCTTGTTAGCGTGCTTGAGGGCGACAAACTACATGTTTTCTGCACTACTATTACTGCTGCTCAGGGGCTAGGGCTGTATCAGACATTGCAACGCTTGATACGGGAAAAGAGCAAAGCATTCCATGAATCTCTAAGAGAGGTTGAAGATGCCTTACACCGAACAAAGCTTTCGCTCGGCGTAGCTCCACAGAAACCAGTGACGAGGCCGACAGTCAAGAATGATAAGGATGATATGAGCCTGCCAATTTCCCTCCAAACGACTGTCGTGGTCAAACTACATACCGTCACAGTTGGGGCGTTCCCAAATACCTTCCGTGACGCGCAGATCTTCAAAGTGGAGGCACTGGGCTCTGAGGCACGCTTTTCTGTTGGGATCCAGGATGGCAAGATACATACTGGCCTTGGGCTGACGCTGGGAGAGCTCCGCGTTGCACTCTCTAGCGTGGGTGGCGGCTCAGTGCCAGCAGACGCAGATGACTTGACTGTAGACCAGATCGTGAGCCGTGCAACCAGTGCTCGAGGAGGAATCATCTTGAAGGTTCCCCGAGTGCTCTCTTTAATGGAAACGTGGCAACTAGCTACATCCAACAATATCGAATACCTTTTCAGGAGCTCCTTTGAGGGCAAAGTTGACGTTGGCTGGAATTACTCTCGCATCGCCTTCATCAGAGGCATGTGGAGTACCCATTCTCGCGCCCTAGCAACCAGACTCGGCAAGCCACTCCCCCAGGCGGCCGTCCAGATCACAGGTGGACCGAAGGGAGAAGGCGAAGCGGGCGAGTACAACGGACAAGAGAAGATTACAGCTGTGGTGAATGTCCCTCAGTCTCGGTATACATATACCGCGATAGCACCACCGATCATCGAGACCCCCCAGCTTCGAGATATGGGAGAGGCCACGCCACCATTGGAATGGATTGGGCTGCAGCGTGATCGACTACCCAATCTTATGCATCAGATAATCATCGTCACGCTGATGGAGGTTGCAAAGGATGTGGAGGATGCATATTCAAATATTCTCGGCTCGTCATGATGGCCCTTTTTTTTTTGCTATCATGGATATTGGCTGTTCCCGCCAGCAGCTACCATTGGCTGCACTACCTGCATGCCAAAACTCTCTTTTCTTCTGCTAGTGCGTTTCTTAACTTGCTTAAACCCTAACTCCGGCGTTCTATGTATGCATGGGGGGGTGGCTATTGGCGTGAAAATTCCAGCTTCCTTGTATAGAATAGACGACCTTCGAGGTCTCCGATTAATAATGATATTGTGTAATTACCATGGAAACTGCCAGCACTCCCTTGCCTCTTCCAGCTACCACCCAGCTCATCCAGCCGTCTCGAGCAGGTCAACAGTGATAGCACAGTGTCATCGTCGTCATAGAAGTCAATGTAATCATCGCTCGCTGAGGTTGGTGTCCGACGAGAGCTGCTGACTAAGTACCACTCAAGTACCTTTCCGCCCTGCGGCTGGTGCCAAGTGACTTCCGAGGTACTTCCAAGACCGGCTTAGTGCGGGGCACTTGCTTACATCAGCAGCGTGTCTTCCCCTTCTGGGTTACCGCCCTCGGCCGCTGGCAGAAACCGCACAAGCCCCGCCATTCTTTCTTTTCCGCGCGCGAGACGGAAAAAAATCTCTTCTTCTTCCTCCTCCTCCTCCTCCTCTTCTTCCTCTTCCTCTCTTCTTCTCTTCTTCACCAACTCCCACCCTGGTGTCTTCATCCATCACCACCATCTAGCGACACCTCTTCGTTTGTGTGTCTCTACCCTCTACGTTGCTTGATCAGGTCGAGTTGTTCTCGATCCTGATAAATATCAAGCCACAAAGCCACCCGCCGTTGATAGAAAAGACACCCCGCCTCGAAGGCATTTCTCACCAAAACAACCGCCAAGATGGTCAAGTAAGTCACATCCAGACTCTCCATGGCTTGCGAGAGAAGAGATTGCCTCTATAGGAGCCTCGTCTTCTGTTTTCATGGCCCTGTTCGCATTCCTGGTTGATTCTTTTCACCAGTTTTCGCCAAATGTTTTTTCTGCAGAGGACACATTACTAATTCAATTTTGGCATGGAACAGCTTCACCATCGAGGAGGTATGCAGCTATCCCTGAGAACAGGATGAAAGTAGAAGGTATCTCGAGACATGCCAGACTAACTTACGCGTGTAGATCCGTCAATTGATGGACCGTCCTGCCAACATCCGTAACATGTGTGTTATTGCTCACGGTACAGATCCCCGCCCTATTGTGCGGTGCTCGCTTTTTCCCTTTTTGAGCTCCGGCTAACCTAACACCACTGCAGTCGATCACGGAAAGTCCACTCTTACCGATTCTTTGGTCCAGCGTGCTGGTATCATTTCGGCCGCCAAAGCCGGAGAAGCTCGTTTCACAGATACCCGTCAGGACGAGCAGGACAGATGTATTACCATCAAGTCCACTGCCATCTCTCTTTATGCCCAGCTTGTCGAGGAGGAGGATCTCAAGGATATCCCCCAGAAAGTTGAGGGTAACGAGTTCTTGATCAACTTGATTGACTCTCCCGGTCACGTCGATTTCTCCTCTGAAGTCACTGCTGCTCTCCGTGTCACTGACGGTGCCCTCGTCGTCGTTGACTGTGTCTCCGGTGTTTGTGTCCAGACCGAGACCGTCTTGCGACAGGCTCTTTCTGAACGTATCAAGCCAGTCTGTATCATTAACAAGGTCGACCGTGCTCTTCTTGAGCTCCAGGTCTCCAAGGAGGATCTTTACCAGTCCTTCTCCCGAACCGTTGAGTCCGTCAACGTCATCATCGCCACCTACCTTGACAAGGCTCTCGGTGACGTCCAGGTCTACCCAGAGAAGGGTACCGTTGCTTTCGGTTCCGGTCTTCACGGATGGGCTTTCACCATCCGTCAGTTCGCTTCTAAATATGCCAAGAAGTTCGGTGTTGACAAGAATAAGATGATGGACAGACTTTGGGTAGGTTGAACACCATCCTCACTTTATTCTTCGCCCCTGAAGTTATATATTAATAGTATTCCGCAGGGAGACAACTACTTCAACCCAAAGACCAAGAAGTGGACCAAGAACGGCGAATACGAGGGCAAGACCCTCGAGCGTTCTTTCAACCAGTTCATCCTGGACCCCATCTTCAGAATCTTCAGTGCCATCACTCACTCCAAGAAGGATGAGATCGCCACCCTCGTTGAGAAGCTTGAGATCAAGCTCACAGCTGAGGAGCGCGACCTCGAGGGCAAGCCATTGCTTAAGATTGTCATGAGAAAGTTCCTTCCCGCTGCTGACGCTCTTCTCGAGATGATGGTCCTTAACCTCCCATCTCCCGTCACTGCCCAGAAGTACCGTGCCGAGACCTTGTATGAAGGTCCATCTGACGATGAAGCCTGCATTGGTATCCGTGATTGCGACCCCAAGGGTCCTCTCATGCTTTACGTCTCCAAGATGGTGCCAACCTCTGATAAGGGCCGTTTCTACGCTTTCGGCCGTGTCTTCTCTGGTACCGTCCGCTCCGGTCTTAAGGTCCGTATCCAGGGTCCTAACTACACTCCCGGAAAGAAGGATGATCTCTTCATCAAGGCTATTCAGCGTACCATTCTCATGATGGGCCGTTTCATCGAGCCCATTGAGGATGTCCCAGCTGGTAACATTGTCGGTCTCGTTGGTGTCGACCAGTTCTTGCTCAAGTCTGGTACCCTCACCACCAGTGAAACCGCCCACAACTTGAAGGTCATGAAGTTCTCTGTCTCCCCAGTCGTCCAGCGATCCGTCGAGGTCAAGAACGCCAACGATCTGCCCAAGCTTGTCGAAGGTCTCAAGCGTCTTTCCAAGTCCGACCCTTGCGTCTTGACCATGATCAACGAGTCTGGTGAGCACGTCGTTGCCGGTGCCGGTGAACTTCACTTGGAAATTTGCTTGAAGGATCTTGAGGAAGATCACGCCGGTGTTCCCCTCCGTATCTCTGACCCTGTCGTCGCCTACCGTGAGACCGTCGGCTCTGAGTCCAGCATGGTTGCCTTGTCTAAGTCTCAGAACAAACACAATCGTCTCTACGTCACTGCTCAGCCATTGGGTGAGGAGGTTTCCCTCGCTATTGAGGCCGGAAAGATCTCTCCCCGTGACGATATCAAGATCCGTGCCCGTCTTCTCGCTGATGAATACGAGTGGGATGTCACTGATGCCCGTAAGATCTGGTGTTTTGGCCCAGACACCTCTGGTGCCAACGTCCTCGTTGACCAGACCAAGGCCGTCCAGTACCTCAACGAAATCAAGGATTCTTTCGTCTCTGGTTTCCAGTGGGCTACCCGTGAAGGCCCAATTGCTGAAGAGCCAATGAGAGCTATTCGCTTCAACATCCAGGATGTCACCCTTCACCCCGATGCTATTCACCGTGGTGGTGGTCAGATCATTGGTACTGCCCGTCGTGTTTTGTTGGCCGCTACCCTTTTGGCCGACCCCGGTATCCTCGAGCCCGTCTTCTTGGTCGAAATCCAAGTCCCAGAGCAAGCCATGGGTGGTATCTATGGTGTCCTTACCCGACGACGTGGTCACGTCTTCTCCGAAGAGCAGCGCCCTGGTACTCCTCTCTTCACCATCAAGGCTTACCTCCCTGTCAACGAGTCCTTCGGTTTCCCTGCCGACCTCCGCTCTGCTACTGGTGGCCAGGCTTTCCCCCAGTCTGTCTTCGACCACTGGCAGCTCCTCCCCGGTGGCTCCGCTATCGACCCAGCCACCAAGCCCGGTCAGATCGTCACCGAAATGCGAAAGCGCAAGGGTATCAAGGAGAACGTTCCAGACTACACCAACGTAAGTTTTTCCCTTTGTCCCCCACGAATCATTCTTGAAAGTCGACTGCTAATCCATTGCCATAGTACTACGACAAGTTGTAAACGCCTTCTCGCAAAGATATGTTTAGAGCACTTTTGTGTATTTAGAGCACAATGCCGAGCAGCCTATGCAACCTTTTTCACAATACCACTTTAGCAACGATCCAAATTGGCCTGCATGTGCTCAAGAGCCTTCACTTCCCCGGCGGCATACTTGAAATGAGAAATAAAAGAACGGGTTAAAAAAAAAGTTAAAAAAGGACCGCCTCTCTCGCTCCACAACCTCTTCATACCCCCGTTTTGCGTCAGGCATTTCGATTAGTCTCCCATCGCCCTTGAGATGACCAATATCCCCCAAGTTGTGGCCGAGAGTTATGATTGATCCATGTCTTCTTTCCTTTGTAATGTTAAGTGTTTTGCTTTTTTTTTAAAGCTGGTAGCTCCCTCATGTGTATCTTAAACGGTCCCATACGTCGACACAAAGAATGCATAGGAGTTATCAGTGATATTCGATCCCAGTAGTTCCTTCGTACTCAAATCTTCCTTCTTGTGAAGAAGTTTCGTTTTGCCCTGTCCACTATCTCGCTTAGTCAGAACTTAAATATCACGTGATTAAACACGCTAAATAGGGCTGTATTATGTAATCTATCAGAAAGCTCTCTTTTTGCGCGCGATGCTTTTTGCATCTTCAAGACAATGTTAGTTAGTTATATGAGAAGAAGTGAACTTGCTACAGAACGACTGCACGCACCATCAATATCTTACGCGAGCCACCTTAAATCTATTACCAATTTGCGAGAACCAGGTTAATCAGCCATCTAACTGTTTTTCGGAAGCTTGATATACCTTTTTAAGACGATAAATTGAAGCCGGTCTATTGCTCAAGATATTTCATTACCCCAGAATCAGCCGGCCAACGCATCCCCACTCCGATACGCCGTGCTTCAAACCTCTGAACCCATCCTAGGACATTGAAGAGCGTATACGAGATACCAGAAGACGTGAAAACAGATTTAATGCGCGTGACTTAAAGAGGTGCAACGATGCAGTTCACTGAAGAGAAGGCCGCGGAGGTCAAGTCCTGGGTTGTGAAGAAACTTGAAGATATGTATGTGTCATCAACATGATATATCATAGTACTATATGTCAAGAACTTCAAGTCTTGGGCTGTTCTCTGTGTAATATCATGACAAGAGGCGCTTTTTCCACTTGAAGAATTTCCGTTCATCCCTCTTTTCTTTATTCAGATGAAATGAACATCCATTTCACTATGAAGGCTAGCATTGCTAACCAGCGATTGGTATCTCCGGAATAGTTCCGATGCGGATTCGGAAGTATTGGCCGACTATGTTCTTGCCTTGATTTCTACGGATGCTCCAGATGATGAGATAAGGAAAGCGTCAGTTGAGAACCTCGAGGACTTTTTGAAAGAGAGTGAGTGAACCATGTTTTCAATATACGCGTGTTTGTAGGTGCATGGTATAGCTAACTATCCGATTGTACCTAGACACTGTTCCCTTTGTCGATGAGATCTTTGAAAAGTTCCACCCAAAACCTGAGCAGCCAGGCCTTCCTGACACCACTCAACAGCTTGATTTGCCACCTCCCGTCCAGGATGCCTCCTTCAGTCAACCACCTCCAAATGTAGATATGATGGCGCAATTTGCGCAAGTCCAGCTAGGAGCCATGGGTCAGCCAGGTTTGGCTCGGTTTGACAACAACGACCAACAGTTCAATGCGCGAAAGCGAACATTTAACGACTCTCAGGGAGATGATCAAGGCCCTTATCAGAGAAATGCGGATAGGCCACACAAATCTGCCCGTGGTCGACGCGGCCGGGGAGGCATTGGTGGGTGGGATAACCGGCAAACCCAAAGCCCACATGGCCAAGGGTATTCACCGAATATGCCAGGCGGTTTTCGCGGTGGCCCGGGTACACCCCAACCTGGATTTCCACCGTTTAATCCAAATGATCCCATTGCGCAAATGTTAAGCATGTCCGGGATTAACTTCCCTCAAATTCCAGGGATGCCGCCAATGCCACCACTTCCATCTCTTAATGGGCAATCTCAACCTTCTGGCTCACCCCCCAATAAGATTGCAGAGAGGTGTAAGAATTACGATAATATGGGGTTCTGTGTTCTGGGGAGCACCTGTCCATATCAGCATGGACAGGCTCCATCAAAGGACGACGGTATGAGAAAATATTGTTGATTTCATCGTTACACTATGTTCAGTTTCAGCTAATGTACCAACTACAGAGTACGATCCTACAAAGTCCAACATTGTTTCTCCACATTCAGCAAACGGAGCTAATGGACATGGTTCTGGTGGACGTGGTGATCGAGGCAGAGGACGAGGCCGCGGCCGAAATGACAGAGGAGGCCATGGCTCACAGCGCCGTAATCGGGCTGAATTCTCACATGCCGGCCCTAACGAGGACAGAAGAATCACAACCATTGTCGTCGAACAGATACCAGAAGATAAATTTGACGAGGCTACTGTTCGAGAATTTTTCTCCGAATTTGGCGAGATTACGGAGGTTACCATGAAGCCATACAAACATCTAGCTCTGGTCAAATATGACTCGTACGATGCAGCTCATCGGGCATGGTCGAGTCCGAAAGTCATCTTCGACAACAGATTTGTAAAAGTCTATTGGTATAAACCTACAGAGTCGAGAGGTGACAGCAACGGGCTTAAGAAGAGCTCCGCCGATGAACCGTCATTCGACATGGAAGCCTTTGAGAAACAACAGGCAGAGGCTCAGAAGGCCCATGAAGAAAAGATTAAGAAACGAAAAGAGACTGAAGAAGCAATTCTGGAGCACAAGAAAAAGACAGAAGAATTGCTTAAACGTCATAAAGAGGAACAAGCCAAACTGTTGCAGAAGCTGGAAGCTAAGGGCGCGGGCAAAGATACAGCTTCACCTGAATCAGGAACGCCAACGAATGACAAGACTGCCTCTCTTCGGGCACAGCTTGCATCTCTTGAAGCAGAGGCTAAGAGCATGGGTATTGACCCCAACGCTCAACCGGAATCTTCGTTTGGCCGTGGCCGTGGTCGAGGCTATGGCGGCTTCCGTGGAAGAGGTGGTTTCGCCCCGCGGGGCCGTGGATACGACCCTTCGTTTAGAGGAGGATTTAGGGGCCGTGGAGCGTTCCGTGGTCGTGGGGGTGTGATTCGCCTAGATAACCGTCCTAAAAAGGTTGCAATCTCAGGGGTAGAATTTGATACCAACCGTGATGAGGCCCTACGGCAATATCTTCTGGTAAGTACAATTAACGTCTTTCAATAACTGCAGACTTTCGTCGTCTGGCTAAACATACACCAACTAACCAACATACAGGGCATTGGAGAATACGAGAGTATTGACCCTAGCCCGGACCGCCCGGGTGCCTTGGTAGTGTCCTTCAAGGACCGTTATGTTGCTGAAAAGCTATTCCATGGACCCTCTGATATCCCATCTGTCGGTAACGTCGAGTTCGCTTGGGTTGCCAACCCTCCGCAGCCCTCAACACAGCCACCTGGTGCCACTGTCCCGAAATCTAGCGATGATGTCGCTATGGCGGATAGCAATGCGCCTGGCGCAGCTGCACAGGAAAAAGAACCAACCCATGAGGTCGACTATGACGTGGCCGAAATGGATGATTCTTGGGCTGAATGAAACTTACTTTGACGAAGTAACGGGCTTGAATTTGGATTCTAGCAACTGTATTTCTACAAATAATCTATCCCCTTTCACCCCCTTCATAGGCCTTTTAAGTCTGGCCATTTTGATGTAACGATTGGCGGTTTCGTGGTTTTCATTTCTTATTAGGGATTCTTTCACCATGAGGCATCCTGGATTCTGGCATCCTAGATTTAAATTTATACGGGATGATCAAGCCTGTGCCCCGCAGCAAGCCACAGAGTTATATATATAGCATCGTCCACTCCGGAGAAACAAGTCTCACTAGATATTGTCCTTATATGAAACTGTTTCCCCTTGGTTCATTTGCATGAATCGCCCCTTAAACTTGTTTGAACTAACTGCGGTAAACACTTCACAAATGGCTACCGGTGCTCGCCTCCAGAACAAGATAGCCATTGTCACTGGCTCTTCCGACGGAATCGGTCGTGCAATCGCTCTTCGATACGCTGCTGAGGGAGCATATGTAGTATGTGCTGACCTGGCGCCGGAATCAAGAGGTAGTCATTGATTCATTATATCTACTGCGATCCATATTAATACATACAGCTTATTCACCACAGCCAAAGCGAATGATGGAGAATTGTTGAAACCAACTCACAAAGCTCTGGACGAAAAATACCCGGCTGTCTCGGGAGGACCTTTCTCACATAGGTCGATATTTATTAAGACAGACGTTTCGATTGATGCCGATGTGAAGGCGTTAGTGAGTGGCTGTGTGAAGGAGTATGGGCGGCTGGATATGTGCGTCTGCCGCTCTTTGGTTTCAGCCCCCTATTTAAAGCTAACACGATTTATTGATAGTATGGTGAATAACGCCGGTATTGGGCCTAATTATAACCATGATCCAACTCTACGCCTCCATGAAACTCCTGAACATTCTTGGGATAGGATCATGGGGGTGAATGGAAAAGGTGTCTGGCTAGGATGCAGTGAGTTGGAAAGCCATTTCACCTACATACCATGATGTCGCTATTATATTGACATGCATTTTCTTCCTTGAAGAATATGCAGCTGCCCAGATGCTTGCTCAGGAACCATCCTCCACCGGTGACAGGGGTTGGATCATCAATACTGCGTCGGTAATGGGTCTAGTTGGAATACAGTGTGGTAGCGCATATTCTGCTTCTAAAGGAGCTGTCGTCAATCTCACTAGAGCAGTTGCCCTAGAATATGGTGCTGATAGAATGTGAGCAGCCTGATATTCCTGAAACCTGATAGGAATTTGACTCTTTGGCTAACTTGAATAAACAGCCATGTAAATGCCATAGCCCCTGGCTTCGTGCAGACCCCATTGATGGAAGATCTAGCTCCTCAAGATAGCGGAAATCCAGTCATAGAAGGCATACGTACCTCCTTTGCGGACAAGCAACCATTTGAATCCCGGCTTGCTAAAGCGGAGGAGGTAGCAAGTGTGGCAGTGTTTCTTGCTTCAGAAGACGCTAGCTTTGTAACTGGCCATACTCTTGCAGTGGATGGAGGCTCTCTAGCTCCATAGAAGGTGGAAAATTCGTTCACTAAACATGAGTACTTCTCAGTAAAATCTCAAATTATTCTGATCTACATGATATATCCATGCTCACTCGGCTCCAAAGTTATTCAGTAAGTTCAGTCATGAGCCAAAACTCTAGGCCAAATGC